GTCGGGTTCGAAGCGCCAATTTTCTTGAGTCGGGACCTGTTTCAATTCCCAATTGCAAAGCACAAGTAAAGAAAACGTCATCAAATAAATCCTCAACTCGATACGAAAACCTAACACCTCATAGAAAACTTACAGCGCCGCACCAATTGGTGTTGTAGCCTTAGAATTCATCATCTCATTCGTCACTTCCTGGTCACGTGTTGCAAACTTTTCCTGTAGCGCTTCTAGTTCTACCGTCGAACAAAGTCGTACAACATCACGATCGGATATAGATTTTGCAATTGCTTCATCTTGAGGTATGACAAGACCCGTAGATTCGTTCAGAAAATGTAATTCCTTGTCTTCTAATACGTCTAGAAGCTCCCATTCAGCTACAGTCGATGTCAGTGTATCTTCTTTACCAAATACATAACGTTTCTTCAGACCTTCACAAAGCCTGTAATAAGACCATCATATATCATAAACCAACACATTACAAACAATAGTGTGTTTGACAATACATTTACATGTGAAGACGTACCAGAACCCGACAGTATCCTCGGTATTAGTTTTACCACGGAAACGTAACTCCATGATAATAGGATACTATAATAATACTAATGTCATTATTAGATGTAGATGACAAGAAATTGTATTGATTCGGTCAAGTACGTAATCGGATTTAGTGAGGAAGATCAAAGCCACACTTCAACTTGATTGATGGATAATAATATATAATGCCTCTTAGTGATACCGAGACGGTATGGGACGAAGTTTCACTACTTTCTCATGTCTATGGACATTAGAGAAGACGCATCAGGTGACAGAAGAATCATTGAATTGTACCAAGTTTACGAATCAAAAGGAGAAACGTATGTGACAAAGAAACTAGATTCATATTGGAGACAGATGTATACTGATACTCATTCATTCATTCATTCTGTCTGTTGCTGTCTGTCTATCTATGTAGCTCATAATGTGCAAGCACTTGACCATGAATTACAACTATCACCTCGATCACAGCTCCATGTGATATCACAAATCAGTGAGCTTGCTGATGCACAATCACGACGGACCACCACAAAAGTGTCAAAGCTAACTTAACAGACACAGCGTTCAAATGTATGGGGTACAGCTCTGCAAACAGCGAAGCGGAAGAGAACTTTCCAACCTGCTGCTACAGCTACTATGCAAAAGAGGCACAAACAGACGGAAACGTCAATGCAGTCGGAGACAGAACAACTAGCTGCTGACATGCTGGACTGGGAGACTTGTAGCGGTACGAGAAAAGATTATTCTGATTGATACTGCATGATGTGGCGGAAGGGGGGTTTATGACTCATTTGGTGTATTGGTATATTTATGTATTATCAAAACTAAGCAGAAGGTGATTTATTTACAATGGATGCTGGTGGAATGGAGACAGATGAATGGATTTATGAAGAAATTAATGACAGTGACTTTGAGAGTGAGTTTAATGCGCTATAAAGCGTAAGAAATATGATAAATAGACAAATGCATAATAATCGTCACTAATTATACCCTTTTATAATCAATACAGCACGTTTACCTGTAGATTTTAAGGTCAATAGAAATAACAAACGACTTGTATCGGTTATTAACAATGACAAGCACTGGAATACAATGGAAAGCGTCATCTGCAGGAGTTGCAATCGACCATAAAGATAAGGAGTGTACTGCATCGTCGATCTCGAATGTATTCGCTAACGTAATGAACTTTGTCTTTGTCCATGGCTTATCAAAGTCCTTAATCGTCCCTTCGATGATTAGCATGCCTGGCATGCATTTTCGCTCCATTTTCGAGAGTTTGCATCTCTTTGTGGCTGAGACCTGCTTACTTCAACATCCTAGATGTTCAACAAAGCTCAGTTCATCCAATACAGTTTTAGAGCATTTTTGATTGCAAATAAACATTAGAGCACCCCAAGCCTACTGTACTGCTTAGCAAAGCAATGGGCATTCACATGCGGCGCATCATTGCAAAATGCATTTCCCACATCGGACGATCTGAAAGCTCAGATGACCCGGCAGTATGCACCGCTAAACCAAGCACACCGTAAATCAGTCGCGGTTTTTGGCGTGTCGCCAAGGCAAGCGTAAGCTTGCGGCACATGTGCAAGAGTTGATACTCTCATTGCCGCCATTAGTAAAGCACTACCCGTTTTTAATACTAGTTTAAACTAATGAATATATTGTAATACCTGTTATTAAAGTCATGCATAATTTTGCATTACAATGTTGCGTTGGCCTTGAGCTTTGATGCCATAAGTTTTCGGTCGCTGTTGCACTTCACTAAGTAGATGAATAATGCGAGCCAGATCAGAACTGCGGATGTTACCCCAACTTGTCATGATTTCAACGTCATCTTGAGTCCCTGGACTGATATATGTATTTATGGAAAAACAATAAAAGAACAAATCAAGCAGAGGATACTATTATATCAAAAATCTCATATTAAAGCAATTAAGTCGCTTTGTGTCTGTGTCTCTTCTGTCTGTCTTGTAAACAATCGAATCTTTCCATGAAGATTGGCGCCAAATGCTTCGAAAAAAACAGACATGCGCGTCATTCCATCCATTGACGCTATCATCCAAAAACATTCAAGGGACTGACACTCATTTTTGAAAAAGCTCTCGTCGTGTCATCTTCACTTACGTCGAAAGTAGTTTTTCGATCAAGCTCAGTTCATTTCTAAGTCTACTTCAGTGATGGCCGTGCAAAGTCTTGTTAAGATGTTTGAAGCCATGGCCATTTCGGCCAGAGTGGATATATTGGAACAATCGCTGGAATTGTTACCTAACCACACTAACGTTCTCCAATTGGTAACGTTCTATGATGATCTGACACAGATTGAAGAATCTGTAGTGACCAAGAGTGTCCGTCGAGACAAGTCTGTCATGATCAAGGAGCTCCATCAACCCAAGAAGATAAAGGTACAGCAGAACTACATCCAGTCGAGTATCAGATACCAGGAGTCAAGCGATCGACCGACTGTAACGGGGGTTACACAAAGGTGTGTATTGTACATACACACCTGCCATACCATTGTGGTGTGGCTGTACCTTGGGTACATTTGTAGGTTCGATGTGACCGTACCTGAGGTACGAAGGGTCGCATCGTGGCAGAAAGCCATGTGGTCACTATACTTAGTTAAGTATAGTGACTATGCATGTTTACATATTAATAGGCTACAGAGTCAGTAAATAGTGACTAGCACTAAGTATAAAGCAGGTGCTTCTATATTTAGTGCTAGAAGTTAAACATTAAACAAATCAGTTTCAAACTGCTCTGAATAGCGCAAGTGATAGAGCGTTCTCTTCCTTTGTAAAAGTAATTGTATCTTTGATAGTAGTCTCTTGGAGTCGTGGTTGTTTACAACCAAAAGACGTAAGCTTGTCAAGCTAGCCTTGAGAGGGCTAAGAACTCTAAGAAGTATAAGCTCTTGAAGCTTGTCTTCCTTGCACGTAGCGCATAAGTAGCGTGGCTACAGTATCTTGGCTACACCTGGTAGCACTTGTAATCAATCCCGCACCTGTGTTTGCGACTACTTCTCTGTGTGAGAATGGACATCGACGAGATGTCCGCGGTTGGTCTGTCACAGGCACAACAGGAAGGGTTGCAAAAGTTGCTCCCTATCCTTGGCCCTAAGGGCGTGGAGTGCCTCATCGTTCAAGGCGAAGAAGAGGTTAACAAGCGTATTCGTATGGCGGAAGAGTATAATAACGCTCTAGTCGATCATGTAAAAGGCACAGATGCCTTCTTCTGGCCCTCGCCCATGGCGGCTATGACGCAATAAATGGTCCGCAGACCAAAACCCATACATATGGAAGTCGATAAGGTCGACAGCAAGGAAGGTGATAACCTTATGCTGTGGTTCTGATAGTTTGAGTCGAATATGTTTATAGCCGACATCGCCTTTGAGCCGTACCGTGTTGGCTTTGCCACGGGTAAGATGGGTGGCTTAGCAAAAGAAATGGGCATTCACATGCGGCGCATCATTGCAAAATGCATTTCCCACATCGGACGATCTGAAAGCTCAGATGACCCGGCAGTATGCACCGCCAAACCAAGCACACCGTAATCAGTCGCGGTTTTTGGCGTGTCGCCAAGGCAAGCGTAAGCTTGCGGCACATGTGCAAGAGTTGATACTCTCATTGCCGCCATTAGTAAAGCACTACCCGTTTTTAATACTAGTTTAAACTAATGAATATATTGTAATACCTGTTATTAAAGTCATGCATAATTTTGCATTACAATGTTGCGTTGGCCTTGAGCTTTGATGCCATAAGTTTTCGGTCGCTGTTGCACTTCACTAAGTAGATGAATAATGCGAGCCAGATCAGAACTGCGGATGTTACCCCAACTTGTCATGATTTCAACGTCATCTTGAGTCCCTGGACTGATATATGTATTTATGGAAAAACAATAAAAGAACAAATCAAGCAGAGGATACTATTATATCAAAAATCTCATATTAAAGCAATTAAGTCGCTTTGTGTCTGTGTCTCTTCTGTCTGTCTTGTAAACAATCGAATCTTTCCATGAAGATTGGCGCCAAATGCTTCGAAAAAAACAGACATGCGCGTCATTCCATCCATTGACGCTATCATCCAAAAACATTCAAGGGACTGACACTCATTTTTGAAAAAGCTCTCGTCGTGTCATCTTCACTTACATCGAAAGTAGTTTTTCGATCAAGCTCAGCTCATTTCTAAGTCTACTTCAGTGATGGCCGTGCAAAGTCTTGTTAAGATGTTTGAAGCCATGGCCATTTCGGCCAGAGTGGATATATTGGAACAATCGCTGGAATTGTTACCTAACCACACTAACGTTCTCCAATTGGTAACGTTCTATGATGATCTGACACAGATTGAAGAATCTGTAGTGACCAAGAGTGTCCGTCGAGACAAGTCTGTCATGATCAAGGAGCTCCATCAACCCAAGAAGATAAAGGTACAGCAGAACTACATCCAGTCGAGTATCAGATACCAGGAGTCAAGCGATTGACCGACTGTAACGGGGTTACACAAAGGTGTGTATTGTACATACACACCTGCCATACCATTGTGGTGTGGCTGTACCTTGGGTACATTTGTAGGTTCGATGTGACCGTACCTGAGGTACGAAGGGTCGCATCGTGGCAGAAAGCCATGTGGTCACTATACTTAGTTAAGTATAGTGACTATGCATGTTTACATATTAATAGGCTACAGAGTCAGTAAATAGTGACTAGCACTAAGTATAAAGCAGGTGCTTCTATATTTAGTGCTAGAAGTTAAACATTAAACAAATCAGTTTCAAACTGCTCTGAATAGCGCAAGTGATAGAGCGTTCTCTTCCTTTGTAAAAGTAATTGTATCTTTGATAGTAGTCTCTTGGAGTCGTGGTTGTTTACAACCAAAAGACGTAAGCTTGTCAAGCTAGCCTTGAGAGGGCTAAGAACTCTAAGAAGTATAAGCTCTTGAAGCTTGTCTTCCTTGCACGTAGCGCATAAGTAGCGTGGCTACAGTATCTTGGCTACACCTGGTAGCACTTGTAATCAATCCCGCACCTGTGTTTGCGACTACTTCTCTGTGTGAGAATGGACATCGACGAGATGTCCGCGGTTGGTCTGTCACAGGCACAACAGGAAGGGTTGCAAAAGTTGCTCCCTATCCTTGGCCCTAAGGGCGTGGAGTGCCTCATCGTTCAAGGCGAAGAAGAGGTTAACAAGCGTATTCGTATGGCGGAAGAGTATAATAACGCTCTAGTCGATCATGTAAAAGGCACAGATGCCTTCTTCTGGCCCTCGCCCATGGCGGCTATGACGCAATAAATGGTCCGCAGACCAAAACCCATACATATGGAAGTCGATAAGGTCGACAGCAAGGAAGGTGATAACCTTATGCTGTGGTTCTGATAGTTTGAGTCGAATATGTTTATAGCCGACATCGCCTTTGAGCCGTACCGTGTTGGCTTTGCCACGGGTAAGATGGGTGGCTTAGCAAAAGAAATGGGCATTCACATGCGGCGCATCATTGCAAAATGCATTTCCCACATCGGACGATCTGAAAGCTCAGATGACCCGGCAGTATGCACCGCCAAACCAAGCACACCGTAATCAGTCGCGGTTTTTGGCGTGTCGCCAAGGCAAGCGTAAGCTTGCGGCACATGTGCAAGAGTTGATACTCTCATTGCCGCCATTAGTAAAGCACTACCCGTTTTTAATACTAGTTTAAACTAATGAATATATTGTAATACCTGTTATTAAAGTCATGCATAATTTTGCATTACAATGTTGCGTTGGCCTTGAGCTTTGATGCCATAAGTTTTCGGTCGCTGTTGCACTTCACTAAGTAGATGAATAATGCGAGCCAGATCAGAACTGCGGATGTTACCCCAACTTGTCATGATTTCAACGTCATCTTGAGTCCCTGGACTGATATATGTATTTATGGAAAAACAATAAAAGAACAAATCAAGCAGAGGATACTATTATATCAAAAATCTCATATTAAAGCAATTAAGTCGCTTTGTGTCTGTGTCTCTTCTGTCTGTCTTGTAAACAATCGAATCTTTCCATGAAGATTGGCGCCAAATGCTTCGAAAAAAACAGACATGCGCGTCATTCCATCCATTGACGCTATCATCCAAAAACATTCAAGGGACTGACACTCATTTTTGAAAAAGCTCTCGTCGTGTCATCTTCACTTACATCGAAAGTAGTTTTTCGATCAAGCTCAGCTCATTTCTAAGTCTACTTCAGTGATGGCCGTGCAAAGTCTTGTTAAGATGTTTGAAGCCATGGCCATTTCGGCCAGAGTGGATATATTGGAACAATCGCTGGAATTGTTACCTAACCACACTAACGTTCTCCAATTGGTAACGTTCTATGATGATCTGACACAGATTGAAGAATCTGTAGTGACCAAGAGTGTCCGTCGAGACAAGTCTGTCATGATCAAGGAGCTCCATCAACCCAAGAAGATAAAGGTACAGCAGAACTACATCCAGTCGAGTATCAGATACCAGGAGTCAAGCGATTGACCGACTGTAACGGGGTTACACAAAGGTGTGTATTGTACATACACACCTGCCATACCATTGTGGTGTGGCTGTACCTTGGGTACATTTGTAGGTTCGATGTGACCGTACCTGAGGTACGAAGGGTCGCATCGTGGCAGAAAGCCATGTGGTCACTATACTTAGTTAAGTATAGTGACTATGCATGTTTACATATTAATAGGCTACAGAGTCAGTAAATAGTGACTAGCACTAAGTATAAAGCAGGTGCTTCTATATTTAGTGCTAGAAGTTAAACATTAAACAAATCAGTTTCAAACTGCTCTGAATAGCGCAAGTGATAGAGCGTTCTCTTCCTTTGTAAAAGTAATTGTATCTTTGATAGTAGTCTCTTGGAGTCGTGGTTGTTTACAACCAAAAGACGTAAGCTTGTCAAGCTAGCCTTGAGAGGGCTAAGAACTCTAAGAAGTATAAGCTCTTGAAGCTTGTCTTCCTTGCACGTAGCGCATAAGTAGCGTGGCTACAGTATCTTGGCTACACCTGGTAGCACTTGTAATCAATCCCGCACCTGTGTTTGCGACTACTTCTCTGTGTGAGAATGGACATCGACGAGATGTCCGCGGTTGGTCTGTCACAGGCACAACAGGAAGGGTTGCAAAAGTTGCTCCCTATCCTTGGCCCTAAGGGCGTGGAGTGCCTCATCGTTCAAGGCGAAGAAGAGGTTAACAAGCGTATTCGTATGGCGGAAGAGTATAATAACGCTCTAGTCGATCATGTAAAAGGCACAGATGCCTTCTTCTGGCCCTCGCCCATGGCGGCTATGACGCAATAAATGGTCCGCAGACCAAAACCCATACATATGGAAGTCGATAAGGTCGACAGCAAGGAAGGTGATAACCTTATGCTGTGGTTCTGATAGTTTGAGTCGAATATGTTTATAGCCGACATCGCCTTTGAGCCGTACCGTGTTGGCTTTGCCACGGGTAAGATGGGTGGCTTAGCAAAAGAAATGGGCATTCACATGCGGCGCATCATTGCAAAATGCATTTCCCACATCGGACGATCTGAAAGCTCAGATGACCCGGCAGTATGCACCGCCAAACCAAGCACACCGTAATCAGTCGCGGTTTTTGGCGTGTCGCCAAGGCAAGCGTAAGCTTGCGGCACATGTGCAAGAGTTGATACTCTCATTGCCGCCATTAGTAAAGCACTACCCGTTTTTAATACTAGTTTAAACTAATGAATATATTGTAATACCTGTTATTAAAGTCATGCATAATTTTGCATTACAATGTTGCGTTGGCCTTGAGCTTTGATGCCATAAGTTTTCGGTCGCTGTTGCACTTCACTAAGTAGATGAATAATGCGAGCCAGATCAGAACTGCGGATGTTACCCCAACTTGTCATGATTTCAACGTCATCTTGAGTCCCTGGACTGATATATGTATTTATGGAAAAACAATAAAAGAACAAATCAAGCAGAGGATACTATTATATCAAAAATCTCATATTAAAGCAATTAAGTCGCTTTGTGTCTGTGTCTCTTCTGTCTGTCTTGTAAACAATCGAATCTTTCCATGAAGATTGGCGCCAAATGCTTCGAAAAAAACAGACATGCGCGTCATTCCATCCATTGACGCTATCATCCAAAAACATTCAAGGGACTGACACTCATTTTTGAAAAAGCTCTCGTCGTGTCATCTTCACTTACATCGAAAGTAGTTTTTCGATCAAGCTCAGCTCATTTCTAAGTCTACTTCAGTGATGGCCGTGCAAAGTCTTGTTAAGATGTTTGAAGCCATGGCCATTTCGGCCAGAGTGGATATATTGGAACAATCGCTGGAATTGTTACCTAACCACACTAACGTTCTCCAATTGGTAACGTTCTATGATGATCTGACACAGATTGAAGAATCTGTAGTGACCAAGAGTGTCCGTCGAGACAAGTCTGTCATGATCAAGGAGCTCCATCAACCCAAGAAGATAAAGGTACAGCAGAACTACATCCAGTCGAGTATCAGATACCAGGAGTCAAGCGATTGACCGACTGTAACGGGGTTACACAAAGGTGTGTATTGTACATACACACCTGCCATACCATTGTGGTGTGGCTGTACCTTGGGTACATTTGTAGGTTCGATGTGACCGTACCTGAGGTACGAAGGGTCGCATCGTGGCAGAAAGCCATGTGGTCACTATACTTAGTTAAGTATAGTGACTATGCATGTTTACATATTAATAGGCTACAGAGTCAGTAAATAGTGACTAGCACTAAGTATAAAGCAGGTGCTTCTATATTTAGTGCTAGAAGTTAAACATTAAACAAATCAGTTTCAAACTGCTCTGAATAGCGCAAGTGATAGAGCGTTCTCTTCCTTTGTAAAAGTAATTGTATCTTTGATAGTAGTCTCTTGGAGTCGTGGTTGTTTACAACCAAAAGACGTAAGCTTGTCAAGCTAGCCTTGAGAGGGCTAAGAACTCTAAGAAGTATAAGCTCTTGAAGCTTGTCTTCCTTGCACGTAGCGCATAAGTAGCGTGGCTACAGTATCTTGGCTACACCTGGTAGCACTTGTAATCAATCCCGCACCTGTGTTTGCGACTACTTCTCTGTGTGAGAATGGACATCGACGAGATGTCCGCGGTTGGTCTGTCACAGGCACAACAGGAAGGGTTGCAAAAGTTGCTCCCTATCCTTGGCCCTAAGGGCGTGGAGTGCCTCATCGTTCAAGGCGAAGAAGAGGTTAACAAGCGTATTCGTATGGCGGAAGAGTATAATAACGCTCTAGTCGATCATGTAAAAGGCACAGATGCCTTCTTCTGGCCCTCGCCCATGGCGGCTATGACGCAATAAATGGTCCGCAGACCAAAACCCATACATATGGAAGTCGATAAGGTCGACAGCAAGGAAGGTGATAACCTTATGCTGTGGTTCTGATAGTTTGAGTCGAATATGTTTATAGCCGACATCGCCTTTGAGCCGTACCGTGTTGGCTTTGCCACGGGTAAGATGGGTGGCTTAGCAAAAGAAATGGGCATTCACATGCGGCGCATCATTGCAAAATTCATTTCCCACATCGGACGATCTGAAAGCTCAGATGACCCGGCAGTATGCACCGCCAAACCAAGCACACCGTAATCAGTCGCGGTTTTTGGCGTGTCGCCAAGGCAAGCGTAAGCTTGCGGCACATGTGCAAGAGTTGATACTCTCATTGCCGCCATTAGTAAAGCACTACCCGTTTTTAATACTAGTTTAAACTAATGAATATATTGTAATACCTGTTATTAAAGTCATGCATAATTTTGCATTACAATGTTGCGTTGGCCTTGAGCTTTGATGCCATAAGTTTTCGGTCGCTGTTGCACTTCACTGAGTAAATGTATAATGACGAGCCAGATCAAAATTGCGGATGTTACCCCAACTTGTCATGATTTCAACGTCGTCTTGAGATATTCTTTATACGCCGCCTTCGGGACATAGACCGGGTCAAATACAAGTTATTCTAGAGCTGTCAGAGAGACGCACCAGATTTGTTGGACGCAGCGTTTTAGCATTCCAGGACGCAACGGTGGACAAGAGTCTCATGTGCGTCCGGCACACAAGATACATGTAAACACGCAATCTGAACAAGCAGTTCCAGGCATGCGACAAGGTGAGGCCAAGATCGACAAAATAACCACGACGCACATTACTATTTCAACGTCCAATGAAGAAGGTGAGAGCGCGTCCAGCAACAAGCAAGTGCTGAATAGCAACTACAAGGACGAATGGCTCCACGCAATAGAAAGCAAGAACATGTCGCTGGCGGACACGAGACATGTATACTTTACGATTTTCCGAACAACAAGAAGGCAATTGTATGCAAGTGGGTTTATCGGATCAAGCGCGAGCTAAGCGGAGAGATCGCGAAATTTAAGGCGCAGCTTGTTGCTAAAGGATCCACGCTCGTCCAGTAGTGGACTTTTTTAAGGTGTTTTCACCAGTGGCTCAGAAAAAGTTAATTCAACGTTGCACCCTGCTCGCAGTGATGAAGACCTGTGTTAGATAATGTAGTGTGTTCCACACAAATTTGAATCAAAAAGTGCGCCGTCCATTCGACCCTATCCCTAACAATATTTTGGACCAAAAGGGTTTGTCAGAACCCTACAAAAACCCTACAGAAACCCTAATATATACCGCGCTCTTAATGACGCCACTATTCCACGAGTTACAATTCTATCTCACACGTTCACTCTCCACTAAAGAGAAAGCAGAGCTTGAACGACTAATTGAACAGAATGGAGGTATCGTGTCAACTACACCAGCACGTGCTATGCAGCTTGTAAATTACGAATCACTGGATGCAACGCATCCCGAGTGGATCTCCTTCGATTTTATCAAGGATTCCGTCATGTTGCAATCATTGCAAAACCCCTCTCAATATTCTGGAAAAGTTTATACAATTAGTAGAGAGAAGAATACTGATACTAATAATAACGTGAAGAAACATGGTAGAAGAAAATATACAGTAGAAGAAGATGCAAGGATGTTACATTATGTTAAACTCAGAGGCTGGAAATCGATGCAGCCCATGGCAGAGAGTGTGTGGAGACAAGCAGAGCGTGAGAAAGTGACGTTACATTCAGCTCAGAGTATGTATGAACACTTTAGGAAACAATTGCAGCGGAAGACATTAATGGAACAACGATATATTATGGCAAAGGCTGCGGTAAGAGAAGATTGACTGATGTTTCTTGTGATGAATTGACAGCATTTGCTGACTCTGGAGCTTTTCTTGTGGCTATTTTTGCAGGCAGAGGTGAGAACGTGGATAGTGAATCACGATGTCGTTGCAGCAAATGAGGTGAAACGCGTAGGAGAAATGCAATCGTGTCCGAACTCGACGGGATTACGGAATTGCACGACTCCAGAGTCGATAGCGATAACGCAAGCTTTACAAATTGCTTCAGTCGCTCCAGATCAGTGTAGATCTACGGTCCCTATGACGTCTTCGGTTGCGATGCGTGGATTGGGGAATATAAACAGACGTGACGTGAGAACGCGGTCTAGGAAACCTACTTCTCCGTTGAGAATCTCCGAGAGACTTCGTAGAAGTGAAGGGACCGACGTATCTAAAGGCATTACGTCTTTTAGATCTACTACATCTACGAATCCTTATCATGTAGCTACGCCAGTGTGTCCAGCGACACCAGAGATTTCGGTTGCTCAGACGGCCCCGGCAGAATTGGAAACAGACGACCAGAGTGCAGACAGAAAGCAGCATAAGCGAAAACATGGATCTTCAAGTAGTGAGGCCTCTGTCAGTCACGATTCAAGCTTATCGCACCAAGACACAGAGGACAGCGATGTCGAAAGTGTTGAGAGCCTGACTCGTCGAGATAATGGCGTTTTTTTTCGCAGTACTTGGACCGAGCTGGCCAGAGACCATACTAAGAGACGCATGCTGCAGCGTTTTTTTGAACCTTTCTTGACACCTGCTTCAGTAGCCCATACCTCGACACCTGATCCTGAAGCCCAAGCAAGCAGCAGCGTCGCACCCTTACTCACGCATCCGACTGACGTTGTCGTTCCTGCAGCAGCTCAAGTGGGAGAAGGGTTACATCAAGTAAAGACGATGGAGCATGCTACAGACAAGGAAACCGATCAAATTATTTGCCAGCTGCAATTTGACACGCACCAAGATATGCCGACAGTGGTCCATGCTCTGTACTATTGCAGCGGTGACGTTGAAATGGCTGCAGCCTTCTTAAAAGGCTTAATGCCATTAAGCATGTGGTCTCCTGAGGACGACTTGCTACTCGTAAATCTAGTGGCTGAGGAAGTCATCGATCGCTCTGTTGTAGATGCAGCTATAGCTCGTGGGGATTTTGAATTAATGCGAGTGGTACGTGATACGGATGCAATTATGAAGCGAATTCAGTTTTTACGGTGACTGTTCGCGTTGCTTAATGAATGCAATGATACGTGACCTTCGAGGGGTTGTGGTGTATGTGCTGAAGTGGTTGAAGAAAAGGTATCAGCGACAGCATGCTTGGGATTCCGTAATTCGAGTCACTGGTAAAGCCATTCGCGTATAGCCAATCCAGGTGCGAGACGGCATAGCCTGAAGCAGGATTGAGCACAACAGCAAACTGATGAATAGCCAATAGTTGCGAATCAATGCACGTGATGAGGTAAATGCAGTGGTAATTGTAGCCTGAGATGCACTTGTTTCATCTGTATAATGCCTTATGTTGGGTGTAAGCATTAAACGGGCTCAACCAATATGGAATGCGATACTAAAGACACTGAAAACTTGCAGCTTTAGTCGTACTTAAAATGGAGAACTACTCTTTTGATGGAGAGCAAGCAGTGCAACGGAATGAGCAAGTTTGATGAGGTGCTCAAGCAGAGACTTTCTATCGGTGGTGACGTGCTACAACAAATCGGCACGACGTCTCTTGCTCGCGTAAACTTGCTCTTTGGTTACATACAGACCCCCTGCTATTTGCCTCCAAGTATCGTGGACAATGTACCTCACTTGACTCCAGGTAAGAATGCAATGTCTCCATATTTTCATACACTGATATGTATCGTTGTTGCTTGTCATGTGGATGTGTGCTAAGTAGAGAATATGCGATGGTAGATAATTGTCTTAAAATCAAGGACTTGACTGCACAAGTGGTTGATTTTGCTGACATGTACGTTTGAAATTGGTTTATTCAAGACTAAAAACTTGTTAATGCATCACTAACATAAGAATCTACAGCTTGAGTTTAGTTAAGCTCGCGATGAATGGAATACGGTCTTTCCGAGAGCTTTTGAACGTAATTGACTACAGGCTTGTGTTTTCTGCAAGGGATTATGTTAATAACTCGGTAGGTGCTGCTTGGAAGCTCACTGTAGACTGAAACTGATATCGTCTGTGGCTGGTAGAACCCGCCAAGTTTCAAGGCAACAGCGTTCATGGTTGAGACAAGCGGTGGACGACGCGTTATTTCGACCGAGGAGTTCATGCAAGCCGCGCAGTTGCTGCAGTTGGAGCTGATTGTGCCGCTTGCCGACGAGATTTCGGGTGAGAAAGGGAGAAATCGACACCGGGCGGCCGTTCAGACGTCTTTGGACTGGCTGGACGCGTGCCAGGCACTCAATTCTTCGCATTTGCAGTAGTTGTGGGTGGAAATGACCAAATTCTGCGCCAGGTGAGTGCTACTGAGACGTGTAAGCGCGACATCCAGGTTGTTCTGCTCAGTGGGCTGAGCTTCTGTAATGACAGAGCAAAGCGCTTGGAGCTGATCGATATTATCGTGAAAGCGGTCACACTTGTGTCGCTTCCGCGTCTCATCTCTGGGATTGGACACCCACTTGACGTGCTTGACACCTTCAACCGCGGTGTCGACGCCTTTGTGTCCCCCTACCCGGATAATGCCACCAAAGCTGGATCTGTTCTAGTCTTTTGGATCAGCGACGACGATAACGGCAGTAGCGCACGTGAGCGCTTTGGCGGATTGTTGCACTTGCGTGAGAAACGGTTTGCGACTGACTTCAGCCCACTAATGGCAGGGTTCGACTGCTTCACCTGCCAGAAATATTCACGAGCGTACGTCCATCACATGCTGAACGTCCGTGAGATGCTTGGTGCCATTTTGTTGTATCTACACAACCTGCAGCACTACTACCGCTTCTTTCGTGAGATCCGAGCAGTCATCATCGCAGACCGCTTTAGCGCTTACCACGCCAAATTCGCATCAAAGTTCAAAGAGAAGGTGTCACCTGCACCACCACTTTTGATTCCGGCCGCGATCGAAGAACGGACGAGGAAAACTGACGTTAAAATGGGTGTGACCAAGGCGACAGCTCCATTTGTAAGCATGAGACAGTGATTTTATAGCGCTTTTGTGACCGATAGATTGCTTCAATTTGCACACGAATGTGCAACTTGCGAGAGCACTCATAGATCTGCGTCGTAAACCTTAATGCCATTGAATCTTGCTGTATCTCCGTGTCATTCCTTGAGTCAAGCTGAACAAATTAAAGAAGCAATTGCAGGCAAGGACAAGGAGTTCTTCAACCGTTCTATTGCAAGCTGGTGTGTGATAGGAAAAGCATTGAACAACGATATGATGTTGACGAATAGGCTCTACAACCATATCTATGGTGCGTATGATCGCGTAAATGTGCCAGTGTCCTGAAGCTTGCGTCCAAAACGCACAAGATCATCAGCAAAAGTAGCAGCAATATCACCAACAGCTCAGTCACGTCAACTCCCATCAATGCATCCAAGTCGATGCTATCTACTGACAAGATGCAGCCGACGCACTGCCCTAGCGATGCCGGTGGCGTACTTCACACCATCATTCGATGCCAACCAGAAGCGACCATTGGCTTACACCCTTCCTGGCACGGCTTCACTCAGTGCGTATGAGTCTGTGTCGTCTTCTAGCTCCATTACTGTTGCTGCTGCAACCAGCGACAACTCGAATGCAAAGAAGTCCAAGCGCGAGATCCGCCAGATGAAGAACCGGGAGAGCGCTAACAAGAGTCGTCTGCGTCGCAAAGTGCAGCTAACGACTCTGACAACAGAAGTGATTAAGCTGAAGAAGAAGAAGCAGGAGATGCAGGCCATTATCGCTAGTCTGCGAGCTGAGAACAAACCATTGTGGGGCTGGACAGAACACGTTTCTGCGCTCGTGAGCCGTACTATACCACGTTCATTAGTTTACGGATACGCTGAGAGAATGCACACAGCAACATTAAGATTCATCGTTTTGAGCTAAAATGATCAGTCTCTGTTGTCTTGCGCTCTAATGTCCGTGCAAGGAGGGCCAATGCTCGCGTCATAGCTTCTCGCTCACTAGTACGGGAAGACTTTGTCTGCATGCTTAACACAGCTTGCATCTCTGACTCCTTACTATCAGGTTCCAGCTCAATAAATGCGGCCTCGGGGTAGATGCCGCGAATTACCTCTTCGGCCTCTTGCACCTCTTTCTCAACAAGACGGGTCACATCCTCCGCATACCAAGCGAGAATGAGAGGTAGATCATTCTCTAGATCTTTTGTTTCCATAAATACAGGCTTGTACCTACTCAAGGTAAACAATGACAGCATCATTGCATCAGCAAAAAGCATTGACAAATGATCAAACCACAACGCGTACATTCGTAATAGTTTCGCAGCCAAGTACGTTCCATCAAAGTCCACTTCAGCCTATAACATGTCGTATCACGCACGTTAGAGCCGCAAGGCAAGAGATACAAATCACAAAATGCGCTGCCGTCATACCTTATAGCTAAATGTCGATGGTCCAACCCATTGTGACTGGACAGCATACACGTTATCAATAGACGGACGCGCCAACAGCAACTCGCGGATACCTTTTTCAATTTCCGGCTCCACTGACTGGCCCAATAAATACTTTTGGTTCAAACGAATGAGTGATACTGCAACACCACCAAGCAGCACACCAATGGAAACACTTGCAAGGCTATCCCACAGCGGGTTGCCCGTAATGTGGCTGGCCCCAATGCCGCATCCAGCCATAACAACACCTACACAAGCTGATAAATCCTCAAGCAGGACAGCCATCATAAACGGGTCTTTCGTCCGCTTTACGTGCTGGTAAAAAGAGATATTTTCAGGTTTGGTAGCCAGTAATTCCTGTACTGACCGCTTAAGCACCCATCCATCGATACTGAAAGAAGCCGCAAGCACACACCAGATTTCCCACGACAGGGTAAGATCTTTTGGAGGCTCTAGGATTGACTGGATACCGTGAACAACAGTCACACCAGAACCTAACCAAAAGATGCCTAGTGCAGAAATGAGCGACCAAAAGTACGCAGCACGTCCGTATCCATACTGATGCTTCTTGTCCGGTACACCTGATGCCTGTTTAAGACCCAGAATGAGAATGGCTTGATTACCAGTGTCCACAAGTGAGTGAATAGCCTCTGAGAGCATTGCATTGGAGCCAGTCTTAAGCCATGCCAATACCTTAAGTACCGTGATAGCTGTATTACCTGACATAGCACGAAACACCACGTCCTTTGACGTAGAACGGTATACTTCTCCTGGAAAGTAAGCCTTGTTAATATCAGTTCGTGGTTTGGGGAATGGATACGTAGATTCACGAATATGTGTCACGAATGCTTCATTGTCCTCATCATTCTTCTTCTTCTTCTTCTCCTCTCTCCATTCTTTCTCTTTCTTCTCATTAATCTCTTGCTCATTCGAAACAATCGTCGCTAACGATCGAAACGATGGCTTTTTTTGTGTCAAGTAGAGCGAATTACGACTTGAATACGGCACTGGAAGTTGCGCAAAATGAAGACACAAATGCCTTAATGATAAACCACATATACTTGAATGATACCGTAGCGAAAAGCGCGCTGTCCGTAGAGACGTCAGCATCACCAGTCAAGGGCCGGTAAATACCCAATTTGTACTGAGTGACGTCGTCAGGCTTAGGTTGTGTGAAAATCATGTGGTATACACCATTATGCTACAACCTTACATACTTTATGCAAGATTAACGTCTTTTTTAGCTCACTTTGTTTTTTTCTATCTAGTTTTCATTAACTAGTTTGCTATGACACGACTAGTGGATTATTTTGTAGAGATTGTAGCAGTTCCAGCAGGTATAATGATGTATAAAGAAGGAGAGAGAGAGAGAGCAACATAGTGAGAATGAAAATGATATGTTGTGTATTCTAATGATCGTAACAATGTTTTTGCATAGAACAAATGCAGCAAAGTGAAAATCTAGAGCGGCAAATTGTTAGACGAATGCCTTTAAATGATCACAATGATTTTGCTTTACCCGATGGTTTACCGTACGTACGTATTATATGATTATATGATAGTGTTATATACTTGTATTATATATGATGATGCTAATGCTGCTGATGTTGCTGACGCTGATTGATAGTTTTGTATTCCAGAGAGTAAAGCATTCTTTAATCCATTGGTATATGAACGTAAACCAACATTCTTTTCATTTATATTAACGGGAGGAGATGGTGTTCATGCTTATGGCTTTGCTCTTCATTTTTTTGAAGAATATACAACTGGTGGTGGGTTGAATAATGTCCATAAAGATTGTATCGTTGAGTAGTTGATACGTACTTACTTACTTACGTACTTCTATGGTGACTACAGTTTCAGACTGGAGACCTCGTGTGTTGTGTCTGATTTCGCATTGCCCTTTTTTCTCGCTCTTTAAGGAAATTGTCAGGTTAATAGGATAGATATAGTAATCTTGTCATGACTGTCTGCACGATTCCTGATCTCTTGGTGTGGATGAATTTTTGACAGCTGGATCTATCGAAGTCGGTATCAAAAGATGCGACATTCGCGCGTTCAAGCTAAAATTGCTCATGCATGTGAGGATTTTAGCTGGTTTGTCTCGCCACGACATGTACCACTTGCAATACTGCAATATGAGGAACACCAGCCTTTTAGCAGAGGATCCATTGATCGAAACAATGACTCAACTTTGGCTTGGGATTCTGGTCGTGACAAGCATCGATCTACGATCCGTGACAATTGCTATCATATTTTATCGCAACTTTTACAGATCAAAAGTCGGCCTCTTTCAGGAGAGGCCTTGAATATCCGGTTTTATGGACAAGATTTCTTTTGCTACCGTGTGCAGCGAGGAAAAGCTCTGCACTTGGATGATTATTGTTTTCAAATGCTGTTTCAGTGTTTGAGTCTGAAGAACGTTATTTATATTATTAATTGCTTGCTTCTTGAACAGCGCGTCCTGGTCCACTCAAGTGTACGAAATTTTGTTTTGTTCACTACTGTAACGTGTATCTGTGGCCATGACGAATCTAAGCATAATGATTTGTGTGTGATATCAGCATCAAGGTTATCTTACTCCAATTTGCGAGGCGCTATGTGCTTTGTTATTCCCATTTTGTTGGAAGCATGTGTTTATTCCGTTCTTGCCTGTGAAGTTGATCGATTACTTGCAGGTACACAACCAGCTTCGGGTTGAATGACTCTATCATGATGCTAACACAATGCTGCACTGATTTGATTCATTAAAGGCGCCAGTGCCATATTTTATCGGATTACAGACAAGTTCCTTGGCGACTAAAGTGGGAGCAGAAATGTTTGCATCATGTGTCGTTGTGCACTTGGACAAAGACAAAGTCGTGTCTCCAATTTTCTCGAGAGTCGACGACTATTCTGTGGATTTCGTCCTACCTCGATTACCATCGAAGGAAGTTACTGTCATCCTAGCTTTGCTGGAACGTGTTGTTCCAAACCCTGTCGGACATTCCTCTTCAATTCAGAGCAACACGTATCATATACCCGAATCTCCACAGCAGAGTGTAAACGCAGTCAACGAGGTTGAATTGACATTTGGTGAAGGACCGGTAAGTAGTCAGTTGCTTTGTTTCTTTTGCGTAACGAAAGCATCTTCTGATCATTGTATTGTATGTATCTTAAGCTTGGGATTACCTTTGAGTCCACACACCTCCGTCTTCTAGCGGCTAGTAACTTTAATTCTAAGCACCAGTTGGGTGGGTCTGCAGTCGTAAAGTCGTTACCGAGGCTTCGTAATGGACTTGTAGGGCCAGCGGAGTGCTCAGGGCTAATATTCGCTGGAAGTTACCTCATCGGTATCAATGGCCAGTCCACATTGGACCTGACGTTTACAGAAACCATCGACTACTTGCGCCACGCAAGCCGTCCAATTTGCCTAAGATTTCTGAACGCGAGGCTTCCTTACTGGAATGCCTGCAATTTTGCAGAGCGACTGCAAGCTTTGTCGTTGGTTTCTGCTTCGCAGGTTACATTAGAGAATCAATTTCTATCCTGGGTGGATACGCTGCGTGGAGCCTTTGCTGCTATGTTTGCAAGCATGTTCTGTGACTACCAACGGTACATTGGTGTACACCGTCAGGAAAAAGAAACCATTACATTTAGCAGACCGCATGCACTCCCGTCACCAGAACAATACGGTCGCTTGCGACGCCGTTCTTTTCCACTAGCTTCTTTTGCGCAGTTTGATTACAGCGCTTTCTGCAGTGCGGTACCCTCCAATCAGGCTTTTCTTCTGGAGTTTACACAGACACAATGCTTTGCAGATTTTGTGAATGAGAGTGTCACCGGAACACGAGCTCGTGATGCATCCAGCCCATTGAGACTTTTCCATGAGTGTATTTATCTCATTCGCGAATCCAGCAATGCGAGGGCGGCCATCATACTTATGTTTGAACGGAATGGTTTACCACTTAAAACAGCGGTGATTGATCTGCCAGTGGCATCAAAGGAAGATGAGTGTGATACGAAAGCATACTCGTTACGAAAGCATGATGCAAATTGCTCCAGCAAGTTCAGTTCAGTTGAAGTGTAGTCCAGCGAACAAACGGTGAGGTATTACGCCCAAAGATGCCAGCTTGAAAAAAAAGCCAAATCCGCTCGCTTCTTAAGGAGTAGCTTTAACAGCTTCTTCAGAACAGGTCGATAATTTTACTGTAGTAATCAATAGAGCAGGAAGTGTCATGTTAGGTCGACATCACCGGGTTTGTTACCTAGAAAGTCGTTGCTGATGCACCAAATGTGCTTAGAGGTGAAGTTAAATTATATAATGACGTATGATACGCACGATTATTCCGCATTCTTCACGCCAATTACTTGCGTCCTCGCATTCTCTTTCTCCTTGCACTTATTGGTAGCAGACAAGTTACTTGACGACAATTCTGTGTGACGCCGAGCATTGTGACGCCCAAGCTTCGATTGGACCGCACACTTCCTTGGCCACCGACCCACCCAGTATGACTGCCATAGCTGATACAGCACCACAATGGCAACAAAGGACAGCACATTTAGCAGCACACCAAACACGAGCTCGGACGATGACAGCAACTGCCACCAAGATCCCACCACCGTCGCCACAAATCCTGGCACCGACAGTGATGCTTCGGATGAGCACTTTTCGATGCCACATGACGTCGGAGCCTCATGTAATACACGCCACAAATGTTGCTGGTATCGACAGCACCGCCATCGTAATCGGCACAAAAAGGGATTCCGAACACGGACGAACACACTGCCAGACTCACTGTAGACAGCGTGGACGTTACGGTGCGCGATCGAGGCTTCATCACATCCAAGTCCTCAGTCTGTTTGCCGTCATCATCCACCTCCATCTGCCTGTCACTCTCCAGCATATTGAGCCTCACGCAGCTCTGATCCGGCAACACCGAGGCAGTCTGCTGGTGGCCGTTTTGAGAGGATGCTACCTCGTATTTGCAGTTCGTCACTAACGAGCGCAAAAACGTGTTCTGGTCCAGCAATGATTTGTTCTCAGCTCGCAGACTAGCGATAATGGCCTGCATCTCCTGCTTCTTCTTCTTCAGCTCAACACTTCTGTTGTCAGAGTCGTTAGCTGCACTTTGCGACGCAGACGACTCTTGTTAGCGCTCTCCCGGTTCTTCATCTAGCGGATCTCGCGCTTGGACTTCTTTGCATTAGAGTTGTCGCTGGTTGCAGCAGCAACAGTAATGGAGCTAGAAGACGACACAGACTCATACGCACTGAGTGAAGCCGTGCCAGGAAGGGTGTAAGCCAATGGTCGCTTTTGGTTGGCATCGAATGATGGTGTGAAGTACGCCACCGGCATCGCGTAGGGCAGGGCGTTCGGGAACGGCTTCAATGCTGGCATTGGCTGCATCTTGTCAGTAGACTGCATCGACTTGGATGCATTGATGGGAGTTGACGTGACTGAGCTGTTGGTGATATTGCTGCTACTTTTGCTGATGATCTTGTGCGCTCTAGACGCGAGCAGGTTCTGTCCGCTTGGCAGTGGCGAGTGCATCGTCATGAACAAGCGCAGCGATGATTCTTCGGCTGCAGGAGACAACGTCGAATCTGTATCCACTTGCAATGAATTCGTCGACTGCTTCAAATCAGCAGGAGGCGATGTCGAGGCTTCAGCATCTGTGCTATCATCATCAGTCGTCACTGGACTGGGTGGGAACTGGCTGACAGTGGCTGGAAATAGCGTCTGCTGTAAGTGCGTGTGGCTCCTAGACGACTCAATAATGGGTGTCAGTAGTATATCGTTTGGGTCAAATTCCAGTAGTGATAGATCCGAAGCATCAGTCTCTTGGAAAATAAAATCGTCCATGAACAAATCTGCATCTTCATGTAACGTCATACTTAGTTGAAGTCAAAATGGGAATTGGGGTCAATCAAAAATAGGCACTAAAGTAGCATCGCGACGACCCGTTTATGCTTTTTCCTATCTTACGGCCTATATTGATGACACAGCATACTCGTATTGAGACGCTGTATGTATTATATAATTGGTTTTACAACGGCCTAGCTATCCTTTCTTTCAGCATTCAACTGTTATTAAGAATATTGTAATTAGTGCATCGTGGTTTGAGCTGGCAAGCGGCCATTGGGTAAAACAAGATCAACCCTATTTTATTGCACATCTTCCTTCCTCAAGAATATTGACCAACATTCAAAGTAACTTCAACATCAGCAGCCAATAGTGGCTCGTGATGTTGTCTCCACGTACATGTTTGCTAAGATGTGAGCTTTCACTGTCATAATACGCAAATCATATCAATGGCATTTGTACACAAATGCCATTGGGCATATTTGTCCTTCTACCCTTATGTATATCTTGGTGTTGGTTTCTATTTATACTACTGCATGACATTGCTCCAAGATGCAGCTTCCGATCTGGCCTCTCCATATATAATCGTCATCATGCTATCGTCGTTGATGGAGTCGTTCACGTGGGCTTGGAATAGCTGACTACACGTAATGTTTCAGCATTTGTCGGTCTACCCTGAGCTGTCGTCGCGGCAGTGGTGCTATCAGGAGCAATCATGACGGTAGCGATAGGCGAACACGCGACAATGCTATCGGTACGGTCGGTGCAGCGTCAATAGCCTTGACACTATCTACCCTCTACCATATACGGCGGTGACACTAACATTGGCATCAGGCTCCAAACCAGTAGTACGTGGGACAATACTACCATTGTGTGCCTCGTCAACATCGTTCGTGCCAATTCTACGACTAGATATGGCGACCACAAGTTGCCACTACGTGACATTTCCGCAACACAGGGGACGATGCCCTTAGAAGTTGTGTCAGAAACTGTGAAGATAGGCTCATTTTTGCCATAGCAAGGCACCAACAACGGTACCTTTGGGCACGCAATGAGCGTCTGCGGTCTCGACAATCGCGCTCGGCACGACATTTTTTACTCATGGCTGTGTCTTTGCAACGGCAAAAGCACCCAGGATGGCACTGCTTTATGGCTCAAAATCATTACTTGATTCCAGTGCCTTGGTGTTCCCTTTAGTTCGTTCGGCTGCAGGTCTACGAGCCGTGACACACTCTGTTGTCACTGAGCTTTCAGCACCGTCAGCTACACCAAGTTTTCCACTTAATGAACAATCGCCGCTAGCATTGCTCAAATCCACAGACGCTGTCAATCCACCGCGTCCTCTTAGCGAAAGATTCCTCTCGTCGGTCTTGTTGTCTCCCGGCACACGAGATGATACTACTTGCCTCACCGAAGCGAGGCCAGCTGAGGTTAAAGACGCCTTATCACTGCGGCTTCGCCCTTTCTCCTGCAATGGCTTGCTTCGCCTGCCCAACCGAGAAAAGGTTTTGCTATGTGCCCTTTGAATTTCATCATCATAGCGAGAATTGAGATATCGAGTGCGCTTGCCGGCAACGCGAACTTCACGCCATTCTTCGTGTTTCTTGAGCTGTTCTTGGTATTTGCGCCATATCCTCGCTGCCTGATAGCGCATGAAGTCCCGCTTACAAAATATTACCACCGTTCGATTCTCTGTACGGGGCATGCCAGATACAACAGATGTAGCCGGGACAACCGCAGTCGCTCCAATCGATTCTGTTCTCAAAATAAGCCCTTCATCTGGAGGTATCTCATGCACTTGCTGATCCCGATCGCCTACGGTAGGTAAAATCAACCTTGCACGAGGCCTTTTAGCTTTGCTCATCTTCTTCGGTATCATGGCATCCTTTCCGTTTTCGACTGCATCCAGCCTAATCAAGGATCGAGCGCCTTTCGCCGCTTTCGAAAAGATGGACCCATAGGAAGACAATTGCTTCGCTGTATCATGATGTAGTTTTTTGGTATGCTGCTGCATAGACTGACACGTTGCAGAGGAATCGGACATATCAGATGTCGCGTTCGCCGTCTTCCTACTGACTGAATTCGATCCCTCATACGCAGCAATATTACGGTTGGCAACTTTGGTAGACAATTCATCGACAGGAGCGGCCAGCATCGATTGTGAGTGTGAAGTTAAAATTGACAATCTTGTGTTTGTCACACCAGCGGCCTGTTCCGATGCACGAGCAGCTCGAGACTCCAGGAAAGCTAGATGCATGGGTGTAGACGGTCTCGTAGTTGGTACAAATGCTGACACTCTCACGCCATTAGCACTCTGGTACGGCATGATGGACCCCGCAAGCCGAGTCGGCGGCTGTGGCTGAGAGTTTTGTGCACTTCGTTCTTGAAGCACTTTTTGCCGTTTGACTGGGGTCCTTTTCCTTGGCATCTTACGCTTAGAAGATGCTCGCTGCTGTTTCCCTCCTTGAGGTTGATTTCTCCACGAGTCTGTTTTGCCAGATCCGTCTTCACAATTAAGAATATCTCGCATAGTCAGTAGTCGAACATCTTGTGGTGCCAGCGATACTCCAGGTACTACCGCAGCTCGAGAGGGCAGAATTGGCGGTCTTGGGAGTGTATTACTTCGTCTTTGGGTCTGCATTCCTGCTCCATTCTGAGTCCGAGATCGAGCGAGAATTGCGTTATACATGGCCTCATTTCCTTGAGCTTTAACGAGAACAGTGTTAGAACCAGCAGAAGCAGTGGGAGCATTACCAGCTGTGGGCGCTGCATTAGTAGAAAAATGCTCCATAATCCCGTCCAAGAAAGTTTCATTGAGACTAGAACCACTTGCTTGTCCAAGCGCACCCATCACTTGGCGACTGCGTCGGTTTATTTCGGTGGGGTAACATGGCTGTGGTTGTAGAGTCGGTTGGTAAAAGTATCGTTGCCATGTCTGTTGCATACGTGGCATCTTCGATCTATCCGATTGAATTCCAGCAAGCAACATTAACTTGTGTCTTTTCCACTGATGGACTGCACTGATCATGAAATTTTCATGATTTTGCGCTTGTGAATGCGATGGAACTATCTGCGAGTCCTCTTGTATGGCAACCACCCCGTCGTTTATGCCCATTGACACACTTGATTGTGAATTCCCTTTGTCATCTGACATATACGATTGTGTCGGCATTGACGCTGTTGTTATTCTGCCTGGTAGTTGTTCACTACATCCAACCCGTGCATGGTGAACCTGTCTGGGCTGTAGCACGCAACGGTGTGTCACAGTTCTCCGATCCTCACCACTATGTAAACATGGCGAGCATGCACGTGAAGTGTGTACGTGATTACTCCACTCTGTCTGATCTAATTCACCTGCACTGGTTGAATAACGTGGATGCAGGATTCTCTCCATAACCCTTTGAGCTTGTACTTGTTTCTGTTGCCAAAGCTGCACCTCCATATGCTGCATCTGTGTCTGTATCTCTTGTGGTTGTTCTTGATTCATCTGTATACGTAATTCCTCTTGCTGTGTAAGTTGGTCCTGTATCGTGTCTTGTTGCTGTTGACGCCAGTCATTACTGGATGTCGAAGGGGCATTTGTACCAACCAATAACGATACAACCTCATCTCTTTGACCTGAAAGAGGTCTCACATAGTACGTCCCATTCGATGGATATCCAAACGTTAACAGTCCATTCACCTGTGGCATCTCAGGATTCGATTCATGACACACTTGTTCTTGTTGAGCTCGTAGCAATCGACGACGTTGGATTGGTATCGTCTCTCTATCGTGAAAAGCACATAATGTACGTGCTGTTTCTTCTTCAGATAATGACAATGCTGGACCCCACACCGGGTCTGCCATTTATCGATATCGTTTACTAATCACCCACACCACCTCAAGTAAAAGAATATTATACGATAATTTATATAGATATTTCTATGCAATGGCTTTTTCTATTAGGCGACTAAAAACAAGTGTTTTTTTTATTTTTTACGCTGCTTATATAAGAGCTACTTGTTTGACTTCTAACTTGTATATAAGAGCTACGAGTATCTGTCACTCACGACTAAGCTCCTCCTTGAGTGAACGTTCGGCCGACCCACGACGTAATGGTTTCTGCTGTGATTCATGTGGTGACCAACCAATGAGATAGATAATCTGAAATGTAACAGGTACGGTCCCATCTGGTTGGCCAAACATGGACTGATAAATGGACGCAGCTGCCAGTAGCGAGTCGCGCGTGACGGGAGCTCCTCGTGAATTTACAGCGTGGTTTTCACCCATCCCACGCAAATGCTCCATCAATACAAAGGCATTTGGATAATCTACCTGGATAAAGTCCGTGTCCACTGTATGGAAGGAAATAGTCAAGTTAGTTAGTTTGTCGTGGTTGTTATTACCGTTGACTCGATCGCTCGTACCTGTGCACAAGTTAAAACCCGTGGCGGACAAGAGATTACCAGCATCAGCGACGTTCATGAATGGCGATACGTGAGGTGAGATACCACCTTGACGCTCTTGGTCACCGAGGATGAAGGCACTCCTGTAAAACAATGCAGTGTTAGTGTCGATGATATTTCTTGCGCAAAAAAAATAATATACCGTAGCTCCTGCAGCGAGTCCCCTCCTAGCACCGCCCCAATAAAAGCGCCATCGGGCTTCAACGTGTCCAGAATCTGGCGAAACGTGCTCTCAAGATCGTTCACCCAGTGCAAGCTTAGTGAGCTCATCACCAAGTCGAAGTGGTGGCTCGGGAACGGAAGGAACTCCTCGTCCGCTACCAGGCGTGTTGTCTCCACTACATAGCCCATGAGAGACACACAGTCAACCCGCATGAGTCAAGCTACCTACCAGTTTAGTCTTTTCTCTCTGTTTTCGCAATGACAACGTACGCAAAGTGTTAGTTTCCAGGTCGTCGCGCAAGAGCAAGTTCTCTGCATCACGTAGAAAACCACAAGCAGGAGTTTAGACGCCAGTCTGGTCTACTGTTGTCCCTCTGTTACGTTCACACCAGCCGAGTCACACTGGATTAGTTTCGTGACGCGTCCTAGCCCATCGTCGACACTTAGGTTCTTATACAGGTGGCCACTACCACATCCCAAGTCCAGTGCCAACGGAAACTCACGCTCAATATCCTGCACCATGAAATAAACACCCCAAAAACAATAGCCACAGTACGTCACCCTCTGTCCATACGATGCAGTTCAGGCAGATATGACTCGTATGCGCACGCACCTCCAAGCGGTCGACAAGGCGTCGAGCGACCTCATCCTTGAGGTATTCGTACTCATCACTGTTTTCTAACAGTGCAATATTGTTTCGTTGCTGTCGCTTGATTGCTGTGGCATCGAGGAAACAAGCGATGAGATTACGACTCAAGTAGTATGAGCCGATGACGGAACGAGTTCCAAAACGATGCAGCCGCACCTCGATTAAAGATTGGCGCCGTAGACAACGGACGTCTTAGTACCGAATGCTTTAGTATAGCAGCCATATGATTCTACAAAGCAGCAACATGCACAGACACGTGTGAGATTAACATAAGATAGCCATATAAGCGGAGGATATGCACCATCATTGAGTAGCTTTCGAATGAGTGGGAATGACAGAAATTGGCCAATCATGCAGAATGATGAAAACGACAAATGCTTATTCAGGCTTTGGCTGTTGATTGAAAAGACAGTGGCTAACATGGAATTGCCTGAGTCATTTAATGCTTGCGTGATCCTTTACTACGCCATGGGACGCTGTCACTGAAGATTGGAATGAAATTGTTGATCGCATCACGCTGGTTCTGTACAATGCATTCGCAGATCCAGACCAAATTGCGCACCTCCTGTTCTTTCAGCTTTACGTATGCGTAGAAGCAGGCTGAACGGGACAAACGACTCTGTTAGTTAGACGCACACACTGCACACAATCCATGCGCTCGGATCTACTCGTACCAAAGTGCATTTGACTCTGGAATGCCAATTCCGCCATCTCAACGTCGCGCTCGTAGAACGCGTCATCGATGGACTTGCTGTCCACGCCCTCATCCTGATGCACCTCCCAAATCTTACGATATACTGGAAACGAGTCCAATGCTGAGCCAAGTGCGGCTTCGTCGCCGGCTTCCGCCAACAGCGCAGTCGCATCAGGGTACAGCGAGCCGATGGATGGATACAACGGCTTGCGGTCCGAAATCCGCATCGCAGGCTACAGCACACAGTAAAGTACATTCGACACGGTCAGTCTACACTTTCATTTCTAGCAACTACCAACGTGACTGATAAACCTCATTCAACGGCGTGCCAAACGAGTTCAATGTAATGTTGATCGCAATACTGTCAGCCCGCGCCTTGAGAATTTCCCCCCATGATGACAGCCGTGTCACCGCCAATCTCCTGCAATTGTTGAAGAAGTAAGCGTGTTTGGTCTGTGCCTTTCAAATACGCGTAATACCGTTAAACAACGCACCTGACAGAAATTGTAAAAGTCTTCAAGCCACAGCTTCAACATGCTGTTCTTAATGAGCTCCATCTGCACCTCCTCCAAAACGTTGCGAACATCAGATGTGCCGTCTATGCGGTCACCTCCTGCGCTTTCTTCCAGAAACTGGCTAAAATACGTCCCTGTCAGTAGAGAGCAACGTCATCTTGTCAGCCTCCAAGCAAAGAAGATGCTAAGATAATTCATCTATACCAATGGGGGTGTCAATCAGCACGGTCTCGTACAGATCTGAGTAGCCCTTGGCGTCCGCCTCGAACGTGCAAATGGTGCGCATGATCGATTCATCAAATTTTCCAAGCGGATGGAGCTGCCAGCCGCACAAGAGCAGCAACAAGTAATCAACCGAGAATAAGATTCCATACACGAGACAAACGTATCTGTCTACAACGCTCTTAATCTATTTTCTCTCTCACCTGTCCAATGAGCTCGTTCACATCACGTCCATTAAGAGTTCCCTTCAGTAGAAAAATCATATTGTCAATCATGTACTCGTAGCTGAATGCACACACAAACAAACATCACGTCTTATAACCCTACACAGCACAGCACCACTTATTATCGAAATAACAAGCAAACGTACGTGATAAAATCGAGAAATTTACCCAATGGTTCCATAGCCTGAGCACGTAGAAAATGAAACTCCTCCACGAGTTTATTCGTCGTACCAACTTGAATCAAGGCAGGTGAAATAGTACCCAATGACTAAAACAATAGCAATTAGCACCAATAGCAGTAAAACATCACAGCATCAATTGTAATAATGTTGATAACACTAAGATATGCAGCGTCCTCTCTCTCTCTTTTACCTCATCGGCTAAAAATTGATCATAATCTGTCTCTTGAAGATTTAACTTTACATCTGTAGCAATAAAAGATACAACAAATGATATTTTTAAACTTAGCAAACTCCATCTTCCAGTCATATCATCATTAGTAGTAAGAGTAGTAGTTATAGTATCCTATTGTTTCTCTCTTCTTTGTACCTTCAAGATTTTCACATTGTGTTAAATGATGATAATCTACATCATCTAAGAATCCTGATCGAAATCCACGTACTACTCCTTCAATGTAGCCATGTTGAATATTAAACGTCGAGATACTGCCTGCTGTCATGACCATATTTGATTCTTGTTTACTCAAGTATATCGCTGTTTGTTTAAAACAAAATCAAAAAAACAACGAATTGTTGAAAAAAACATTAGTATAAGAGCAAATAGAACTTTCGTAAGTATGAAAGGTCTATTTTTTGCTCTTATACTGTCTGATAGCTACCTTGTAGAAATGCATAAACAAATAACATCATCATCTAAACAGCTTTGGCGTTCGTAGCCATTCACAGAATGCTCCTACGCTCTCGTCTTCATCAGGTGATGACGATCCAACGTCAATTCATTGCAACGTCTGTACGGAATTGGGAAAGTATTGAATCGAAATGGCAAAAGCAATGGAAGAAGAAGAAAATGAAGCAGCATCTTTCATCTTTGAAGAAGAAGAAGACCTTCTATTGTCTTTCCATGTTTCCATATCCATCAGGTCAATTACATATTGGTCATGTACGTGTGTATACGATTAGTGATTGTATGGCACGTATTAAGTCAATGCAAGGTTATAATGTACTTCATCCAATGGGATGGGACGCTTTTGGATTACCAGCTGAGAATGCAGCCATTGAACATGGCGTCTCACCTGCGGACTGGACAGTGGCGAACATTGCACAGGCAAGACATCAGCTTCAAGCACTGGGGATACAATTTGACTGGGATCGAGAAGTTACAACGTGTTTACCAGACTATTATAAATGGACGCAGTGGATCTTTTTGCAAATGTTTGACAAGGGTCTTGCCTATCGTAAAGAGGCTCTTGTGAATTGGGATCCCGTAGACAAGACGGTACTTGCTAATGAACAGGTGGATGTTGAAGGAAGATCCTGGCGCTCGGGTGCAATGGTGGAGCAGCGGTCGCTCAAACAGTGGTTCTTGCGCATCACGGAGTATGGCGATCGACTGCTGGATGACCTGAACAAGGTAAAGTAGATGAAAACATGCTGGGCGTGAGCATTAAAGAGAAAAAGTATGCTGACATGTGTGTTGTATAGCTGAACAAGTGGCCGGAAGCTGTCAAGCGTATGCAAGCAGCATGGATTGGACGCTCGCAGGGTTCAAGGGTCGAATTTCAGGTCGTATTGGATCCGGCGGCTGCCCAACCGACTACACTAATGGTATTTACGACGCGCGTTGACACGATCTTTGGTGTAAGCTTCATTTCAATCGCTCCTGATAGCGTCAAGGTGGAGGCTCTTCTCCCACATGTTCCGGTGGCACAGCGGACCGCCGTCGACGTCTATGTTGCCAAAGTGCGTGCAATGAGTAACGGTAAGGGCGATACGACTGCCGGAGTGTTCACGGGACTGTATGCGTGTCATCCGCTTACCGGACGCCATGTACCCATATACTTGGCCGAGTATGTGTTAGCACATTACGGTAGCGGTGTGGTCATGGGCGTCCCCGCGCACGATAGCCGAGACTTGGCCTTCGCGCGTCACCACAATCTCGACGTGCGGCCCGTTGTGCGAAGCAGCGACGGAGTAATGTGGAACGAAGACGAGGCGTTCACAGATTTTGGCGTGCTGCATGACTGTAACGAGTTTTCTGGTATGACATCGCAGGAAGCAACCATGGCCATCAACCGTCGCCTCGAAGAGGAGGGTGCTGGTTGTGCCACTACTCAATTTCGTCTGCGTGATTGGTTAGTTTCCCGTCAGCGCTACTGGGGTACTCCTGTACCAATCATCCATTGTCCATCGTGTGGACCGGTTGGAGTTCCTACTGAACAGCTGCCAGTTGTACTGCCGCCTTTGGGAAAAGATGTGGCTAGCGACCTGCGTGGTAAAGGTAGTAGCGACTCTCCTCTTGCGCGCATGCCTGGTTGGCAGGACTGCAAATGCCCTCGTTGCGGCGGCGACGCCAAACGCGACACCGACACACTTGATACGTTTGTTGATAGTTCGTGGTACTTTATGCGCTATTGCGATGCCCGCAACAATTCTGCTGCCTTTGAGCCTGAGCAAGCACAAACATGGCTGAAGCGCACAGGCGTGGACCTTTACATCGGTGGAATCGAGCATGCAATTTTGCACCTACTGTACTCGCGCTTCGTGACCAAATTTATGTTCGATCAAGGATTTTTGGCCACCGATGAGCCTTTTGCTCAGCTGCTAGCCCAAGGCATGGTGCTGGGGCGCACTTACAAGTCGTCCGGTTCGCTACGTCCTTTGGCGCGGGATGAATATGAAGAGGTAGTATCTGATGGTCACGCGGTCGTGGTCGAAAAGAAGACCGGGCATCCCGTGGTAACGCTGTGGGAAAAAATGTCCAAATCGAAACATAACGGCGTGGACCCTGAACAGATCCGTTCACGCTTTGGTGCTGACGTGACACGCCTTGCCGTGCTATTCAAAGCACCACCCGCTTATGATCTGGAGTGGGATGAAGCCGACCTCGCAGGTCAATCGCGCTGGTTGGCACGCGTTTGGTCGCTTTTGGATGGTGTGCTGGTGTCACGGAGTCAAGGTACTAGCTCTTTTGTTGACGAAGAAGAGGAGAAGGAGCTTCGCCACCAACTGCATGGAACGATCAAGCGTGTCACAGAGGCACTGAATGACTTTCAGTCGTTCAATGTTGCTATCGCGGAGCTAATGAAGCTGTCTAACTTACTTGGTGAGCGTCGGACACGGCTACAGGGCTCTGCAGCTTACGAAGAGGCTCTGCGTGCGCTGGTTCAAATGTTGGCACCACTGGCTCCTCATACTTCGGCTGAGATGTTTCAGGCTCTGGAGGATGGTGACGATGCAGCTGATGTCCATGCTTGCTCGTGGCCCGTGTACGATCCTGCGCTACTGGATCGTGCTCAGGTTAAAGTAGTGTTACAGGTGCAAGGCAAGCCGCGTGACACCATTCTTGTGGACTCTGCCTTGCTCGAGGCTCGGGACTCGGATGCAGTGTTGGCGTTGGCACTGGAATCCCTGGCTGTGCAGCGTCACCTACAGGGCCGTGATGTGCGCAAGGCGATTTTGGTTCCTCCCAAGAAACAAGGGACCCATGGACTGTTGAACATTGTTGCAAAGTAGAGGCAAGAACGTTTATTGTATTGACAAATAGATCTCTGTCGTACTCTAGTCTCCTTTATTTGTGTAGGTAGCAGACATGAAACGTCAATGGTAATGCCACATAGAAAACGTTGGTGCGTATGCAGTCTGAACCTATGTAGAACGAAACACTGCTACGAGCCCTCGAGTATGGCGTTGCAAACCAAAAGTGAGCCTTTTGTCTGATCGCTAGTGCTTGTCGCTGTTGCGTCAGTTAGCGACTTTAGGTCACAATAGAATCCATCGATACCAGTCGTAGCGCTACTGCTCGCGAAAGCAAAGGCGCTTCAGGTGCTTCCAAGCGTCACAATTGGCACCGTTCATGTCTGTTTCTCCATCAATGACTCGTCCCAGACAAAACCCTGCTACTATCAAAGTTTTCTCCATACGTAGCAAGTATGATGGAGAAAGTAGTCGATACTGCCAGCTCAATGCCCACTTCGCTTCAAATCGCTCTCTGGGTCAGTCCATGGTCTTTTCGCATCCAATGACCTTGTGCACATGTGATTCATGAAAAGGTTTAACTGTAATCGTCTGCTCTTAGAATGGAAACTTGGAACAGATTCAAAAGTGTTTGAAGGAAGGCGGTCAGGAATCGCTCGAAACGCGAGATGCTCGTGGCAATCGAGCTCTGCATCTAGCGTTAAAACTGGCCCATCGTAACGCGACAGCAATCGTAAAGACTTTGTTGGTAGGAATACGCTGACCCTTTCGTGCCTGTACAGAGCGGGTAGTGACTCACAGTGAATGGTTTGCTTGTTAGGATGCTGGTGCACGTGTACGCTCTCGTGATGTAGAGGGTTGGAAGGCTGTTCACCATGCAGTGGTGAAAGAGAACGAAGAGATTCTACGACTTCTCGTTCGCCGAGGTAGACACTTAAGTACTTGTTTTTTACTTACGCGGATGCGAGCTTGGAAGCTTACCACATTGATTTGCGTATTGTCATTGAAGAGAAAGAGCAAGCACCTGCGCTGTTGCAGAAGAAAATTGACGCCATTTTCCCACGCCTTGCTGAAGTCCCGGACTTTTACTGTGAGATGCTTGTGGATGTCTCCACGTGGATCCCTGGTGTCTCTCGCTGGCTGCCATCGGATACGGTCAAGATTTGGAAGGCAGCTCAGAACATTCGCTTTGATATCACTTTGCTGGGATTTGAGTACGGCAAATGGGACCGAGGAGACTTGTCGTTTCTACTCCTGGGTTCTGAAGGGAAGTTTCTCTGTTTGGACAACAAGTCAAAAACGTGTACCAATCTGCTTAAGCTTGACACGGAGCTTACGGAGACGGATGTGGGTCAGACGGTGCATTTCTTGATGACCACGTCCATTGTGACGACTGACTTTGACGCATCCAAGGTTGCGTTCAAGAAAAAAAACTCGTGGTTTTCCTCCGCCCCAATGCTGCAAGATATTGGTTGCTGGAGAGACACACGCGTTGTTGACATGACCGGTGTTGAGGCCTCACTTCGCTACCGTAAGCCTCACAACCCAGCGCATCCGCTTCCCAAGACTGTAGACAAACAAGTACGTGTGTCTCTTTTGGGTCATGCTGATGCTTGAATTGCGGATTGACCGTTGATGCTTTTCAATTTCGTAGACCACTGTGTGTGACGCAGTTTCATTGCTGACTGAAGCAGAGTCCATTGCCAATCAGTACACGGAAGTTATAGTGGACCCAAAGTCATGCCATATTGTTTCGATAGAGCTGGCAAAGGACGAAGAGCTGACGTGGAAGTTCATGACGGAAAAGCGCGATATTGACTTTGGCGTTCGTTTTGTCGAAGAAAAGAACGGTGAGAAATGGGACGACGTTCTTCCTCTGCATCGCACCAAAGCTCATATAAGCGAGCAGACCGGTTCCTTCCACGCTTCCAGTCCTGGTACAGTTGTGTGTACTTGGGACAACACGTACTCAGTCGTTCGGTAAGGTCCTGTATTCTGATATGATAATGTCTTACGACGATGCAAGACTTACAACTAAGAACTACGAATGTAGATCGAAACGACTGCGCTTTGCTATCATACCATCAAGAGCAAAAGACAATGGATCCACCGAAAGCGACGAGTGGCATGCAACAACAAGGGCAAAAGAGGAGGAAGTATCGTTTAACGATTGGTTTGGTGTATCTATTGAGAGTCTGCCAGCGTCGCTACGTGATCTAAGACCTCGTCGCTGCGTCATGGTGCACACTCAGCCGTCATGCCACAAGATTACAAAGTCGTTTCCTGCTTTGGTTTACATGAGCGATCAGTTTCCTCTAAGTGTACGTTTGGTTCACTTAACAATCTATTCTTGCATTGCGTTGACGCGTTGCTACTATTATTCCTCCATGACATTGTATGATCCAGGTGTCGGAGTTTCTTCCTGTGATCGAAGTGCTTTCAAAAACGACAAGTGTCTTCAAAAGTGTTCAGGAATTCTTCTCAGCGGTACGGAAATGGTATGAACGAAATCAAGTGTCAATTCTAACAAGCGATTCCAATGTCATGGATTAATTCTTTCCAGGCGCTTACCGATGGATTTCCAGTTCAATTTTGCTTTCCCCTTGTGCCGTCGGTATCGGCAACATTCCGCTTTGACTGCATGGAGCTACAAACTCCAGACTTGCATAAGTTTACAGTCCCCAGTTCCTACACCATGCGTGGCGAAGATGCATTCTCTCCACGCACGCACCAAGTCGTGCTGCAGCGTATGACAGTTACCTAACCGTTTCGAGAATTGCAACAAATGCACTTGAGCCATGTTACTGGTGTCAGCGCCTCTGCTTCGGCAGACAATGTGTGACAGCAAGAGTTGATGCGTGACATCTTTGACTTTATGAACAGAACACCCCAATGCAAAAGTGAGATTCAGTGATCAAGTAATGAAACTGCTGTAGATGACTTGATGTGCGGCCTGGCGATCGTCTCCTATCCGCCTACTTGAAACAGATCGCACGAGATGACTGTAGATAAAAACACGTTCCAGCCTGCTTACGTGGTTGAACACTCTTTCCACCGCTGCCCTCAGCGACAGCTCTGCAGCCCTTTCGCTGGTTCGTTTCTTAGTTGCCCCATGACATGGAAGTAGGCGACAGACACATGGTCACTCGGTGGTTGAGTATCGCATCTTACACGACCACACTGACGATATGGTCAAGCTTTATTTCAAGCCAATCCTCACCATAGACCACTGGGACTGTTGCTCTGCTTTCATCAGACGTTTAGCCTTCCATTGCATTGCTACTGTACGTGCGCTGCAATTCGACTACGTTTTAGTTCCTGCAGCCCATCTCTCACCACCTGCTGCGTGAGGTCGTTGGAGACCGTTTGCTGCGTTATATTGCCGAAAAGGCCAAGATTATGTATGACCACTGGAATGCTGGTGATCATGCACAAACGCCCAATAGCTGTCAGGAAATTATATATCACGCGTTCCGATAAGCCCTAGACAAGTGAGCAATATCGCGATGCAAAGTGCTTCTAAAAGTATCCGAGTCAATCGGGTTGAATCGACATCTCCGTATCAGCAACGGTTACTAGCGAAGGTAAAGGCACTTGAGAAACAGGTAGCTAAGCTCCAGGACGTGATCGAGACGATGACTTTAGAGAAAGAGACTGTTGAGATGGATATGGAAATCGCGAAGGAGCATGCTGAGAAATTGCAGCAAGAGGTGGAAAAGCTTACAGCTGCAATGGCGCTATCAGCGGGTACAGGGCGTGATTGTTCGGAAGGATCGTTAGCGGAGGTCTGAAGAAAAAGGCTGAACTTAGCAAGAAGCTGCGTTAGGCTCAACGTGAGAATGCTAAACTCGTGACGCTGTGGAATTAGATAGAAGAACTGGTACGTGACAGTGGTTGTGCTTGCATTGATACTAAGTTGTACTGACATGTATAGTATGCTCTGGTTGTATGCAAAAGACGGCGAAGAAAAACAAGCTGGAAAGCGAAGCAGAGGAACTGAAAGAAATGCTGGACATTGCAAATGCATACAAGACAATGGTAGAAGATCTTACCGAGAAAAAAATCTAACACTCGGTGAGAAGCTCACAGAGTTGCAGTCACTTGAGTCGTTGCGCGAGATGGACCAGGAAATGGAACATCAACACGGGGACGAAAATAACCTCGCAGCGTGCAACGCTACAGGACTAGAAACAGGCGGCATTGAACCAAAAGACCGTACTTGAGGATAAGGAGCGCTCAGCCTTGCTCGCTTCCGTGACCTTGCACGCAGTCACCGAGAAGAGATTGCGCAGCTGAAGGCAAAGCTTCGTGCCGAGAGCGGTGCTGTAGAGTCGCTGAAGGATACGGCACATCTAGCGCTTAAACAAATCATGTGGCTGCGCGCACTGGTAGTAGCTTCTAGCAATACAAATACAGTTGGAAATTAGTCAGTCAAAGTCTCTCCATCAAAACAAAGAGAAAAAAGCGAACGGAGTAACACCTTTGCATGACGTTCGCCTTCAGCTTTTGTGGATACGTTTCCAATCCATAATGCGTGATAACGAAGACGAAGCGCCGTTTCTTCGTCCTTTTCTTGCTGTACTTTGCGTGTTTTCATGTAAATAGCACGCTCACGTTCGTAGAGCTCGATTAGATCTTGGTCGGTAGGAAGAGACGACAAGTAATTCCACACAATCTTCTTAAGCCGTTTGCTGGTCGGAGCATCGTTCACAAACGCCGCACCAAATTCGGTTAGACCAAAAACGAGAATCGCCCAGCGGCCACGAATAACTGAAAACACCAACGACATCATAGCTATTCCAACAAAGACGGTTGCAGTTTTCCACGGATGTGTCCAGTTCAATAGATTTTCTGCACATGCTAATGCTCCACATGCACGACCAATCTCCGTTTGCAGCTGCCTGATTGTGTCTTTTGCTTTCCAGAACGCGTCTAAAAGGTGTGCACCAAGGACTTTTGACTTTTCTTTTTCGACCATGCTTTCACATACAAACTCGGAAAAGTTGCGCTCCACATGACCCACTCGTCGCTTCTTTCTCGATACAGTTGGTTGAGCTGGTCTCACTTCCTCTAACTCACACTTTTTGCTCACGAAACATTTCTCATTTGACGACATCTTGCTTTCCTCAGGAATTTCAAAGCCAACGCGTGCAACCAGATAATTGCCATCCAATTCTTTTGAATGCTGAGAAGGAAGAGCACAATTGTCATTTGGTGTGGAGAAGGAAGACAGGGGGAGACGTAATTCACACGACTGACCGTTTTGCTTCAGAAGGCTTCGGAGTGGAATTGTCGTCGTTGCAGCAATCAGATCTGGTGACTCCTTTGCTTCGCCACTCAAAGACACGCACAAATCAAATTGCAGAAGACCAGGAAATGACGGCCACGGTACCAAATCATCGTGACCAGAAAAGTTTTTCCGAGATGCTTGTGGGATTGGGAAGTAGAAGGCATGGTGATCGACGCCACAGCTAGTGGCTGCAGCAGACGCGTCAGCTGCATCATTTAAGCTTCGCTGATGTGCGGAACATTGGTCGCAGGTGCATATCTTTGAATCATGACGCCAAGATACGTTAAAATTCCGGAACGGAAGTGCTTTTCGAAGGTTTGCAGCAAGCACCGTAGCAGCTGATGGCAGCGAGGTTTTGCGCCAAGTTGGATTCCGACTTTTGCTCACAACATTCGTCCAGGCAACAATAGCCTCATCGTAGCCAGAAGGGTTAAATACCATGTCCCTCGTTTTCGACTGCTTGTCATTTGGTCGGTACTTAATTCGAACATAGTACCCAAGCTTTGACGAGGAAATATCCTTCATACGTGACTGCGATTCAATGAGAAGACTGTCCGTCTCGTGAGATAGATGTGCTTCGTGCACAGCCACATGCAAGTCAGCTAATGGCCGGTACAGCTTCTGCTGTTCCTCTTGTTCAAACTCGTATTCCTCATAACCAATCCAGCGTGCAACATAAGCCCCTTCTAGCCGGAGATGCAGTCGATACAGCATATACATGAGGCTCGCACCACATATGTAAGACAGCGCGTATTCGAAGTCAGCAAACACACACATGTATACAAAAGTAGCAAAGCACACCGCTGATTTTTTCTTGTTTTTCCACGAAATTATGCTGGCATATTTAGCATCAATCCCTTGAAAAACCTTCAGCGCCCTGCTAAACCGCTCGATTGTAATCCGCAGTGATTCGACCGAAAACTCTTTCTCTTTTCGTTTGAGAAGATAAGCGTCCTCGTTTGCACGTACGCGAAGCAAGTCTTCTTTGTACTCCACATATTTTAGCTCAATTAATGCAAGGCCAAGCTTTTCACCAGGCTGGAGTTTAGATCCGTGAGGTAGCGAGAGCTCAGACTGTTCCTTGTTGTCCAAAATTGGCAATGCTCCCCATGAATCGTTAACTGCGCTTGATTCATCTCAATTTTGAGGCTAAAATGGCGAAGAGGCTTACGCAAACTGGTCAGTATCGGATTTGTTCGAATGAACATGTCAGCTTCGCGCTGGAGTAGCTGAAAGAGTGAAACGTTAAATTGAGCAATGCACAGATCTGAGTTGAAATCAGTCACTTCAATGTGGAATGCCGAGTTCGGATGCCAAGCCTTAAAGCATAAATTATCCATGTACATCGGGTCACACTTTTCAGTACAGGACTCGTTTCAATGCACAATGCCGTCAAAATGAATACGACAGTAGGTGTCCCCTTCGAAGATATTCTTCGCGTGAAAATCGACGCGACAATGTTTAGTACACAAAAGTACACAAAAAGTTCCCCCGCACACCATCATGTAGTACGCCACAAGTCGGTAAGTAATGCCGCCTCCACGTTCTTTTTCTCCTGTGCAATGCTCAGTTGGTTAGGCCAAAAACATTCGCATCCCAGGCAGCTCCATCGCCCAATGCACTGTTACGTAAAAAGTACCAGGTTTGTTCAAACTTGACACATAAGTCTTTGACAAGCTTAGAAATTCATCGCGAGACGTGTTTTCAGGGTGTTGTGTCAATACATTGGCAGTAAATTGCGCACAACCCTCGTGCGTGACAACGCTCATCTTCGTCAGCCGATACATGCTGCCAGAAGCATCGTCAGGCCACGAAACTTCGCACCATTACACGTTCTCGGATAGTTATCAGCGTCTTGAGTAATCTCTTCGATCTCTCCAGTCTTAAAGATCGGATCCATCTCTGTACTGGTAAAGTAAAAAAAAATCAACTTTTCAGCGTCTTTTGCTGTTTGTGTGTTTATCCACATGAATCTAATATAAACCTTGTGTACATTTTTGATTGTGTTGTATTATTTATGGAAAAAAAAAAAAAGAACATCTCAAACAAAGGATACTATCATAAAACCTCAGGTTAAAGAAATTAAGTCGCTTTGTGTCTGTCTCTTGTGTCTGTCGCTTTGTGTGTGTCTGTCTCTTCTGTTTGACTCTTCATTCTTTCTGTGTATTTCACCAATCGAACTATTAATAACCACGAATTTATGGAAAATAATAAAAAGAACATCTCTCAAGCAAAGGATACTATTATCTCAAAAAAAACCTCATGTTCAAGCAATTAAGTCGCTTTGTGTCTGTCTGTCTCTGCTGTCTGTCTCTTCTGTCTGTCTTGTAACCAATCGAATCATTCCATGAAGATTGGCGCCAAAATGCTTCGAAAAAAAGCAGACAAGCGCGTCATTCCATCCATTAACGCGATCATCCAAAACCATTCGAGGGATTGACTTTCATTTTTCAAAAAGCTCTCGTCGTGTCCTCTTCACTTACGTCAAACGTAGTTTTTCTATCAATCTCAGTTCATTTCCAATTTTTTCAGTGATGACCGTGCAAAGTCTTGTTAAGATGTTTGAAACCATGGCCGTTTCGGCAAGGGTGGATACATCAAAACAATTGCTGGAACCATTACCTAACCGCAGTAACGTTCTTCGATTGGCGAGGTACTACGATGGGCTGAAACAGCCTGAAGATTTTGTTCTGACCAAGAGTGTCCGTCAGAACAAGTCTGTCGTGATCAAGGAGTCCCAACAACCTATAAAGATGGAGGTACAGATGGAGAAGATGGAGGTACAGCAGAAACACATCCAGTCGAGTATCAGATGCCAGGAGTCAAGCGCTCGACCGACAGTGAGCAAAGGCTCTAGACTACCTCAGTCGCGTGTACTACCGAACTTCGTGAGCAAGATCCCGCAGCCAAAATCACGCGAGTTCCATTTAGCTGCCTATTTAAAGAGGAAATCTACTGTAGACGATGCATTTCGCACTCGCGTGTCTTCTTGCAGCTTGAAGGACGCGAATGAGCCAGTAGTCGTATCACCGTCGGTCCCTGTTTCTAACCGAGTGCGTTCTCCTGCTGCGTACTACGGTGCTTTTGTTGCTCGGATTGAGAAGTCGGAGTCTCGTTTGCTTGATTTTGAGAAGAATGAACGATGGTTGGAACAGATTAAGAGCATGAAAAGTCGAATTGAGGAACTCAAGAGAAGAAATCACACTGCATTAGCAAAGGAGGTGGCGAGTATGCCGCGAAAGAAAAGGAGTCTGAGTGAATGCAGTGCTGACTCAACGGCGTCTACTGCATCAATATCGTCGATGGACATGCCATGCCAGTGATCATGTGTTAGCATTACGCACTATTTGAGTGAATTTATCGAAGTTGTTAGTATCTATTGAACTGCATACATTACATACATACATTTATACATTACATACATCTACATAATCACATTTACATACAAACACTTTCCACACATGTTGTCGACATGAATCGAATGTAAACCCTGTGTACATTTCTGATTGTGTTGTTTACTATTCTATTAAGTTTATGTGATGTAGCATGTATCTGAAGTAAGCAAGTAACTCAATGAAGTAAACAATCGATATTAAACAAATTCATCGTAGCCTGAAGCTTCAACTTGGTGCTCAAGTAACGTTTGGTGCTGGTAAGACAGGTATTGTACGCTTTATAAGAGAGACATAATTTACAAGTGGTGAATGGGGTAGGTATGGAATCAGAAAAACCTAAAGGAAAGAATAATGGAGAGCTCAATGACCGTGTTTACTTTATATGTGTGCCTATTTACGCTCTCAGTGTAAAGAAATCATAAATGGTTTGCTCGGTCTTATCATCGTCTTCTACTGTATCTATGACTCCTCAGAGTCGCTTATTGTATGGAACTAGTACGCAAGCGTCGAACGTGATCAAAACGTCAATTTTAGCGCCTGGTTTGGGCTTCAATTGCTCCCAACTTGCGGCTCCTAAGTCACGAACGTCTTTGACTACAACAAGTAGTCGGAACAGTCTGTTGACTACTTTATCTGGTACTTCAAGGCTTTTGATTGACCGACAAATGTCTACGGAAGGTGGACTGGTGCAATGGCGAACAATCAATTGATGTAGGCACGAGCGAAAATCTTACGGCTAGGAGAGATGGAGCAGAGAAACAGGCATGTAGAGCAGCTGAGACAAAGTGTTGCCGTAATGAAAGAGGCAGCTACTACTAACAGTGATGAGCTCAAGTTGCAAGGGAAGACAAAGGAAAAGCAAATGGATGACGTGATTGCGAAACCCAAAAAGTGGATACTGATGGAGACGAAAAGATGGAGGAAGTTGTGGATATGAAGGAAAAAAAGGCTGCTACTGCAGAAATAATTGGCGCAGAAAGTCAGGATTATCCACGATGAAGCGGAGATACACGTGCAATCGGTGCGTGCCGAGCTAGAAGACCACATTACAAGCCCTGAGCTTGACTTGGCAACAGCCATAGCAACCTTCTTTCCGTCTTCTTTTGCTCGGCCGCCGTGAATGCCGCAATGCGCAGCTTTTGCTGTGCAACTTCTGCATCCAATGCCCTTTCCCTCCGAAGCATGTGTCGCATTTTCAACTTGCAATTCATTCAGCTGTCTTTCGTGCTCATGCTGCCGCACAGCACATGAGATCGTATACGATATTCCTGCTTAGTATCTCTTCGGGGCTGTAAAGTCTTTCGTCCACTGGGCCATATCAATAGGATGCGACTCTTCCGACGCCGAGCTGTCCTCTTGCCACACTTTGATGGTCTTGTCAGCCTCGCACGTGATAAACCGCCTACATAACATCAATATCGTCAGTCGTCGATAACCAAGCAGACGCACACTATTGCGTGATTGCACGTACAGGCCTGTCTTGTCGAAGGTCGATGCGAAAATGCCTGTTTCGCTGTCCAGGGAGCCGGGCTGCGCTTTCGTCGAGTCGCTCTGAAAACAGTAGCCCGTCTGGTAGTCCCAAAAGCGCATGGATCCGTTATCTCCACACGAGATCATCACGCCATCTTGGTTGATTGATATCGAGTTAACGATAGCATTGTGCGTCGAAAAGTTGCGTAGGAAACGACCTTGCTTCGCCTCCCACTTTTTCATATTGTCTGCTGCACCTGACACGAATGTGTGATCCTGCAGTCAGATGAAAAAATCGTCAGTTCCATGTTCAAAAAGGTTAGCAGCGGCAAACCAGCACAACATAAAGTTACCGTCGGAGATTTTGTCACAGCGCGGACAGCCTTCTTGTGATTAGTTAGTGTTGTCATCACCTTGCCGGCGGCAAGATCCCACAGCTGCAGCAAAAGCAAGAAGTGAGTAGATAAACTACATACAAGGCGGTAAACAAGTGATCACACCTTGACCGTACTATCGCTAGAGCCCGTGATAATCTGTGGATCCGTTGCTTGTGTCTCCATGGCCCAAACAGTGCCCTGGTGGCCAGAAAGCACGTGAATCTGATTCTTCGTTCGAATGTCCCACACCTACCGAATACAAACCACGATCAGCTCGTTACTCACTTGCACACAAAGCTATGCTAAACCGTGGCAAAAATACTTACTCGAGCGACGGCATCGCGACCTCCAGTGACGAGGACATCTAGTGTTGGGTGCATTTTCAGCGAAAAGACGCCTGAAAGATGGCCATGATAGCTTCGAATGACCTTGTTGTACTCGAGGTCCCAGCACAGCACCTTTTTGTCTTCTCCTGCCGAAAAGAGATAAGGATGGCGTGGACTCACTTCTAGACCGCGGATCGCATTGATATGCCCAGTAAGCGTGAGCTTAAGCTGTCCTGATGCCAAGTCCCAAACCTTAATAGTCCGATCAGCAGAACCTGTAACGAACCAATCGTTCGTAGGATCCACGGAAATCGAGCGCACCCATCCAAGATGGCCAGCAATCACGCGCTTAAGTTTCCACGGTGCGTGCCACTTGGGCTTGGGTACCTCTGTCACACGACGACGAATTATAGCACTTGTGCCAAACTGAGCCGTCGTTTCTGTCCGTTTCTTGTACTCTACAACTGCCGAGGAGGTATCTCCGTTGATGTTTGCTGCCGCACTAGCAGTAACAAAACCAAAATAGCAAGACAAAAGTTGCGGCACAACCACAAAATGAGATAAAGTAGAGACCAAATCAAGTATGTCCTTGACGTACATTTTCCGCTTCTTAAGCGCCAGCTCCTTTTCCGTCTCTTTCGCCACCTGCTCTACAAACGACAGTGTTTCTGGAGCTCCTGGTAGTGTTTTCACACCTGAAATAGAAATTCCTGGACCTGTTGGTATTGGATGTCCATCCATGATCACATCGCATGGTGTTGGAATAGAGTCCGAAGTCATAAGAGTAGCCACTTCAAGTAAAGTAGGTGTCGTGTCAATCGCTTTCGTAACTACCTTTGGCTCGAGCAGTGCTTGAGGGTATTCCATCAAGTATGTATCATTCAATTTTGTACGCACACGCACCTTTTTGCTAGTAAACCACATCCACATACAAATAACAAGATATTAGTTAAACTAGTCCTATAATTATTCATCAAAATTGATTCTTCTTCTCACCCAGGTGCATAATCATATGCTACTGATGTATTTCGTTTTGTCAGTGCAAACATTTCTGCCGTACGAAGCACTGATGTCTCTATCTGCTGTACATTTATTGGCGTTACAGCGTCCACTGATGATGACACCGCCGTCACGTTGACTACTTTTGACATGATTGTGATTTTTGTATTTTGTACCATTCGGAGACTCGTACTTTAGCGAATGAAAACGATACAACAATTGAATTGTGACAATAGGATGGATGATTTTTTTGTAACTTGATCCTTTTTAGTGCAAAATGCTGTGACTTTTTCATGTTTGCATGAAAATTTACCAACAAATTATATGCTTCTGGTTAGTATGTTAATAATTCCCTATCTACTACGTCCATCAGATTAGTCCCATAGTCAATATACGTTTTATCATTCTTGACTTGTAGACGATCGTGCCATACGAATAATACCTACAGCATCATGACCTCGTCGGAATTGAGTTCCTCTGCGGGTGAATCATCAGCTGTCTCTGCTTCATCATTGTTGTTCCAGACAAGGTCAGACAGCAAATTACGCAACTTCTTGTACGCTTCGTGGAACTTGAGGCACTCGCCGCTTGTACGCCGAAATTCCACCACACATCGTCCCTACATAGCATCAAAAGTATCATCACGTCAGTACACCTTGCAGTAGACAATTCCAGCATTAGTATCGAGTCGGTAGTCAAACACCTACACACGTCGCAAGCAAGCACCAGAGGTAAAGTGACAACAACAGCAGTGTTGCTAGCTGTTATCACGGACCACCTCTCACTTGCTCGCAACAACGACATGCTTCGACTACCGACATTCATCCCGCTCGAGCTTCTTACGTTGTCTAGTGAGTAAATGCGCACAGCAATTTTCACGTCCTCCACGTCTAAAGCCATCGTAGCCTTAGTTTTGAAACGATCCTTGTGCACCACAAAGCGCGCCGATTGCTCTGCCAATGCCTTCTCCACTCGTGTCTGCAACTCGGTTGCCGTCCGACACGACTGGAAACTTGTGTATAGCGCCACACTGGTGTCAGGGTACGACGGCGCCTCCTTCGAACTTATCTCTGCGGCTGCCGATTCTGTGGCGGTAGGAATCGTCATCGATCGTTCAACGTCCATGTTGAAAGGATCAAATTCTTCATTCTGCTGTTGCAGCCGTCGCTTTGTGGCCACACGCATCTTCTCCTCGTGCTCCTTACGCTTCTCCTCTTCCACCTGCTGCTTGCGACTCAAAAGCTCTGCACGCAGATCAGCTGGCGAAACCAAGTCCTCCTTAAACCAGTAATGGGTCTTGATCTCGGCTAGAGTGATGCGTTCTTGTGGCTTGACGTTAAAAATACGTGTCATGAGTGACATGGCGCCCGACGAAAATGTGGCGGATCTGGCATGTGCAGCCCAAAACTTTTCGTGCTGCTTAGCCGCACACGCCCTGAACCACCAATCCTGGCTGGTAGCGATCTGAAAGGGAGGGAATCCCGCCAGCATGATGAATAGCACCACTCCAGCCGACCACACGTCGGCCGGCTTTCCATCATACGGTCGACATGACAGCACTTCTGGGCTCATATATCCCCTCGTACCGCATTGCGTGTAGAGATCCACCACTGCTCCATTTGCCTTTTCTTTCAACCCCGAGAGTCCAAAATCCGCAATTTTCAACGCAAAGTTCTCGTCCAACAGTAGGTTTTCCGGCTTAATGTCTCGATGGTATACTCCTTGAGCATGACAAGCCTCCAAACCGGCCACAAGCTGCTGAAAATAAGCACGTGCAATGCTCTCTGAGAAGGAACCCGTGTACATCATGAAGTCAAAGAGCTCTCCGCCAGTGGCCAGCTCCAGTACAATCACAATCACCTGCTTGCTGCTACATTCCCTCTTGGAATATGGCACATCATCGTATACTGATAGTAAACGTAGTACATTCGTATGTGATACACGTGACATGGCTTCCACCTCACGATAGACGTTGATCATGGCCTTCCGATGCAGCTTGGCCATGTCAATGATCTTGAGTGCCACACGCTGATGTGTGATAGTGTCGACACCTAGTTTAACTTTTCCTTGAAGTCCAGATCCAAGAGTATGTAGCACTTGATACTGCGCCAGCATACGCGGCGGCGGCGGCTGCTGTTGCGAGTACTGTGCAAAGTCCATCTTGATGACTGGAGACTACAGATTGACGCTTCAAGGAGTATTGCAGCGTTTCGATTGGTAAAAAACAGAAATTCTGGAATATGGTAAAATCCTTTACTTGCTATTTTAGCTTATATTATTAATAGATGTGTACTTTCTCAGCCAACACATTTCTTTGCAACCGTTGAAAATCGGCTTGATTACACTATAAAATCGATTTCAAACGGGGTTAAGAATGTTAAGAAAATAACTGAATATCACAATAATTGCTTACTAATCGAATGCTGGCGACTGACTTTTGAAAGAGAAAGAAAAGTAGTGCCTGTCGTTGCTACAACAAGAGCACGTAATACCGCGTATTTATGCACAAGATCGAAAAGTGAAAAGCTATAGGCTAGGGCCTACGAACAAAAATCAACTACAGTATGGTCGTAATACTACGAGTGAATGAATATGACTGAGCAAAGAGTAGGAATCGATTACAAGTTGTTAGTAGTGAGCATTACTATAAAATGTAATGTAGCAGGCGCTAGCTGGATGTTACCAAATGCTTGTCATGTACGCGGCCATGAATGTATTTTCATGCTCCTCCTATTCATTATCACTGAAGGTCGGTCTTCAAACCTCCAGTTTGGTTGTGCTTTGCAGAATAGAGCAATGTGTACATATTCCTTTAATTCCATAGGACCACCATTGATCTTTGACTGATACAAAGAAGTAAATAAAGTCCTGCGCCAAAGGTGTTGCAAACACCCGAGTAGGTCATCTAGGCAGCAACAAATTGATAGATAAATTACACAGAGCTTTGTAAACGCAATTGCTACAGCACTGCTACTCTAATGCAAGATTCATCCATGTTAGTTCTGTGTAGTTTCTGTAGTAGTGTTAGTCGATAGTCTTGGTAGCTATGTCGACATGAAATGTAATACTCTGAACTTGACAGATACGAGACAATCTCGAAGCGAAAGAAGGGTCGATGCAATAAGCAAAACGATCTCTAGAATCCCGACACAGCTGAATCATGTGTCAGTGTGTGTGTGGTAAAAGAATGAATACGTCTTTGTCCACATGGAAAGCACCATCCGATTTGATATTAATACTAACGACGAATACGAGACTCGATATTTATCTATTGATTTTGTATTGAATTCCAATATCTGTTTGTTTTTAATATGACGAGCGTAACCCCCAAGAAGATGAAGGTGAGCGAACTGCGCGCGGCGTTAGAATCCCGCGGACTGAGCTCGAATGGGCTTAAGACGGAGCTGATCCAGCGGCTGGAATTAGCTTTGGATGAGGAGGAGTTTGGCAGTGAAGCGCAGGAGATGGAGGAGCTTAAGGTAGAGAGTCCTAAAAACACGAAGAAGGTCGAATCGAAGAAGAAGGAGGCGCCTGCTGCTACGGTCGACGTGGGAATGAAAGCTGTAAAGGAAACTGATACAAAGCCTTTGTCTCCTGTAAAGAAGATGGTGTCGCCTAGTGGACATTCGACTTATGTCTCGGTTGAGACGAAGAGGCAAGAAAAGGAGGAAGACCCGGTTACTGCTGAGCCAGTGCCGGAGAAGGAGAAACCCGAGACGGAAAAGGGACTAAGTAGCACCAGTGAATCCGAGATGGACGCTCCTGCTAAGCCCATGACGGAGGAGGAGAAGCGAGCGGCCCGTGCTGCCAAGTTTGGCATCCCCTTGAGTCTAGAAGACAAGAAGGTGGGAGAAAGGGCCGTTGAAAGGAATTGATCATTGATATGATGGGAGGATTGATCAACTCATAATTGTGTGTGGGTGTTGCAATGTGGCTGTTTCTTGTAGGCGCAGCGAGCAAAGCGTTTTCAACTTCCCAGTGCAGGTACGGCAATCCCGCAGATATGAAGCAAGCCAATTGACTGACGAACTGGGATTTGAATGGGTGATTGGTTCAGTGGCAGTAGATGAGGATGCAAAGCGACTTAAGCGTGCAGAACGTTTCAACTTGGAGACGAAAGATACGGTACGTAGCTGACAAAAGCTTATTACATATGCCCATTACTGAAGAATGCACACGTTTGTTCATTGTCGCTACTGATTGTCATTGTCAGCTTGATAAGAAAAAGGAAGCACGTGCCGAGCGTTTCGGTCTGAATGCGGAGGAAAAACGGCGTCTAGAGCGCGCGAAGCGCTTCAATCTCGAAACCAGCGAAGTGGTGCGTTTGCTAGATGGAGCATTGCAAAGTCCTCGGTGATGACGTTTAACAGCAATTTGTAATTGTTCGGTGCAGTTCCAGGAAAAGCGACAAAAGCGTCGAGAGCGTTTTGCGACTGCTTCAAAATGAAACTGTCTTGCTTGTTCTCGACCCAACGGACATGCGCAAGCCTTAGTTCCACTGCGCACTCACCCACTCAGAGATTTTTTTTCCAGCTGAGCTTAGATTCTAGGATCAAGTCTTGAGACTGATAATAGTCCAGTGGTCCAATTGCAGTCCATAAAGTTCTTTTCGATACAAATGCAACAAAACGATGATGATACAACAATTAACAATTCAGCCCCTCCCTCCTTACATGTCTGTCGTGACGGTGGTACGATATGTACTTACGATGAGGCGAAGCTTAAGGACGTGGTGACGTCACAGATTTAATTTGATTGGTCAATAAATATAGCTACTGACCAATCATCGATGATCCAGAAGAGGCAGCCAAAGATAAAGGGGGAGACGACATTTCATCACTTCAAGTCAAGCTTCGCACCCACAGAGAGGTTTCGTCCTTGGTTTTCTCACGCGTGTTACTCGATTTCTGCCTTGATTCACACATCTCCTTGCACTTTATTGTATTCCCCTTTCATTTATCTTTCGAACGCACTGCTTTTTAGTATCCATTCTATCCTCTTTTCTTATCTTTTTACACTATGACGACGCCCCCTCCAATTGCTCGACAGGCTCTAAAATCTGATGCTGAAGCTGAATTACTACCTGTAGAGGTAGGGCAAACTATTTGGATACCTGGCACGGATCGTGTATGGGATAAAGGCTCTGTTATGGCCATTGGTGGACTCAAAGTGACGGTACGAACTCAGGCTGGAAAGATTCAACAGGTAGATCGAGGTCTTGCACTACCACAGAACCCACGTGAGGCTGGTGATATGACGTCTCTTTACTATATTCATGAGCCTGGGGTATTGCACAATTTGGAAGAGCGTTGTAAGCTTGATGGTGGTGATGGTACAGGTCAAAAACCCTACACTTTCATGGCCAATGTGTTAATTGCTGTTAATCCATTACGGCAGCTGCCCAATCCACGTATTAGTGAGGTTGTGAACACTGCTGGTAGTGCACCTCATCCTTATTCCATTGCCGAAATGGCTTATCAGCAGATGGTCTACAACTCGGGTACTGACCAACCGACGAATCAGTCAGTCGTCATTAGTGGTGAAAGTGGTGCTGGTAAAACCGAATCATCTAAGATCGTGCTACGTCACCTGACTACACGTGGTTTGTATGGCAAAAAGGCGCGTGGCGGCGAGATTGAGACTCTATCAAAGTCTCGTCAACAGCACGGCACGTCGCTAGATCATCGTTTGATTGAACAGAATCCGATCCTGGAAGCTTTTGGTAATGCCAAGACTCTGCGCAACTACAACTCGTCGCGTTTCGGCAAATTTATGAAGCTACAATTCACGTCAGACGGCGAGTTTAAGCTGGCTGGTGCGTTAGTGGAGACGTACTTGCTGGAAAAGTCGCGTCTTGTGTACCAAGTAGACGGCGAGCGCAACTTTCATATTTTCTACCAGCTGTTAGCCGGTGTGTCGACTGCAGCACGCCAGGAGTTTGAACTTACGGAACCTGAGGACTTTTCCTATCTAAACCAGAGTGGATGTTATATTGCCGAGGAAACGGACGACCGTGCGTGCTTTGAGGCCGTGGTGCGCGGTTTGAGCTGTGTTGGTATCAACGAGCAGGTACAGCACGTGATCTTTTCGGTGGCAGCCGGTCTGCTGCATCTCGGTAACGTTGAGTTTGATCAAGAAGATACGCCTGAGGGCGAAGCTGCCGTTATTGAAAAAGAGTCAGCAAAGCGTGCTCTCACGGTGGCTGCTAAACTGCTAGGCGTCAAGAAGGACGACTTGTGGAAGGTGATTATGACGCGCGACATCGTGACGCGTGAGGAGACGTACACTGTTCGGCGCAACGAACAGGCTGCGGTGTACGCACGTGATGCCATTGCGAAGGCACTCTACAGCCGCATGTTTGACTGGGTGATTAAGCAGGTAAACTCGTCATTGGGTCACGATCCTAATCCACTGCCGTACATTGGTGTGCTGGATATTTTCGGTTTTGAGTCATTCCAACGCAACGACTTTGAGCAGTTGCTTATCAATTACACGAATGAGGTGCTGCAGGCGACATTTAACAACCAAGTTTTCATTGCCGAAATGGAGCTTTACAAGCGCGAAGGTATAACAGTAGGAACGATCAAGTGGCCTGACAACCGAGAATGTGTGGATTTGATTGCTTCAAAGCCCAGTGGTATCCTGGCGCTGCTGGATGCCGAGGCAATGAACCCACAGCCCAGTGACGCAAAATTCTTGCGTACGCTACACTCGAAGCACTCGAAGCACCCATACTTCCCGCGACCGCACCCGAAAGACATGGAGCACATGTTCATTGTGAGGCACTTTGCTGGCGCTGTGAGCTACACGATCGGATCGTTTATTGACAAGAATAACGACTCCATTCCCGCTGATATGTCAAATCTCTTTTCGGGCTCCTCAAACAGATTGGTTCCTGCATTTTTCCAGCAGGAGCCCAGCACTAGCCGACCGGGTAAGAGGAAACTGACCAAGAGTGTGGCAGCAAAGTTTTCGAATCAGATGCAGGAACTGGTAGACACGTTGGACGCAACGCGATGTAACTTCATCCGCTGCATTAAGCCAAACGCGTTAATGCGTGTGGGTATGTTCGATCCGCGATATGTCGTGGGTCAACTTCGTTGCCAGGGTATCATGCAAACTGCTCAGGTTCTCAAGGTTGGTCTGCCCACCCGTGTGAGCTACAGCGAGTTGGTGGGAGCTTATAAGAAGTTTATGCCGCCTGATGCTCAACGGCTGTTTGCAAACCAGAGTGACCCGACACTCATTACAGCCATTTTGTGGGCATTCCAGGTGCCGATGGATGCGTACAAGCTAGGTATCACGAAGTTGTTTTTCAAGGCCGGCAAAATTGCTGTGTTGGACTCGATTTTGAAAATCAATTGGGCCAGGGAAGGCCCACACATTGTGTCACGTATGAAGCTGTGGCTGGCGCGTCGTCGTTGGCGTGTGGGTCTAGCAAAGGTTGTTGCTCAAAATAGCTTTGCAAAGCTGTTGCGTCGTATCCAATTCCGCCGCAACTCAGTGGCGCGCATCCAGCGCTGGTGGCGTTCATTGTCGCTGCGTCGCGATTTTAAGAAGAAGCGTTCGGCTGCGGTGGTGTTACAGGCTCTTTTCCGTGGCATGACAGCACGTCGCTTGTTCAAGTCAAAGAAGCAGGAAATGCTTGCTTTGGCAGCTGCACGTGCTGCTGAGGCTAAGCGGCAGGCAGAGGAGGCTAAGCGTCGCGAAGAGGAGGCACGTATGGCGGCCGAAATTGCTCGTCGTGAGAGCATTGCTCGCGCTGCGGCCCAAGACGACCGCATACGCATGGAAGAAGAGGCTCGTGCTGCTGAGGAAGAGGCGATTAGACTGGCCAAGGAAGCGGCGGCTGCGGTGGCAGAAGCCGAGGCTGCTGCTGCGGAGGCTACTGCTGCCGTTGAACACGAGCGCCAGGCCGAGCTACGTGCTATTGCAGAGGCGAAAGAACTTGAAGAGCGCATGAAGCGCGAGCGTCAAGAGGCTGAGCGTCGCAAGGAACAGGCTTTACTAGAAGCTGCCAGCGTCAGTGCCAGCCTTTTGAGCGGGCTTGCGCAGGTGAACAGTGTGCAGACTCCTTCTGGTCAGGTGCACGTGGTGGAGATTCCGGACAATGTTTCACAGGAGAACCGTGAACAACTGCAGCAGCTGAACGACTTGCTCTTAAGCGGTGCTATCGCTCAGTCCGAGTACGACGAACTGGTACCATTTTTACTGGAGAAGCTCGAAGAAGCCCCATCTGGTGCTGCTCTCACTGCCGAACAGGAGGAATCGTTGAGCCGCTTGTATACAACAGGTGTTTACGGTATCCAAATCCGCTGCCCGGCTTGTGGTGCTACCAACAACACGGCCAACGGAAACCACTGTGATGAGTGCGGTTCGTTGCTTACCACTAGCGACGAATCGGCTGCTGCTGCTGACCCCGGCTACTTTGGAGATCAGTCTCGCCAGGAGAGAAGCATGTCGACGTTGACGGCGCCACTCGGCTCGTTTATTACGGTGAATGGTCACATTATGATTCACGATGGCTACTTTGAAGCACAGATGCACCGGACGCAAGTGCTTCAGGACGATAATTATACGGAATACACGGTGTACGTGTTGCGTTGCCAGTGGCAGCCGAAGGACTCGAGTGAGTCGACGACATGGCTAGTGTCCCACCGGTTTAGCGTCTTTGAAAAGCTGCACAAGGATTTGAAACGGAAGGTGCCAGCTGCGGTGGCTATGGTTCCTCTGTTTCCCCGCAAGCACGTTCTTGGAGGCGTGTTCAAGGGTAAGACGGGAAACTCAAGCGCGATTGTAGAGGAGCGTAAGCGAGGTCTGGAGCGATACGTGGCGCAGGTGCTAGAATTGTGCGCGCATCTTCCCGAGACTCTGAATGTGCCGGAGCTGGATCGCTTTTTGAACGTATCGCGCCAGGTTGAGCAATACCGCCGTCAGCTTATGTCTGGCGGGGCTGATGACTCCGGCGCTGCTCCTGCTGGATTTGGTCGTGCGCTGAACGTGAATGCTGGCGGAGCTGAAGGAATGGCAGCCCGTGAGCAGGCCCGTTTGCCTACTGAATTGCCTACACCGTTGGATGAGGAGGAACTGTCTCACACGGAGCAGGCAGTGGCGCTGCTAAATGCGTCCATTCGTAGTTCACGTGGCGACTTGCGCCGCGACCCACAAGTGCAGCACCACCTGAAGGTGTGCGTGCAGCTCTTGCCTCGACTACAGATCTCGGCGAATCTGGACAACCCATTCGCAAACGTGGATCTGATCCCGCGAGCGATGCAGTGCCAGGAGGATCTAGAGACGACCATGGGTCTATACAATGATTCGTTGCTTGCTGTTACGGAGACGTACGCGCTCTCGGCCCAAGAGGGCGGTGGTGGTGTGCAGGCACCACCTCCTTACGTTCCAGGCCAGCAAAACTCGTACCAGCCCAGCTATGGCGTTTAATCATCTTGTTGACAAGTAACTGATTCCAATGAACAGCTTTAGTTGTGGTCGCTGGTCCTGGGCTTACAACGCTTGGTGACGCGCATGGAAGGAAGAAAATAAGCAGCAGGAAACCGTTGGTAGCTTGTTGGAAACAAACGTTAACGGACAGACAAGGGGTTAGCGAGATTGCATATTGTTGCATGTTATTCTTAATTCAAGTACATTTGATTGAAACGACAAGTTCAAAAGGGTAAATTCAATAGTTACAGGAAAAGAAGATAGCTGGCTGATGAGGAGATAGCTAGATAGATATCAAGGTGATGACGACCTATCAAAGAAACCTGCGCTGCAATATGCTTGCATTGCCCAACTTGCATTGCGACGATGCACATTAGGCAGCGCTTGCAGGCACGACGTTGCGAACTGGTACATGCTGTGCTTGAACGTGCGGCTCTGGATGCCGGACTTGCTGCTGGGACGGTGTCACTCCCGAGGCAGCCAGTAAAGAGTCATTGTACATCGCAACGGCCTGGTGCAGGTCTTCTTCGCACTGCATAGCACGAGGAATGAGTTCGGCACTGGCAAACGGATTTTCTAGGTCAGCAGAGCGCTGCAAACCCGGTGCCAACTGCACGCACACATTTAAATGATGTTGCACAATGCCATCGGTACGTACGTCACCTCGTGCTTTGCGTACGGCCTGCGCAAGGAGCTTTACAGCACCCTCCGCTTGAGCAAGTTCTATCTCATCCATAGGCGGAGCCACGGACTGAGCAGAAAACATTGCGGAGCCTGCATGCTCAGAAAAGGATGTGGGCACCGCTGTGGAGGAAGTCGGAGCCACCGTTTGTTGAGTGTATTCGGCCGGCATACTAGAAGACACAGTAGAAGCTGTAGCAACGTTGGGGTGTTGCGAGAGAAAGAGCCGAATCTGGTGCGAGATATCCAAGAACTCATCTAGCTCTGGCTGTGCATTGGACAGAATTGCGCACATCTCAAGCAACCGCGGCATGTAGATCGTCAAGCCCTGCTTTCTCTTCTCCAATCGATCAGTCAGGTGATATTTGGCTGGAAATGGAGGCAACGACACCGCGATTGAGCGTGATAACCTCTTCTTGAGCCTTTTGTGCAGCTTTTCAAAGTTGCTAAAGCGTTGTGAGACGTACCACGTCGCTTCAGTTTGCTGCCTTCCATCCTCAATGACTTGTCGAGGACGCCATGTGCAGCACATGACAAAAACTTGGCAAGTTTTGCCTTCCCTTGTCGCAATGGTCTGTGTGTTTTGCACAACGCAGGAGAAGAAGCCGTCACAAAACATGACGTGTCCAGCATCTGACAGTGTGAATGCGTCTGTAGTAGGCGGTACAATATGTCCTGTGCTTCCTCTAGTCCCCAACCTCCTCGCAGCTGCTGCAGCCGGCAACCCATTAATAATCATAAGCCGTGAGTTGCACACGTAGCAGTGTCGACTGCGCGCTGTGTCATTACTGGTGCTGCACACCGGACAGCGTAATTGCAGTCCTGTGGACACGGAAGCTGCAAGAGTTGCGAGAATCTGATACTGAGGCGGCGCCTCAACGGGTGGCGGAGGGACCACATCTTCGGCAAAACGAACATTGCGACGAACAGCCGATTGTTGTTCATTTGATGCTGCTGCATTCGTGTCACTTGGCTGCTGTGCTTGGGCAGTAACACGTGTGGCGTAATTTTGTCGATGTGACTGAAATGTAGGGGACACAAACGGTCGGAGTTCGTCATACTCTTGGACGGTTAAGCATCCACTAATCAATGAATTATTAAGGTGACGAAGCTGTTCACGGCGGTTGATAGATGATGTCTCAGCCATAGCGCAAGTGGAAATATACTACTAAGAAATAGCGTCGATGCTTGTTCTGGTTCTCGTTCTATCTATAAAAACCGAACACACGCTGTCCAGCACCAAATTTTAGACAAGTGAATTATGTCTTTTCTAGGATGATTGGTTCTATCAACAAGCTTTGTAGGATAGAGCTCACGGTAAGATGGACGGGATTTTTACTGTATTGGTGCGTCCGTGGTTAACTTGTCATAGCTTTTCTGTAACCAGTTTAACGTGAGTAATTGTGAAAAACTGTCGATCGTGAGTTTGTCAATGTCTTGAGTATCCATCACAGTAAAATTCAGCGTCTTGGTCGAATTCCCGAGCATCAAGAACGAGTTGGAACTCCAGTACCCGAGTACGTCTAGCACATCAATTTCCACGAAGAATGCCACGAAGTCGGTTGATACGAGCTGGACGCTAAATGCAATGGCATTATCGGTCTCCATTTTCACGACAGAGTGTACGCTCACGTCACCCCACCCGAGCTTCAGGTGCTTGAACGGCGCAAAAAAGTGATGCGTATCCTCACATACACGCGTCAAATCAGACCCAGGGTCACTGCTCTTCGCAACGCAGCGTACATGCAAGTAGCAGGATGTGCTATGGCAAAATGTGCCATTATGATTGAGGATGGTGTCGACGTCCAGTTCGTCAATCAATCGACTCTCCTGAATACGCACAAAACACACACGGATACATTAGCTTGCCCTGCAAACTCAACCAACCAATCTGCACACCATCACCACATACCAGTGCTGCTATTTCGATGGCCTGACGATTGATTGACTTTACGAGGCTGCCACAATTGGTTCGCCGAAGCTCGTAGACGACGTCCACACGCAACTTTTGGTTCACATCACTTACGCCATGCACCTGAACGGTTTTGCTGTCTCTCAGCTCGTAAAGGGAAATGATAAAAGGAGCAAACTCTCGCTTTGCCACATAGTGCAAGCTTTTCCATCGACCGGAGTACTCAATACTTGACCAACTGCTGCCTTGCCAAATATCATTCAGCTGCCAATACAAAACGCCCATGGTCATGCCAAGGTCGGGATTTTTGCCACGACGCCACGTCTGAATGGCGGTTTGGTAGCACAATGATTGCTGGATTTGAGTCAGATACAGATACGACTCAATGCGCTTGCTAATGCTAGAACCAAAAGATTGATCTCCCCGAGCATCAGACGCTTTACTCAGCCACTCTTCGTTGCTAAAGGGGAATGGAACATGAAAGCGGCGTTTCAGTTGCGTAAGCATTTGAGTTGTGCCGTTTTCATGCCTTTCACGATACTTTAACAATTTCCAAAATGCTTGAAAGGAGCCCCAATCATCCTTCGAGCTAACGACGCGTAGCGAAGAAGCTGAAGGCCAGCTTTGAAAACCAAACTCGGAAATGAAGCGAGCGCGCGGGTAGATCTGGTAGTCTTGACAGTCGCTGTTATAGTCGTAGAAGTGGACATCACTACAGCAACAATGCACACAAAGTTCAATGAAGTCATTTACAATCTGGCGTTGCAGTGATGTTGACACAATGCTCACCCAAAAGCGATCCCGTTCGAGGGGCCCCATCGTTTGACGTAAGGATCAGTCGAATACAAACCGTTCGACGGCGATGTGTCAACAAACGGTCTCGTTGGGTCCATTGTAATGATAGTGGGGTGGATAAGGTCCACGAAAAGCGTAGTGTAGTCGGCAACTGCAATGTCGCGATTAAAAGTCATTCCTGGAGGAAATATCGGAGCTTCAACAAACTGCTCCATCATGTTTTCGTTTTCGTTGTTACCACCCCAAATTGCGATGCTCGTGTATTTGCGAAGGCGTCTAACCTGAAATCTCACCTCCTGCAATGCATTTTCGAGAAATACAGTATCTCGAGGATACATTCCGCAAGCATACATGAGATCCTGCCATACTAGGATGCCCAAGTGATCGCATACGGAGTAAAAGAAGTCGGATTCGTATCGACCGCCGCCCCAAACACGAATCTGTCACAGGATAGCATTAGTAGAATAATTGTGATGTCGTACAGAGCTACAACTATCGCACCATGTTCATGTTTGCAGCACGCGCGCTCTCCAGTAAATGACGCACCGTAGACGTCTTGGTACGTGTGGGAAACGAATCGGTTGGGATCAAGTTTGCACCTTTGATAAACACAGGAACATGGTTAATTCTAAAATAAAATGTCTTTCCAGTCACATTTCCGGCACGTGTGTCGTCCTGAATGAGTTCCACGAGGCGAACACCGCTCTTGTGAGAAAGAGATGCGCTGAAGTGCGCGTTCCATGCATCCACACGTAGATTATACAGGTATGCCTCGCCGTATCCTCCAGGCCACCATAGCTTTGGATTGTCCAACCGAAACCTACAGTCACAGCATCAAACGGTATTCATTAGGAGCATAACAGCACCATGCACTCCCAATTTTCAGCAACTTACGTGAGATCGATCGTCTCATCTTTCGTCCAGTTCTTCGAGATCGTTGTAGTGATTGCCGTCTTTCTCACCTCATTGACAAACAGTTCAAACGTGACATTCTCATGCGTCACTTTGCCTCCTTGTAACGTCACATGAACAGTAACATCCACAATCGAAAGGTCCTCCTTCCTACTCGGAAAGACGTGCACCACATGCAAGTCCTTCAGCTTGATCACAGGTTGTTCAATCTCAATAAACGCTGCACCAGTAATACCCGATGTGACATAGGCCGGTCCCCAATCCCAGCCAAAATCTGATCCAGCCTTGCGAACAAATGAGCGACGTGTCGGCTCCGTCCACGTGTTAAAATTCCTTGTCATTGGGACAAAGTATGGATACTTGTCAGCTTGATGTCTCGTGTAGTTAATCACCGGCTCAAACTCTACTTGAATCTGGTTGATGCCCGTTCGAAGCACATCTGTAACATCAAACTGATATGGTATGAACGAGTTTGCTGTAATGGCGACTTGCTTGTCATTGACCATCACACGTGCGATACCATCGAGCGTCTCAAACACGAGCTTTATCTGTGACTTGATATCATTCGGTAGTAATGTCACTTGTGTCTTGTATATCCATGTCTCCTGTGCAACCCATTGATACACTCTCTCATGAAATCGGTAGTATGGGTCGTCTAATATCCCCGCTTCCATCAAGTGAAGGTGCGACGAGCCTGGTACTGACACATTGTCTACACACACGGATCCATTCGTAGAGCAAAATGTCCATGGATTTAACGTAATAATAACAACTTTGTTTGCAAGTCCCGTAGACCATATAATAGTATTCACTATGAATACACCAACGAAGTATACGCTCAATGTCTTCATTCTATTGCAAATAATGGAGACTTGTGTGTCCGCTATGACAAATCGACACTTCAACCACAAGACCTTTTTCTGTTCAATTGGTATAAATTAGGATCAGAAATTGGTATTTCAATAAAAATCGAGATTAAATTTCAATTTTTCTAAAAGAAAAAAGGTCAGAATTTCATACAAATTTTCCATACAAAAGCTAGTACTACGATCACCCACGTTAAGTGCTTGTGAGAAGAGAGTAATAGTATGGCAACACGAGACTTGACGCGTCAGTTCTTGCAGCTACGTACGGATGAAAAGGCCAAGGTATTACGACGTAAGAACATTGTGAGTCGTCGAGAAGAAGAAGAAGAAGAAGCAGATGATGATGCTAATGGGTTTAGAAAGAACAAGAAGAAGATGAAGGAGATGAATAGTATTGTTATTATTGGTCCAGAATGGGTGAATGTTGTAAATGTGACGAATCAACACGTAGCCCGGATTAAAGAAATGAGTACGTACTGGTAGATGGATAAAGCTCAGGTAATCTCACTTATTGTGGCTAAGTTGTGAGATTGGATTGGTTTTGGTGTAGTGGAAAAGCTCCATAAACTTCATACGAGTCGCTTGATGGTGCGTTTTGACGGTTCGGAATCAAAGTATGAGCAGGAGATTGATTACGTGACGTTAGAAATCACGAACGAGTTTCGCAGTGCTGAAAAAGAATTACGACGGATGGCTCAGAGGGATTGGAATAAAGAGTTCTCAGCTGCTGACGCCAAAACGAGACAGAATGTACAAAGGTGCGTTGGATGTGCTGGAGTATCGAATGATTGTGTTGTGGTATGTGTATTGATTTGTCTAGGTGTTGGTGTCTTGCTATGGCAGAGCTTTGGCAACGCAACTACAGAAATTGTCAAGTGACTTTCGAAAGTCACAAAAGACATATCTTGCACGCGTAAAGAACCAGAAAGAGGGTCCAGTAGAGTTTGATTTCTTGACTGAGAATGATACTAAGCAGAAACGACATGGTAGACTTGAGACGGTACGTACGTTTGATCGGTAGTGTATTGTGCAAGTTTCAACAAGAAAAGCTCTTGTGGTCTAACGTAATTGCTGCAGGGATTTACAACAACGCAAGTCACCGAGGTCGAGATTGCCGAGGACGTTATTAACGAGCGTGATCAGGAAATTCAACGTATTGCTGCGTCTATCACGGAGTTGGCGACAATATTTAAGGAACTAGCCGTGCTTGTTATCGACCAGGGCACGATCCTAGACCGCATTGATTATAACATGGAACAGGTCGTGGAGCAGACGGAAAAGGGTATTGAAGAGCTAGAGAAAGCTGAGAAAACGCAGAAGAATAGTCGACCTATGAAATGTATTGGTCTGCTGCTCGTGATGATCTTCATTATGACTGTGCTGCTCGTGCTTAAACATTCGTAGAATAATAACGTTACCAAAGCTAACAAGAGTCAAAGATGAATTTTAAATGCAAATATTGTGGTTCTGGGTCGTTGTTGTCATATTTTGCCGGTCAATTATGGAGCTTGAGCTGAAGCAACAGCAGACGCTCATGTCCTCGCTGCGTGTGTTTGTAGACACTCTACGGGATATAAAGCAGGAAAAGGACGCGAATGATGTGAAGCACAACATTGTAGCCGCCGTGTGCGCGTTGTGCGCGTCTTCCGAGACGCAAAATAACGGTCAATGGCACGACGTTGCGTGGAGACGTGGTCTCGTGCCTCTTTTCCAGCGTCTTTGCTTCTGTATGACGCAATTAGGAGAGCTAGAGGTGCAGGAGAAGAAGCAAAGCGAGACACTGACGATTCGACAAGATGACAAGCCGAAGGCGCCTGTAGGTCTGTTGAGTCTACGGGACTATTCGGTCTTACAGGCTGCAATCGAGCTTCTCTTTTGCTGGGGTGCATACCCTCGTGTGGCTGCGGGAGTATTGATGCCTATTGAGAAGAGAAGACCTACACGCACTCTAGAGAGTGAGACATTCGAGAGACTGTTTTTGAGCAAGTATCGGTCTATCTACTGACTTTGTTGATCACGTGTGGCTGCTGCAGTTTCTACGGATGTGCTGATGTGGGGGGTATCGTGAATACACTCGAGTTACTGTTGATGCAGAATCTCGTAGAGAGAAGACGATTGATGAGCTGCTAAGTATGACACAGGCGTTACTGCACTTGCTGTCATTGCCGCAGTTCCAGCCGATTCTACTGCCCAAGTACGTAGTTGAGTTACTAGCTCTGCTCGTTTATGGAGAAGTTGCGGTCGATACAAAAATAGTGACACCATCTCAGGTGGAGTTTATTCGACTGCGGAAGATGGTCTTACGTATGCTACCGCTGCGTATGAGCATGAGCAGTCTGCGGGCTGCACTTGGCCAGACCACACCTGCAGCAAGTGAACAGGCGGTGGGTCTGCGGTTCAAGGCACGCTGTGGAAAATTATTGTCGCGATTGCTCATGCAAGACGGAGGAATTGTAGCGACGATTGAAATGTTGCTGGGAGCGGTAGAAGAAGGAAACACACAAGCTAGAATGCAGGTTGTTTCTCTTATCTGCCAGTGCCCGAGCGGAGAGGACGTGGAAAAGTACGCAGCCGCTTTATGTATACAAGTTTGCAATCTGCTGCTTGCGGCCGTGACTCCAGAAAAGGGAAATACGAGCAGCAAATTGCGGGGTGAAATGGCAGCATTGCTTGCAGACCGATTGGCAACTCAGCATACCAGGCTGTTCGACTCACATATTTTGTCCGTGCTGTTTCACCCGTTGCTGATTTATGAGGATAGCCGGGCTGATGCAATGGCTCCAGCCAGAGAAGTGAGTGAAGAAGCTTTGACTCGCTGCATAGGCATCGCCCATCTGCTCGTTTGCGGTCCGCCTCCTTCTCAACAATTCTTGCAAGCTCTTGCCCCAATAATTCGCCCACTTCTACACATGTACGCGTTTGCTGCAACCAGCAAAAGCTTTCTGGCAACACCTCTCCGTGCGGTGCTCACTACTTGGATTTGCTCGTGTTCAAGTGCGGCCCTTCTTCTTCAAGTATCTGTGCTTCCCGTGATACTACCTCTCCAGCCAGCTCTGACCGCTTGCGGCTATGAACGAAATCATCCAGAGGGCTCTTGGAGACCACTGCGGCAATTTTGTGCTGGAGGAAGTGGCGGTATATCGCTACGGCCTATTCAGTCATCTTTTTCGCTAACAGGTACAACAAATGGTGCGTTTGGGTCACTGAAAGCGTTGATAACGCCACTGGTGGAGCTTTTGGGTGATAAAGAACTCCAAGACTCGGAAGTGGTGGGCGATCTGTTTTCATCGCTCTTGTTGACGTATATGCACGTCCGGAAGGGCGGCGAGGCAGAAATTATCGATTCTGACGCTAAGAATGGCAGCGCAACATCAGCACTGGCATTATACGAACCTTTGAAAACCCCTACAAGTGTTGAAGGTGTCGAGATGGTGCTGATGCTGTTACTGACGCTTATTGAGTGCTTGGGACCATCCGTGCTACGCAGCGCTGCTACAGTACTGCAGTGTATAGGAACTGTATTAGAGGTATACAACACTCCTGCAACACATATTGCGGAAAAAAAGAAGCAAAGCGAAAGTGCTACTCAGGCAGAGGATACTGAAGGTGAGGAAGGAGACGAGATTTTGACAATATGCTTAGGAGTAGTGATGACAATTTTGGAGGTGGGCTCGTCACATCGTAGCAACTCAGAGGAGCAACAGCTTCGTGAAATGCTGCCAGTGCTAGAAGTACTGTCTCGACACCCACGACCTGAAGCTGCAGAGCTTGCAAGCAATGCACGGGCACAGATTCTAAGTCGTAGCGCGGTGGATGCTGGCACAAACACTACCGGAGCAGGCAAGCAGAGTTTTGAAGAAGTACTGCAGAATGCTGAGCAAGATCTATCAAGTGAGCTGGTACCGCTACGGGCACGTGGCGTAGTAACACTGACAAAACTTGTGCGTCAGAGTCATTCACATGCATGCGACACAGAGTGGATACCTCGCGTGCATACTCTATCTCGCGTCTTCATGTTTCATCTGCACGACTCAGAAAGTTACGTGTTCCTTGCAGCTGTGCAGGGTCTGGCAGCACTATCTGACGTGCACCCCGATGTTGCGATCCCCGCGTTGGTGAAAGCGCTGGGAGACTTGAATAACACATTGGAAGTTCGCATTAAGCTAAGTGAAGCATTGCTGTTCTCAGCGAAACGATGTGGCGAAACACTTCCCAAGTACGGCAAGCTGTTCGTATATGCGTACTTGGATTGTATTCGCCCTTCTACATCTATGAAGAAACGGGTGGAAAGTATGCAGAAAGAGGCGAGCAAGCCTGTCCAGATGGTTGAGGTGATACAGAGTGATGAAGGGAAAGTAGCAGCCACAAAGGATGCCGAATATCCAGATGATGAGTCTCAGAGTACACAGGAGCTTCTTGCATCTGCTACTCTACGGGCAAGCTGTCTTTCAAATCTTGCCGAAGTGTGCGCACTCTTGCAGTGGGGACTGCAGCCATATCTGGTGGACGTGCTCACGTGTGTGTTTGGCTTTTTGCAGCTGGAACTCGCGCTTGAAGCCAAGCATCAAAACCCAATGTCTGCTAGTTGCGATGTCATTGGAGACGATGATCAGAAGAAGCTGTGGAAACACCAAGAGGTGGAGCAGCAGCAGTGCGTCGTAACGGTACGACGTGGAGCCGTCTTCCTGCTGCGGTATCTTGTTGAGCTACTTGGCTGGAAGATGTTGGAGATCATGCCGGATCACTTATCCCCACTGTACCATACGCTGAAGCACGTAGCGCGTGTGGATCGAGATGAGGTGACAATTTTCCATGTCAAACGAGCGCTGAGTGCGCTCAATGATGTAATGCGAGCTGAGCTTTTCCCTCGAGTGGAGCAGCAGGACATGTCCTTTGGTATCTCGAACTTGCGCATACTATAGGCTTGGTATTTCGTTATTGTAAAAATGGACCTTTTTTAACTACATCCCGATACTTCAACCTACTCTAAAGTACTGTACTAATCATCTCGAATACTAATCACCTCTCTTTTGCCGTAATCACAGGTAAACCTACAACAAAGCATGCAGCTTGACTAAGCACCAAGCCAAGTCCTGCAGCTGACAAGGAATTGGCAATCTTTCTCTCTCTGATGTCCTTGTAAGACATATTACGACCGATGTAGTACCAGCACGGTATAGTTGCTTTGACAGCCTGTGTCTTGTCATACACTTTATTTTGAGGACGCTACTTGATCGGTCTTTGATCTACCTCGTTACCCCGCACAAAACATAGACCAATTACTACACTGCAACAAGCTTCGTCATTTGAGCTTGGATTAGAAGACTGCTAAGGTCAGTTGCATTGGCACTCTTTGTTTGTCGATCATGGTTAAGGATTGCTGCACCCTATGAGAATGGAACCAGCTCTGCGCTTGCGTTGATCGATATCGAAGATGGTATGGTTGTCAAGCATGCATATTGGAGTCAAATACCTTACCGCGATGCCTTTTTTTGCATTGAAGGATAGGCGAGAGTGCAAGAATTGCTCGTCACTATCACCCTGAAGACTAGTCAATTACTGTATCTGCTGAGAGCACATATTGCAATTGCCGTCGTCCTGCATAGCTCTCGTTTCATACTCAGCATGCTCCAGTGCATGACATCGGTGCTGTCGTCGAGCGATCCTAATTTGAGCTCAGACATTTCCGAGATCGAGCAATTTCGTGCTCGCCGTCGTCTCCTATGTCGTGGGCAGACTACTGCAATGTCCCCTACGGAAAACGAGGAACCGATCGTCGAAGACGGACGCATGCGCAAGTTCTCGGCAACATGGCAGCAGAAACAGCAATTGGAACAGTGCCACCGTCAGTACGACCATGCCATTTGGCCGAGGTCGGCGGGAATTGAAATGTGCATGGGCTACAACGCCTTTGACTTTTCGGCGTCACCTGAAGTCTTTTACGACGAGCCAATCGAGCCCATTGTAACTAAAGATTATGCTGCTCAAGCTAAACAGCAAGACATCGGTGAGGTGCAGGAGCTGCACATGACCGACATGACCAAAAAGGCAACGTCTATGGGCTTCGACAGCGCAAGTATGTGGGATCGAATGCTTCCTGAACTTTGCAACCCTAAAGGAGCAAACCAGATGATGTAGAAGTTGGGACAAACCTCGTTGTGGAAAGGTCCATTGCATCTCACAACGTACAATCACCGACGAGCTCCTTACTTGCAGTCTACTTGGCTTGAAAGTCGATCTGCTTATCAACATCCGTGGATCGCAGCAAGTAAATGAACAGAGTGCTTTCAATTTGAGATGACGATGTTCTTGTGCATTCTGTCTTGAATCATCTGAGCTCGTTCAACAGCTCAATCTTATTACAACTCATCTCGTGACGTCCTAGTACCGAAAGCTGCCTGGATGCTGCGACTCTTTATTGTCGCAAGTGCTTCCAACCTTGTCTCTTTTCATATTGAGTTGTGGTTGTGGGATCAAATTACTCATACTCTTACTTCAGCACTACGAGCAATGCGATTAGAAGCAAGCAAAGCAGGTGCTTGTTGCGATTGTCAGTCTAGGATTAGTCGATAGGGGTGTGATTACGATGCATAATGATAGTACACGCCAGAGTATAGACCCCCCCATTGATACCTCAGTCCTAAGTTTTCATTGTCCAGCTCAAACCAATCTATCCTCAATTCCTCTCACGAAGAGCCCCTACCCTCTCTTCATGGCCGAAGTGGGCGAGGTTCTGCCTTGGCATGCCGCACTTGCTGCCACTGGTTGCAAACGCATGGGGCAAGTGGGGTAATAAGTACAGCTGGCGGCGTCCCCCGTGTGCCACGCGTCACATGTGCGGCACACAAGGGATCGCGCAAGCAGTTACCCAGGGAAAGCTTAACGAGTGACGGCGTCCCAACGCCACCCGTTAATGCTTAGGCACGTGCACAGGTCAGATCAGCTCGAACGACCGCGCAAGCAGTTAACCAAGGCTCTACAGGCACGTGTTGTTGCAACGGCGTCGGCACATTTCAGATGAATGGGTCTTCCGAGCGGCCGACAGAAACGTCATAAACAAAGGTACACGTCTGACACGATGCGCTAGCAGCATCGTCCGGCAATCCCGAGAGCGTCACCATTGATAGAAGGCCCCGTACAACAAATGTGACTTGATCAAGCACTGAGGCTGAGGAATTATCAGACAGTTTCGACACTAAACGGTTCAATCGACAGGTCAGCTTCTCTCTTCTCAACTATCAAGTTGAAATAGTATCAAACTTCTTGAATCCAACACAAGCATTGTCACGCACTCACTCTGTGTTGCATTGTTCTGTAATACAGTTGACGCACCTAGTCCTGCACTTTGCATTGTTCTGTAATACAGTTGACGCACCTCACTAGAATTCGACATAGTCCTGAACTTTTTCCAAACAGTTCACATTAATACTCTAGCTATCATGAAAATTGCCTTCTTCTCTACCCACAGTTACGATATTGAATCAATTGAACGCGCTGCCAAGGAGGATAGAGTTACACCCGAACATAAACTCAAGTTCTTCAGCTCACGGCTGGATACGAACGCTGCCAAATTGGCTGAAGGTTGCGAGGGTGTGTGCATTTTCGTTAATGATATTGCCGACGAAACTGTCTTGCGCATGCTGGCTTCTGGTGGTACAAAAGTCATGTTTCTGCGTTGTGCAGGCTTTGATATGATTGACTTGAAGGTTGCCAAAGAGCTCGACATGCCAGTCATTCGTGTCCCTGCCTACTCGCCGCACTCTGTTGCTGAATATGCTGCAGCATTGATGATGACGCTGAACCGCAAGATCCATCGCTCGTATAATCGTACGCGCGAGCTAAACTTCCGCTTGGAGGGTCTATTAGGCTTTGATATTAATAAAAGGACCATTGGAGTCGTCGGTACGGGCAAGATTGGTGCTCTGTTTGCACGTATTGCTACAGGTTTCGGTTGCAAGGTTCTTGCCTATGATGTAAAGCAGAGCACGGAAGCTCTGAGTTGTGGGGTCGAATACGTCAGTTTGGATGAGATATGGTCGCGTTCGGATATCATCTCACTGCACTGTCCGCTGCTTCCGTCAACCAAGCACGTGATCAACGCAGCTAGTATCTCAAAGATGAAAGATGGTGTCATGATTATTAACACGAGTCGCGGTGGTCTTATCAACACCAAAGCTCTCGTGAACGGCCTGAAAAGCTGCAAGATCGGTTCAGTGGGCTTGGACGTGTTTGAGGGTGAGGGTGAATACTTTTACTCGGATCAATCATGTCGTATCATTGCCGATGAGAATCTTGCTCGTTTGTTTACATTCCCGAACGTGATTATCACTGGCCACCAGGCTTTTTTCACACAGGAAGCATTGGCAAACATTAGTCACACCACAATGGACAATATCAAGGCGTACGATGCGAAAAAAGAGCTTGTGAACGAGATCAAGTAGGTCACCTTTTTACTGTAATGGAGCACAAATATGAACAAGTGCTAGTCCAACTTAACTCAATTCTGGACGATATGATTTGAAGCGGAACATTTATTATAGCGTGCTCTATTTTAAAGTAGCATTCGGTTCTTCTCTCGTTTAAACAGTTACAAGGTCGTCTGTAGATAAGAAACAAAATATGAACCCATCCAGTCAGGACAGATCTTTGCGCCCGTCGACGCGATACATAAATTGTACATAAAAAACAATAACTCATTGATGCAATGGAAGACAAGAAGGACCTCTTGGTAACAGTTGTGAGTGCTCCAGAGACGCAGAGTAAGCTAGCAGATCCAAATGAGGACACATACATTGGACGTGTACGTAAGACATTCTATATGCTTGATTTCCGCACAGCTTTTACAACAAATCAGGCGCTACAGGATGCACAAGATCAAGTGTCGGCACATCGTCGGGGAGAGTCTGTGGATCCACTTAAGCTCAAGCACGCACAGTATGTGACAGACGCTATTCTACATCCAGACACTGGAAAGCCTGTGATTATACTGCTACGTGCGTCTATGATTGTGCCTATGAATATGATCATGGATGGTGCTATGCTCTTGGCCAATAGCACCAAGACGACGATTTTTGCACAGTGGCTGAATCAGACGTACAATGCATTGCATTATTATGCCAATCGCAATGCTTCTAACCAAGATACGGCAAAGCAGCGTCTTGCTGCATACGTGGGTGCCACAGCCAGTTCAGTGGGTGCATCACTCGGTATCCGACGCTTGGTGGAGCAAATGAAAGGTGGCAAGTGGACGCCTGCTGTTGCTCGTACGGGCCCGTTTGCTGCAGTCGCTGCTGCAGATTTGATCAATATGGCAGTCATGAGACAAAGCGAGTATCGAAACGGAGTTTATGTGTACGACGAGAATGGAGATTACGTGGGAAAGTCAAAGACGTGTGGAGCACTGGCAGTTGCTTCATGCGCGGCGGGAAGGATCTTTGCCGCTGCACCTATTTTGTTACTCCCACCACTAGTGATCTCGAGGATTGAAAAGCACAGCACGTTGTTTACGCGGCAAAAGACACGATGGCTGCGCACTCCTATTCTATTGGGACTCGTGGGCTGTGCAATTCAGTTTTCCGTGCCACTGACGTTTGGACTATTCCGCCAAACTGCGCAACTCGACTCCAAGTACCTAGAGCCAAGTCTGAAGCAGGCTAAGCGCAAGCAGGATAGCCAACCCGTGCGTGTTGTCACCTATAACAAGGGTATCTGATGTTTCCGTGTCAGCTCAAGTCGTGACAATTGCATCTTAGCGATGCAGTTCAGTAACAGTGTCGCAGTCATGAAATCTCGTGCAAATACACTTCTTGTAGAATGAATGTTACAGATTTTGGACACGGGAGATAAGAGAGATCATCAAGTCCAGAGAGGACCTCACCATTATCGAATCAACAAAATGTACCCGGATTGTCTTGGGTCTTTAGGGAGTGCCAGTTGATAACGCCCATGCTCCTTACTGTCCAATGGCGTTGAGTTCAGCAAAGAACTTGTCGTCGAAATTCTTCCACGACGATTGCGCTCTTCAACAAACGGGTGACCGTGAAGAAAACAAACTGCAGAATTTGAACAAGGTGGTGAGGATGGAAAAGTCAAAAACTTAACGACGCATTGCTTGGTGTTGGTCATCGTGTGTATGTGTGGCTGTGCCCAAGCTTTGATGTTGTCAATCACATTTGTATCATAGTGCAACAGGGATCATCCATTCACACTTTTTAGAACGTGTAGGAGCTACCAAATGACAATTGGCGCGTCTTACTCGTATTTTTGAAACCTCGAACGCGTAAATGACCAGCTATTACTATTATTCAGCTTGGAGCTTCCTAGTAGTTGTACTGTAACAACTTACGAATCAACCGTTATTGGTCTTCTTGATTCAGCACTTCATGACGAATAGCAATGACCAATGGGTTACTCTAGGCCACACGTCTACGATAACATAACACGATCATGTTCATAGCATTGTGCTTGTATTCATTCATAGCATAAGACGCACATGCATCGATGGCATCCGATATAAAAGAACGTAGACATTGCCTTGAGAAGGTCCACATTGTTGTTTGATTTGTTGGGTCTTCTGCTTGACTATATTTGTACATTACATGCTTCTGCATCTTAACCTGGCATCACAATATTCCCGTCCACAATTTGGATTTGTAGTTAACATGTCAAGCTTACGAATATAGCGGCGGGAGGTCGAAGGATGCGTTCCCAGGAATGACTTCCACATTCGTTCCCAAACGATGTGCCTGAATAAACCCGGTCGATCCAGACCCCTCCAGTGAACTAAAGGTGACTTCACCTCCAAAATAGCGCGCGAATAACCTTGCCATGGGCAGTCCGTACCCGCCTCCACTATAATGCTGTCTATAACTGTGATAGCTGTTGAAGTCGATGGCCGGAAATGGAGGACTTGTTGTGTAGTCATAATGCCATAGCTTATTCCAACGACTGCGTGGCACACCTCCACCTTCATCACTCACCTTGATAGTCAGATCTTCACTACCCACGCAAATTACAATCTCCACCGGCGGAAGCCCTCCTCCTTGCCTAAACTTGCTAACGTCTGGAAAAATCTTGACACCTGATACGTCGTTGACCTGTACCATCATGAAAGTAACACGAAACACATACAGCGACCAAATTCAAAGCATCATTAGCAGCAAGCACAAATCGTCTCCAAGTCAAATCTTAACGTACCGACGGCAGAAAGAAACCCAACGACGGACTGTTCGGGTTCATCACTTGCTTGAAATGGTTGAGTGTGCCGGGAGCTCTATGTGTCCACTTCTTGTGGTACTCAACCGTTGCACGCATGGCATTTTTCACCAGCTCAAACACCTACACAACAAAATAACAGCAATCATCAAGTGTCAAACATAGTCGACATCACTCCGACAGCAAGCAATGTACGGCGTACCATGTGGTGTAGATGTGAACGCACATACATCAAAGGTGTGCTAGCACTCGCCGTCGCATGGATCTCCACAGGTGGTGCAGTACCAGAATGCTGTATACACAATTTCGTAGCGCGGTAACAAGCTTCGTGCACGATTTCTTCCACATTTATAAGGTGTACACGACCTCCAGGGCGCTCAAGCGACTCCACATGTTGCCCAATGAGCATGCGGATACCAATACGCCCCAAGAAAAACTTGTCCAGCCGGCTTTTAATGTCCTCCTGAGCACTATCAATTTGCAGTGCAGAGTGTCCGAGATCTGTACCTTTGAGCTGCTGCAGCCCATAACAAATCATCGGTACTAAATTCGATCCCTGCTCCTTGGATTGACGCAGCTTTTCCGTAAACTCACGGTCATCCGCCTGTTTCCATCAAAAAGTCAGCAAAACAACACGCACTATCATTCAAGTCTCGACGCTCACGCGATTCCTTTCTTACAATGGAACTTGGAGGTTTTGTGCTGTTTAACCACTGCAACTCACGACAATAGACGTCGATTGCTTGACGAATCGTCGTCATGTCGCTCAGTCCCAATGGCAAGTCCGATAGCTCCATAATAGCGCTGCACCTCTCGAATCCAATCGCACCGCAAAAACAAAATCTCCGTCAGCACTCCATAAATAGTAACAACAACACACAGTAATCTACACATATCAAACCCGTGGGGATACAAACACATTGCTTCATGTATAACGCCTCACCGAGCGAATCGCGACTGGAGTTCCTTGTGCAAAAATTTAGCCGATACGATCCGTAACTTGGCACATCCGTCCGAAAACGAGCGCATCTGTTGCAAGGACAAAGGTGTAGGCTCTGTGTCTGCAATGTCACGTACTTGATCCATGGAAATGAGTTCATTTTGGCTGCAAAAGTACCCAAGATTACCATCAATAAATGGTTCCAAAACACATCAAACACATGCAAACACTAAATGAACCCAATGTCAACGGCATAAAGGGATACACGTACGGGTCGATATGGAAATTGTAGCTCTGGAAACAACGTAAATGACTTGATGTACTCCTAATTATTGTTATAGGCGATATATTGCCACTCCACTGAAACATCTTCATCTTAATATAAGGAATGAGACTGACTGTCTGACTGACTCAGTGATTATAATAGAGACACTGAGACAGTGAACAAAGCTGAAGTCTTACGTATCAATTCTATTCGAAACGCTTCGTACGTCTTTTGATTGGTCAATATATATACCAATCGAAAAACAAGTGATGAGGCAATGTTGAGATTATTTTTAGTATCTTGAGTCTATTTTTTGTAGCTTTGCTTAAATTACAGATTTGATGTGTTACAGAAATAGACGTTAACGACAGAATAGAGAGTAACTTGAGTCAGCCACTTATAAACAGAACTGATGAAGGTTGGCATGAAAACGCTAAATTATGATATAAATAGAATATAGAACGGCTAGTTTTAGATTAAATAGGCGACAAATTAGATACGATACAAGATTCACAAGAATACGCAAGTACCAAACATAAACAGGACAATGAGGCACTCATGGTTTCACAGTAACCTACACTTATTAAGTCTTACATAACCCATTACGTATCAATCATAATACAATCAATATACGACAAAGACATGTTACACCATACAAAGACAAAGACAATTTGGTATTTGTATGACAGACAAGAAGGACTATTGCTCATAAACACCTTTCTAACTCGACACTATGTCCAATGGACGAGATGAGACATACGACATTGTCAACATTAACATCACTCTATTCATATCACTCCTGCAATTGCATTTGCGTTTGTGGATGGCAGCACAAAAAACATGCGACTCTTATCAGCTACATTCATGCACAAGGCGCTATCATAGAGCTCTTGTCTGACGTATGAATCTGAGTGATGCAATATCAGGACGTCAGGCCATTAGCTTGTACCGCTATGAGCTGGAGAGCATCAACTGTATGAAAGCACCTAGGAAAATCACTGAGAACTTGATCTTTACAAAAAAAATGTGCCGTTCCAAGAAGCGTGGCTTGGAACTTGTACCGCTTACTTGCTATGAGCTACAGGAGCAAAAAAGAGGTTAATAGTTGAAAGAGATTCATGAGGTTGTTTCTGGGACGGATTAGCGTCCGCGTATCATGCGATTTGCTCGAACGCACGGGCAATTGCGTGCATCTCGCCGACGCAGAGAACGTCGCACCAAATGCACGTGAGAGCGCTCGGACAGCATGCGTTTAGTACTACCTCCCGGTATATATTTACGCTTCTCCCAAAGCGTCAAGATACCCTATATGTATGTTGAGTCACCTTCATGACATGGTTTTTGATCTCGTCAAGAATTCGATGCGCACAACTGTAGAACACCATCACTGTTGTTTACTGCTGCAACCACGCCGCAAAGCGCACGACCCGAACGCGTGATGAATAATGATAGTCCATCACTGGGGTTTAACATTCCAGCGGTGGAGGACGTGTGGGCGTTAGGATCATCCCCGACGTGAGCAATTTCCGCTTGGGTAACAGGCTTCTTTCCGTAGAGATTGCGAAGACTCCCCCTTCGTCACTGACTTTGGCCGTCAAGTCTTCACTACCCTGGCAGATAACAGTCGATGGAATAAGCTGTGGGTGGTACTACAACTACACTGCGAGTCCATCGTGTCCATCAATTCATTCGAGCAAACTCCCGACGTTCAGTGGTGGCGGCTACGGTTTGCCAATTGCAAGACGGCTTGCTCGTTACTTTGATGTGGCTTCACGTCGCAAGAGGGCATGGGATCGACTACATTCATTCAAAAACACCGTTTGTGAACCAGCAAGAAGTTAGTATCTCTGCAACACCGAAAGAAAAAGTCGACGCCGTTCGTCTCCGCATTGGCAACTTTGTAACGCTTGCACGTAAATGCGTTCGTGAACATGTTCTAGCTTCGTTTCGTTGCATCAATTAAATGAACAAGCAGACGAGCAATACACGCAACTCTTTTGACCGAAATCTCGTCCATCACGGTAACAATAGTAGCAGTTGGCTTGTCAACCTTGTATCTGTTCAATATACGAACAGTACTACACGGGTACGAACGCGGTATTTCTGCTTCGTGATCATGGTCTTTTCAATTATTGGACGAACAAGCGTCCAGATGTTATTCAATAACACCAACAAAAAATGTGGCTCGATTTGCGTTATTCCACGACTTCACATGGTCACTTAGAATAAGACAAACTTGGTTTATCGGCCTTCATGTCGGTATCGGCAACATTCATTGGCTTTCGAGTTAAGCTCCGTCATCATCGTTGTTGCTGTCAAAACCCGTTAGAAAAAGCATATCCAGGAAATCAAACGTTACAAATACAGCTACGGAATCATTCATCAGCAGAACAAAGACTCTATGGCCACGTACCAATCGATCAAATAAATGCACAAACTATGTCAACAAATAACACTATTTGCACGCGTACCGCTTCCTCGCAAGAGGATCGTTCTTGATCGACAACTTTACCTACTTGGCTATCGCGACAAAGAGATCATCTTGTTGGTAACATAGACGCGTATCATAGTCACCGATCGACGCTCTAATTGTACCGTTCACTCTCATCAGCAAGCCTCCTGAAAGTGAATGGATTATCGTCGCAATGGCCTCTGGACTCAAGAAGTTCTGCATGTCAGCATTCATACACTGACTAGCTGATGCATGTGGACACAACGCCACATGATCGCCGCAGTGTGAGCCATGGCAGCATGAAAAGCAACCATTAGTATTTGCGGGGATAAAGATTGGGTCGAAATCCGCAGGAGCGAACCGAGCCAGAGAGTCGTCAAAGTATTTCTTGCACACCAGTTTGCCGTCATCACCTATAACATAGAAGCAACGAATGACTACTACTGAAGGCATAATAGGCAACACAAAGGCTTCGCATGCACCTAAAATCTGGTCTTCACAAGGGTACAGCTCCATGTCAAGTGCTGTCACCATGATGCTTTCACTGAACGGATTCCGAAGCTCCAAAGATGTCGGGATGCGTGTCAGATGGAAAATTGAAGGTATGTACAACAACGATGAAGTGACAAGGGTCGGCGTTGATGGAAACAGCTCGGCTAAAACAGGCAGCTTGGTGGGAATCGAAAGAGCCTTCATCGCCGGCTGAAGTAGATCGAGCGGCGTGCTTTCTGCGGATCCTCTGATGATAATCTACGGCGCGAACAGAAGGACAGCAAATAAATAGTTAGATCGCAGAATCAAAGAAAGTTAAAGATCAACTTGAGGCAAAACGATACCTTCTGAGAAAACCCGTGCGTGAAGTAACCGCACACAAAGTTCGACAGGAACCTTTCTGCAGTAGCAAGATCGCTTGGCAACGGTTTGTATTCAAAACTGCCTCGGAGAATTGTCGGTTTGCCGCAGCAGTTCAGACTAAAGTCCAACATCGTTGCAGAACCCATTCGCGCACCATCAAAATATACATCTAGCACGAGTGAACCCAGCTTTGCTTGCACAATAGAGGGATTTTGCAGAGTAAACTCCATCGACATCATCATCGACAACTTAGACCCTTGGCGAATGTCGATACTAAGAATTTTGACTGGTGGGTGGCAAAAAGAATCCATTGCTGAAATCAACGGTTCGCCGTCAACCGGAATGTTACGAAGAGCAAGCATCCCCATTCTTGTTCCAACATCAGGGAACGCTCCTTGGTTCGCACTGGCGTCGCTTTTCAGTCGCATCATAATGCTTTCATTCTTCGTAAGCAAGCTCTCAATAAAACCAGACATTCCACGGACGTCATCGTAATCACTAAAACCAATTGAATAATAGTGGCTCATATTCAAAAGAAATGCACCATCATCCGTCTGATTAAATTCACAGGATTCACGGGCAGACACTAATGTGCCGAGGTGCTGACGATTTTCATTCTCGAGGCTAAGCGCAACGGATAGATTCGAGATTTGCAATGGAATGCCAATGGCATTTGGCATTTTTACCTTCGCTTTCATATCTGTGCGAACCTGCATGCGCGTATTGGTCACTAACCCTCTCTCACCCGGAGGAGATTCGTCCAATATTACGTCAAGCTGGTTCATTTTAATTTTCGAGATCATCTGGAAGCCCTTTCCGACTCCTGGAAATCTAGTTCCAATCGATAATCCTACCAAAGCCTCTTGCATCCAGACGCAATTGCTATACTGCGTGCCTGAGACGTCAACAACAACTTGCGAGCTTTTTCCGTTAAGATAGCTAGAGAAAAATCCGGCCACGGCATCACTCACTTGGCCTGCTGCGTCCAGAGTCGGCTTCAAGTGGCCGTTCATTTCCAGCGTATTCCTTCCAGGGGCTAGATTCATCGTGCCATGAAGTTCCCCAAACTTTTCTCGGGATGCATTCAAACTCAAATCCATCGAGAATGTGCCGATAGATACTGTGAAAACAGATGGATTGCGAATTTCAACTTTAGCCTGAATCAGTTCATCATGCTCTGTCGTGTTACCAGTTCCTGGTAGACTAAAACTCTGGACTGTCACATCTTTGAAGTTATTCATTCCGCTTAACAAAGCGGTAGTGCGGAGAGGCAAGCCAAACAGCTTTATCGTTCCTGCACAAACAGATACACAAAAACAACGTCAACAAAACAACTCGTCTCTACTAGCTGCAGTCGTTGCAGCTCACCTAGCGCTCCTTGGCACACCACATTCATATTTCCAGCAAGCGTCAGCGGAACCTTTTCTTCCACAACGGACGCCCGAACGAACCTACCAAAGGCCTTTCCTCTTTCCGCAAAGTCAAGCTTTGTCAAACACTTGACTGAAATATTGCTTCGGCCTACTAATTCTCCGTCAATAATATCAACTGACATCGTTGATAGCGTTCCTAGAGCAATACCAGCACTGATAAGACTCACGTTCATGTGCACATCCGTGATCGTCAATACCGAATTAGGTCCCAACGGACTGGTTGCCTCTACCAATACTGCCGTATCAAGCCGTACGGTATCATTCTCCTTGCCTTTTACCGGAGAATGCAAGGAAATGTCGCGTAGAAACATATTCCCAACGAGCGGATCTTTTTGCGGTGGTAACGAACTCTTGATCGTCAAATTCTTCATTGCTTGGTTGTACAAGCTCACCGATGTTGCCTGAGGGTCACACGTTACGACCGTAAGTGCTGCCGATACATTGCTCAAATACTTGGCAATCAATCCGCTAATCGCTTCCACGTTCACACCTAGCATTTCTCCCTGCAATACAAGCAAATTATACCCCTTGCGCATATCTTTCGTCCCCTGTAGCGACGCGCAAAACGGGTGCGACGGTTGTCCGTTAGCAATTGATAAACTCGTGTTCGCCGATGTCTTCAAGTGTGCCACCAACGTACCCTTCCCCACTCGTGGATAATGAGCATGGAGACATAGTGCCCCCACTGGTCGAATCGTCGTGATTGATGGGTTGTGAACGCACGTCTTGATACTTGCTAACACCTGTTTTTGCGTCGAATTGTCCATGTTTACCTGAGCAATGTGCATGTCTTGCAGTCCATCCATCCCTTTAAACGTCATCGTCTTATGCAACGGAATACCCGAGGCACTCAATGTCACAAGTCCTCCCAGCATTTGAACATGGATGGTCAGTGTACTACGAATCTCGTACTGGATCTGTGAGAGTCTCATCATGTCTCCTGCAAACTGGTCCCACGCCTTCTTGTCCTGAATCTCAAGCATTGAATGGGGAAAAACTTGTTCATTTATACCGTGACGAATGTGCATTACAGGGGCTTGAAAGCTTCCAACGAGAACGTCTTTGTATCCAATGGCAAACGTCGTAGCGTCTATCATCGCAGGAAATGAAGACATGGCAATAAGACTCAGACGTAGATTTAACGTCACAAAATTCGATTCTGGATGACTCAGCTCCATCTGTTCAATGTTCATCACTGTGTCTTCAATGGCTTTAGCAGCGACACGAGACATTTGGCTCGAGACGGCACGATAACTGACGTATAAGAGCAGGAAAACAGCACCTGAGACGGTCATAAAGCGACGAAAATAGTACATCTTTGTCTTCTTCTTCTTCTTCTCATCCTTCTGTTTACTTGGTGCATCATGTAGTCCTAGCAATGGTTCATGAGATGCAAAGCGTTCGTCCAGCTCCAGCTCCTGGTCGTTAGTCATGTTAATGTGAATGGATTTTACCGTCTCGAGAGCCGTACCGGTATATCGAAGAATATCAAAAACCGATAAAAGATATCGGTATAATCTCACGCTACTGTTTAGGGTAGAAGACTTACCGGTAGTATCCTAAATTGCCGCTTCCAAATGGATGAGAGCGGACTCGAGAAGGAACGTCATGGCGCTGGTTTTGCTATAGGAACGACGTTAGTAGCGCGTTGGATGGACAAGATCGAACGTACTTGTGTTGTGATTGATCGTAGTATGTGTGACATTCTTATATTGTCTTTGAATTCGATGGGACGATATATTAACACATGTATCACTATCATTTACTTGAATAATAACAATAGCAAGACAAAAGAATAGTAGTAATCATCAGTATAAGTATTACGTACATTGGCATGATGTACGTATGTTTTATAGTACTATTTTTTTATCTTGGTAATATTCATACTACTAATATTACTATTTGGATTTGATTACTATTTTGATATGTAATGATTAGTTTAATCGTCGTATGGACGAATGGATTAATGAACATGACATTGTACGACGTGGGACTAATGAAGAGACACAGAAGTTACAGGAAAAAGATGCCAAAGAGAAGGAAAAAGAGCAACGAGACAAGAGTCGAAATCATAATCAAACACTTGCTCCCAGTGAGAGTACTATTACTATTATTACTAGTAGTACTAGTAGTAATAGTACTACTAGTGGTAGTACTACTACGAATTCAGGTCCAGACGCGTTGACTCGAACTCGAGGACAGAAACGGAAGACATCAGATGATCAAGATTTTGAACCACCAGAGGAAGAACATGATGAACATGAAGGCATGGATGCTGCTAGTATTCGAGAACATGAAGAAGTGACGAAAGTCAAGGTGTGGACAAATTGTTCTTTGGATGATACTTTTGATACTCTTGATGCTCATGATAACAGCTCACAGGAAGGTTCTGTTTTCTTCTTACTATTGGCGTGCAACAGAATGTTCGTTTCGTGGAAATGGGACGTTTTCGCATGGCTGCTTGGTACTTTTCACCTTTTCCAAAAGAGTATTATCCTGATGGATCCATTGATTGCGTACGTGTGTTATTAAAAGAGTGTATCTCGTGCTACTAAGACTTTCTTATTGTTTTTACTTACTCTTTTTATGTTCTTGGACTTGTCGTGGTGAGCAGCTACATTTTTGCGAGTTCTGCATGGCATTTTTCTGCTACAAACGTGAGCTAAGAGTGCATCAAGAGCGTCGCATATGCAATCGTGTAAGTTGATACTACGGAGCAAGTTAACACAATTACTGACCTCCTTGTTTTGTTTGTCTTTGATTGACTGGTTGGATAACAGCATCCACCCGGTAACGAAATTTATCGGCACGAGAATTTGAGCGTATTTGAAGTGGATGGTGCAGTTTCCAAGATTTACTGCCAGAATCTTTGCTACTTTGCCAAGTATGTCGCGTACCACCATGAGATGAGTCAAATCCTGCACATCTGACTTTAGAATGCTGTATGACACCGACGTAGGTTGTTTCTCGATCACAAAACGCTATACTACGACGTGGACCCGTTCCTGTTCTTTATTATATGCGAAGTTGACTCGCGTGGTTTCCACCCGGTGGGTTATTTCTCCAAGGAGAAGTACTCTGAACTGGGTTACAATCTGGCTTGTATCCTGACATTCCCATGCCACCAACGCAAAGGCTACGGTCACTTCATCATCCAGTTCTCGTATGAGCTGAGTAAGAAAGAAGAGAAGGTAGGGTCACCCGAAAAGCCTCTATCAGATCTGGGCCTGGTAAGTTATCGGAGCTACTGGACGCGCGAATTGCTTCGCATTCTCCGGGATTATCCCGAGAAAGAAGTATCCATTATGGAGCTCACAAAGGTAGGTCGATTTTTTTGCTACAAAATGTGTGGCTGAAGCAACTGGTAGCTCATTTTCCTGCATTTGCTACTCTAGATTACCTCTATCAAGAACGAGGACATCATTGCAACTCTGCAACATCTCAATATGATAAAGTATCTAGGTGGACAGTATGTTTATGTCGTGCCAACACAAATTGTAGACGCGCATCTGACAAAGCTATCTAAGACGGGTCCACAGGTTGTTCCTGAAAAGCTGCACTGGGCGCCACTGCACCTAGACATTAAACGTGACAAGTGGTCATTGAAGGCGATGACTGCAGACAAGGAGGATTAAGAGATGCAGCGGGGATACTGGTGCATCAGGTCGAACGTTGTGCTTGTTTTAATGTTTCTATCTACGTTTGCTCGAGTTTACTTTCCACTTCAGGGTTTGATATATGAGGTTGATGGCTGCTCTTGCCAGCTGAAATGCCTACGGCTGTGCTGGGGCTCACTCACTTTGCGAATGTCCGAGAGGCAGCTAACTGACCTGCAACGAGTTTGTTTACTGCGGGTGGAATCATCTTATGAGGAGCATCACGTGACCCTTGACCATGTTCGAAGATGGCCATGTTGAGTAATAACGTCGCCTGGCGTTTATCTCGGGTCGATACAACGAGTTTTCAGGTAGTTCGCTGGCGCGAGCACACAAAGTGTCTTCACACTCGAACTCAGTGCGGACGTCAGTGTTGGTGTCAAATTGTACGTATGAATAGCAGGGGCTCTTTTCCAGGTTAAGCTCTTGTGTATGTGCGTTTCTATTACCTTGGACGACACAATCTGCAGCACTTTAGTTGCGTGAACTTGGGCCTTGCAGACGGACGAGACATCTGCCAGCGGTATATCTAGTGCCTATCGATTGCAGTAACGTTTTGGGTCATCTTGTAATGCTGGCCGCGGCATTTTGAGGATTGTAAAGGCGTCGCTATGCATGGAAGTACAAGTACTTGCGCCACGCTGGGACTTGTATGCGATTCTTTGCTGCGTCAAGTGAAGGGCTTCAACGTTCAAAGTAATAGAGTACTGGCATCATCTAAATCGACGGAGCTGTGCTGCTGTGAGTGTCATGATGCTGGTTGCTGCGTACAAGATACAGTTCATAAACTTCATGTGATGAGAAATGACAAAGAATCTCAATAACTCACTGCTTGTTGTACGTGATCATCATCGGTCAGCAGAAGCTTGTATCTGATGTAGCAACAGGAGCTACCACGGTCACTGGTTGAAACCAGCAGCAACCGAGGAAGGCTCACGAGGACATGCAGAGCGAAGTGGCTGTGAAGTTTGCACTTCTGTGCGATGTGAAGCTCACGACAAACCAGGTGGACTTGCGCGCGGGTGGACGGCCAACTCCTTCACAGGTCGTCAGTAGTAGCGCGTTTTGCTCATTCTCGAGACACGATCAGGCACTGCGACGTATGTACCATCATCATATTGGTGTGGCTTGCGCACCGATTGGACTGTGAAGCAGGTTACGAGCCAAGTAGAGGCCAACTCATTGTAGGCGTTGGTCGTGTAGAGTCTGGTGAGCGGGGGTTGTGTCGTATATCTGCCATCACTGCAGACAACAATAACGTACGAGTGAAGGCAAATTTCTACCGACGCGCCCACATTCTGCAAACACACACGCACATCGTCATTGTGGGGTTGTTAGTAGCTCACGATGGTTTCGTCTCAATTTTCAACGATACCTTTCGATATTTGTTACAATGGCAAGAAGCATGAATCATAGTGTCATCCCCAATACGTTCATTTGACTAGTTTTCTATCTACTCTTGCGTGGAGGTAGGTGCTCTTTGTGTCCCTGTCTTCACTCGGGAGCGTCCACTAATCTGCAATTGACGAATATGTGCTACTACTTGACTATTTCTTGAACGGCACTCAACATTAATGAGCTCAAGCCAGCAAGTGAGCTTCATGCTTATGAGACTGTTGCCTTGTGACAAGCCAACTGAAATTCTTTCTTCTGGGCCGGAGTCATCTCGTTCTGCACAGTCTCGAGGACATCAGAAAGACCGTTACCCTGTAGCAACTTGAAGCACTGCAAGTGATGCCATTCCATGAGCATGAAGCCTTCGACGTGGATAAACATCAGACCGAGTTGCCATTCATCCTTAGCAATACACTTGGAGCAGACTTGACAGGTGGTCGTGGCAATAGGGGCGATACGGGCTACAGCTTGGTCGCAGCGACTCCATGAATTGCTGGTCCGCGGACTCGTTCCTGGTGGCGGTACCTGGGGAAGTTGATCCATTTCAGAAGACATTTTTTGAAATCCTTGGTAGTGTTGACTTGTGGACTCGTCTCGATTGCAGTGAGCAGGTTGCCTGGTTAGTGCTCCTGCGTAGGATGTACTAAGATTTGAAAGCTAAAGCTTGGGTCGTGAAGGCTCTGTAGTTGTAGAGCAAGCGAGATATCCAATGTCGAGGCGTTGGAAGGGGGCTGGCTGGATCCACTGCGTAAACTTTGGTCTCCTTCGTGACTTCAGTGGCAGTGGCTACTTGAACTTCTTCTTCTGGAGCTCTCTGTGGGTGTGACAGAAAATTTTGTTGTGATGTTTCAGTTTTGTCGGAGTCGGCTCGGCGTCTCGGAGCACCATTACTCAAGCCAAAGCCAATTTTTTCACCGTCGTCAAAGACTAAGCATTCGTCCCATTGCTGTTTACAACCGCACGACTGTAGCCGACTTAGCCAAATCTCCAGTAGCTCTGCTGTGGTGCACGGTGTAAGTATGTGATTACTGGAACTTTACCGTCAAGATCGAAACAAACACGAACGCATGCTGCAACAAAGACTCCACGACTTGTGGTAGGTAGAACTGTATCGTGTATCACATCGCCATCAGGCTGGATTTATATACGACAAAATCGAAACAACCAGCTAAACCAGAGTGTTGCCCTGTCTTGCACCGCTCCAGAATGATGCACGTCGGAAGATAGTGTTGTTCAAAGCTCGGGCTTGACATACGTGCGTTTTGAAATTTTGTCACGCAAGTGCGGGACGCCAGTGACTTGGTCGAATCTCAAGATCGATCTGCACAAATGATGATACGAACGCTCACATTTTTCAAACCTCTTTTGTCGTAGACAGACAATCCCATTAATATCTCGGGATGATACAATCTAGAGGCTTTTACCTTGCCATTCACTCAGTCGACGTCCGTCGGATTCCTACTACTACTACTACGTAAACTAAGTAAATGAGACCTCTATTGTTACCAAAGGGTTAGTTTGGAATATTCAACACCATTAACAAGGGTATTCCATTCATTCTTTCGTGTCTAGAGTCACACACACACTCTCTCTCTAGTATATCAGTGATTGTTTCTTGTCCAACAACTTCTGTCTCTTGACTCCGTACTTCTTGAGCTTTTCTCGTCTTGTCTGCTATATTCGTGTCAAGGTAGACGAACAGAAAAACGGCTACTGGTTGCCACATTGCGCAGGCACTTTATTGCAAATCGACTTGATTGACCAAGTCCAATTTTTTTCATTCTAGAGCCGATCCATCGAAACTTGTGGATTCTGCATAAAAGTCTCCCCTTCGTCCACGGCCATGCCACTCATGCCTTAGTTGGAAGGATTAAGCAATATTTGCCTGTGATCTGCGCCAACAACGGCGCGATGAAACAAAATTTTCGCCAAACTTTGGCAGTTAGTTGCAAGACTTTACCACTTGTCAAGGTCCTTTAGGTTGGATTGGAACGATGGAAGGACCTTGTAAGTAGATAGTTCATTGCTGCGAATATGAGTGACAGGAATACCAAGCTAAGGACGGTCGTGGTGTCATCTTATGCACAGCTTTAGCGTAAAAAAGTGGTAATTTTTCTTTATCAATCTTCACCAACAGCTTCTCCACATCCTGCCAACTAGAAAATCCGTCCACTTACATGTTTCGGGGTAAATGGCAAAAGGCTACATAATGTTACTCTTATTGAGTTCGCTCGCTTACATGAAATCGTCCGTTCCGCTGCCGTCTTCCTGTGTATCCAAATGCACCGCTTGAAAGCGCTCGTTGCTATCGCGGATCTCGTCCTCACTGTCATCATACTCCACTGTCTCTGCGTCCGCGTCGACATCCACAGTCTCTACGACCATGTCAGATGACGGCACGATTGGAGCACTCAGTCCCTCTTCGCGCTCGGAAAACCCACCTCCGGCCATGTAACCATCAACTAAATCAGATGCATCTACGGCGTCACCTTTACCATGTAGTGCGGCAACTGTAGAGCTATAGAGACGAACCGTTGGCACGGGAGGCTTGGCCTTCTCGTTCTTGATCCACACCTTCCACCCATCAACTGGCGGAGACTCGTCATCAATGTGCGACTGTACAAAGTAAAAATCTTCGTCCGACATCGTTCCGAGCAGGTTCTTGTTCGGAGAGTAGGAAATATACCAACGTCGGGCCTTGCTAGGCATGCAGCATCGGAAAAGCGTGTACTCAATGTCGCTCTTCACGCAAGCGTACGTCAAGCAGTTGTCGTGAATGTGAGATGTACTAACGTACACACCATTGACGGGGGCATATCCCGCACCTTCTACCACGTATCGCCGTTGTTCCTCCTGGTATGGGATACCCAACGCTTCACTCAACCGCCACAGCATCTCCTGTTTCGCTGGCTCGCGTCTCAGTAAAGACAAACGTCCACCCAGGCTAGGTTGAAGAGACTCTAGACGCAGCCACTCATATAACCATTCCCATTCGCTTCGATGCTCATCTAACCACGCACTGACGGCAGGCACACGTGCACGCAGCTCCAGCACTAAAACCAGTTGCCGGTACACGAAAAGCGGAGCGTGCGTGGCACTCGCATATTGTGGGCGCAAATTCTCTCGGCTTCGCGCTGAACTAAGCAAGCCGTAGTCGTTGTGAGCCAGCGCCAGATCCACAAGCTCTTTCTGATATGCACATTCATAGCCTAGCACACGCTGTACCGCTAGAGCGCATGCGTCGACGACGGGTTGCCCTTTCCATCCCGGCTCAGTGCTCTGGAGGCAGTGCAAAAGAGCACGCAATAGACGCCGAGATGTCTCCTGATCTCCCAAACTCAACCGTAACAGCAACTCCGACGTCGTTTCTGCCTCTTCCTCAAGGGCGGAGTCAAAGAACACATCGTTAAGCAACGCTTCGCAACTTAGAGCACTCAATCCCTCAAGAACTTGACTCCCGGTTGGCAAGTCTCCACTTGATAAGTGACGCCGGAGATCCTCACTGAAGCCAAAAGCACGGAGATGCTGCAGCACTGACTTAGTCGATGATCCTGCCATGTCCGTATAGAACAGCATAAAACCATCAAGCTCAATGCGTGAAGCACTTGTTCCAAATTCGTCCTTTGCTGCGTCATCTGGTGGAGTGCCGTATTTAGCTAGCATACTCCGAGCCTGCTGTTCAACTACTGGACTGTTTACAGCACTGCTGAGTGACACGGAAAAGTACTTTTTAAGCTCTTCGAGGCCCAAACCTGGGTTGCCATCCGCGCCTCCTAGTTTCTGGTAGTCTTCAAATATTTCTGTCAGCGCGCGCTCGGCTTTCTCCGACAAAATGGTGCGGTGCGGGTACTGCGTGCTACTCTCCATGAGCAAAGGTTCCGTCGTACGCCTAGGCAGTCCTAGCACTGCGATAACAGCCTCGAGCAGATACTGGTAGTCCGGCGACGCATACCGTGAAGCTGTCGGTTGCAACGTCGAGGATGGAAATGCATCTTTCAACACACTTGGGCCCCGTTCATAAAGGAAGAAGTTGATTAAGCGCGCAATCATCTCAACCTGTTGCAACTGAGTACGCGCCGTGACACTGATTTCAGCGCAGTTGCGTATGAGCAGAAAACACTCCTCCAAATGGGACTGCTGTGTTATCGATGTCTGATCCAAGAAAGAAGCGATAGCCTCCACAAACGCACGAATGATTGCTGCATCAGCAGCAACCGCTACTTCAGCGCTCGCTTCATTCGATGCAGTTTGCTCTTCCTTCGTATGAGCCTCGTACGCCGTAAGTGCTCGAGATACTAGGTGTACAAATGACTGGCGCGCAATCGAGTCCGGGCACTCGAACAGCAATCCACGCAACCACACAACTCGCTTTGACGTCGATAGAGCCGAGAAAAAGCGTACACATATAGCTTTGGAACGCGCGAACTTGGATGCAATCACAGTAATCCATCGTGCAATTCCTTGTTTTTCACGCGAATGTAATAGCACGCTCAAAACAAACTCAACTCCAATTTCCATTAGTGCCATTTGAATTTCGTCGTCAGCTCGAGCTGACGAGACTGCTGATACTACCGGTGCAGCCGGCAAAGCCACAGCTTTGTTTAGCTGCGGCGAAGGTGGTAAAGCCATTAGATCCTCTTCCGTGGCTGGGACTTGCGTTGCTTTGATGTACTGGGACTGCACCATCTCGCGCAAGAACTCGTGAAATTCGACATCAAACAGGTACGAGTTTTGCAGGAATATCTCGTTAGACTTCCAAACTTCAGCTTCGTACTCACAATGTTCTTCATCAGGAGCAGCAACAACAACGTCAGTAGAAGTCTCCGAGTCAGTCACGGCCTTAGCAACGAGTACAGATGCAGGTTCAACGGGGACAACTTTCTCGTAATACAGCATGAGTGCATTGCTAAAGACTTCCATCTCCATAGAGTTGTTTGATCCGTGCCATGAGCGTCGCTGAACTCCACCAAAGCACTCAGCCTCGATATTGCTAGGGTCAAACGGCGTCACGTCTTCGTCGTCATATTTAAACCACTTTTCAGACATATGGTCGTAAATAAACGAATAATAGTGGCCGCCTTGTGCTACACCAGAGTGCACCAAAATGCCCTTCAGGCGGTATTCGTAGTTAGGATCCGACTTGACGCTGCTTCTTTCATCGCCTTCAACGCTGCTTCCGCCAGTCGCACTTTGTGGTGAAGCAGCAAGTTTAATATCTGACATAGGTGACGCTGAAGCTGGAACCGCTGGTGCCTCGCCGTTGACGTCGGTGATGAATTCATCCGAGTCGCTCGAATCGTCAGAGGCCATGTCTTCATCAGTCGACGTTTCTTCGCGATCTTGCTGCAAGTTAGAGCGCGCTTCCTGCTCTTCAATGCCTGCCTTAGTGTATGGTTTCATACTCAGACGCATGGGAAACGAACACCGATTGTTCAACTTGACTGTCTCAAACGTTGTGTAATCCAGATCAAAACGCTTTAAATGAAGAATCAACAGATTTGGTAGCGATCCAAAGCAGGTGCGGCGCACCGCAGCCTTTTTTGTCGCACAAAGCTCACATTCCACCTTGTTGTCACCGTCCATGAGTTCCCCTTCGACAAAAGCTAAGAGCGACTCCTCAATGCTTTCCTTTCCACGGATCTGTAACTCTAAGCGGATAAATGGCTCTTCACGTTCGTAGCGGTGTCCGCAATCCTTCGGAAGCTTTTGAGATATGAGCTTGCCGCCAAGTACGTCCTGCAAACATCTCGTACCCTGAGGTGTCGTCTTAAGGCCCGTCTCTAAACGATCTAATAGTTTATCACAAAATTCGGTCGCGTCATTCTGCTGATAGACCGAGAACTCCAAGTTTAGACACGTGCATGAGTCGACAAATGCCTTCGGGTTGAAATAACGCATTTCACTGTCACGCAAGTAGCAAAACGTGCGCTGAAGTTGACGAAGAACTTCCAACGTCGCGTCAGTGCCCGTCAACTCCGGTTGCAAAATAACATAACGCCCATTTTCATTTCCTGGTCGCCCCTCTGCCAGCACAAAACTTGCCTCGCTTCCATTCTCGTATCGCATCATGTGCTGGCCAGACGTAGCATCATATCCCACAACGTTTGCTTCGTAAACACGGCCTCCCATGACACTCCAGCGCCACACGGCAGCCCACCAAGCGTTCTGGAAAACTTTCTGCCTCTGATTTCGTAGGTTCTTGTGGAGTGGGGCGGAGTGCCACCTTGGCACCCAGTAGTCCTTGGCGTAGAGTGGGATGCATGAACAACTGCTGCAAGAACGAATTCATGTAGCACGAACAGCCTTGATTTTTGAGTCCAACGTGCTCACCGTTGCCACGTGTTTCAATGTTGTTCTCTTGACCCCACTTGAATCGCAAAGCATCACTTCGCGTAAACAGCCGGATAAGACGGTCACGCAAGTTATGCAAGATACTGGCGTCCGAAGAAATTGCGCTCGCTAGCAGCCTGAATGCAGGACGTCTTGTCTCCAGCGACAGGCACAGCGGACAGCGACGTCGATTTTCAGAAGGCAAAGTGAACAAACACTCTTCATAGACGACGTCTACAATCTCGCGGGCAATTTCGGCTCGCACATCGGCGTGCACCACAAGCACTTCACGCAAAAACTCCAAGAACCCGATCAAGACTTCACCAGAGCGCTCGTTACAGGCTAAAAATTTCCTCGAAAAGCCATGACGTAATTTTGCCACCACAGCCTGGGCAAGCTTTTGGCAATTCGAGGATGCATTGCCGCCCTCAAGACGTGCCAAAGAGCAAAGTATGCGTTTATACTGATCGCACGGCGCAGTCACGCTCTCAATACGATCGATAGATTGTATGCACTCTTCAAATACCACTTCAGCTGCTGCATCGGACGCCTTACATACGGATTCCAGTGACGAAAGCCACTGGTCCCGGACATGCTCTGATTCAACCTTCGTGAAAATAATGGTAATAATTGCCCGTGGCTCTAGCGCTTTGATGTACTTTGCTGCTGCATCATGCGCAATCGACACTATTGACTCCACGGTCTTTACGGCATCAACAAAAATTCGATATGCAGTCTTGTCGGCAGAAGTTGTTTCCTCGACTCGCGCGTACTCAGATCCCACAAGCTCTGCAATCTTCAGCACCAACTGATCGTACCGACTCTGCTCCACGATAATTTTGGTCCTATGTGTTTCCACATCGACGCCCTTATCAAGGTCGGTAGTCACCGAGCCCATACCACGAAACACATCATCCGGGGTCTCTCCGTTTGCAGTCGCTAAATACAGCCCATTATCATGGCCCGAATCGAACAAACAAAACTTTAGAATACGAAGAGCCACTGCAGCACCTTCATTAAAGGAGCTCTTGTGGAAATTTGCGCTTATAAAATACGAAAGCACTTCGTGAAATCCGCCTCCAGAAATAAAGCGCTGGAGATAAGTCTGAGCAAACGGGATCTTAGCAACCTCCGAAGGAAGTAACAACGCATCCATTATTTGGAGAGTGTAAATTGCCTGGTGAGATGATATTCCTTTCACCAAAGATGACCAATCGGGCTTGTTTTCTTCTTTAGCGGGTTGAACCGAGGAAATACTCATACTCACATCGCCATCGCTCATCGAAGCTGTGCCAATGTTAGAAACACGGTTCAACAGCTCTTCACTAGTAGGTATTTGCTTTAAAATGGCCCAAAGCAACTCGTGGGCAGAATGTCCCTCCACAATGTCGAGCACACGGAAAAGCACCTCAAAATAAGAAGCATTACGAGCAATCACTAGACCAGGGTGAGACTTGGGCGCAGCGGACAAAGAAGAAGGCGACCCCTTGCCCATTGAAATCATTAAGTCTTGGTCCATCATATTGGGACTAGAACGTTGCACGATGGAGTTGAACATCAGTACACGCACTTCACTGGACTCCGTGATCTGCAAGTCTGCGAGAGTTTTTTGATCTCCTATGATCGCCGACCCAGACGAAAGGATTTTTGACTGCTGCATGGGATGGTTTACTAACTTCTCGATCTGTTTGCGAAATAACCACAATGTCTGATTCGAGTACGCGGATGCTTGCATTGTTCGAACCACATTGTCGTGACCCGAAGCTGCTGTCGCAGAAGCTCCCACCCCGCTCACGTTCGATGAAGGAATTCGTTGGGCTATTATCTTGACTGTGAAGTATGCGCCGCGACCGCTTAGACCGTGTGGAACAAACGTATGCTTGTTCCGAGCACTAGACACCAGTCCTGTCAGAAGATTTGAACATTGCTGCACCAACTTCAGTGAGTCTGGTGAGCTGTCCTTCACCGTAGATAGCTGCTTAAACACACGAGACAAAAAATCTTTTACACCTTCATCGGATTCGCCTTCACCCTCGTGGCTCAGCTCAGCAGACGATCGCTCATAAACACGAAGCAACTCACGTGTAGCCATTTCGGCGACTTCAAGAGGAGCCTCAAATGCGATACGCCATAGAGCATCCATTCCGAGAAGATTCAGCGTGTTGTCTGAAGGCGCATTGGCGCGCTGCATCAGCTTCTGTTGCGCGTTTAATCCCACAAAGTAAGTATTAAAACACTTGTAGCCCATAGATCCTAGTGTTCGGAAGTCAGTTTGTTTGCACAACAGCTCATTGAAAACGTAGAAGCATACGTCCAAGTTGAAGGCTGAGCTAATCGATCCACCAACCATGTTTGCAACAGGTGCTGTTCCACCTTGTTGGTGACCGCAGCGTATGCTCGTTTGATTAAAAAATATCAAACAAAATTCACGTTCAGCAGGTGATGACGAGAGTACCTTCCACAAACGTTCAATCTGTGGGATCGATAGCTCCAGCTTCGGTGACTTTACGTGAACATAGTGTATCAATTCTAAGCGATGCCCAATAGCGGTGCGATAACTGGGTGACTGCTTATCGGTTCGTCGAGCCACAAACGTCGCAAGCTCGTCAAACAATAAACTTACCAAACCATGCTCCAAATTGAGTGATTCCACCACAAGAGCCTGGTCCATTCGGTAAGAGTCAATAAGAAATTTAAGAAGCTCCAATGACTTGGACGCTGTGGCATCCTTGTTTGTTACCTCCACCGATGTCACAGACGAAGAAGACATAACTGAGTTGCTGTTGCCAAGAGCTGCAGAGGGCAACAATACTGCAGAATCTGGTGTCACGTTTGACAACAAGCACGATTTCTTGATTCCATCAATGCATTCGTTCAAAAATGCCTTTCGAAGCGGCTCCCCGTATTCGCTTCGTAGCCCTTCTTGAAAAAAATCACGCAAACTTCTACTTAATCGAATATTCGCAATGCTACAGTGCATTTGAATCGACCACAGCAGCTGCAAGATTGCGGTCGTGACGTTGACATTGCGGTCCATAAGAAAGCTTGGAGAGTTGGTTGCTAGCCGCTGCATTAACGAAATCAGTTCTGGAAAAGATTCGTTCTTTTCCAAGCTTCGCAATAGCGAGGCATGAATGCTTTCCACAAGATGCAATAGCAGCTCGTTCGATAAAAAATGGTACCGTGGTGATCAGTAAATTGTGGATTTCGTGCACCAATGTCTGATCCTTCTGGATACAAGATTGCCAAATCACGTCAATAGAGTTCGTATCCAACCTGTTCGACTCCGCTAAAAACTTCACCAACAACGCACTGCGCGATACAATCTCACGATGGATTCTGTCACCAAAAATCTCCTCAAGAATCTTTTTTTTCCACAACCCAAGTACTTAATACATTGTCAAGTCGAGCAAGATTCTCTTCGCCATTTTCCTGAACGCTTTCCGCTACGAGCTCAGGAGCTGGAGCCTCTCCTTTTCCCGTAGGGATCCAGTTGTGCGTAGGAGGCAAATACTCTTCGTACTGTGACTGGTGCTGGTAATAATCAATGTCTTGGTCAGATCCAGGCTGCATTTTGTCAGCCTCCGAGATAAACCACCACTTTAGACCACTTTTCATGGTGCAGCAAAAGAGCGTAAACACTTGGCCCGTTTCTTGCTGTCGGAATACGTAAGTTGCCGAGGTCGAATTCGCCTTCAACGTGTACACGCCGTTAATAGCAGCAGTGCCAGCATTTCGGACAAAATACCGAGGAGGAAAAGCTCGTGATGCTCGAGCGCAATTCACAATCTGATTGATTTGCTCTAAACCAAAGAGCCGCAGAGGTAACGAAGTCGATTCCACATATCTCTCCGTGATGTCAAGCCACAAAGCATTAATGGCTTCGGATGATAAGATACCTGCATCCACTAGCCTCCGAATTATACCGATCACGGCCCCCACTGCGTCACTCGACTCTTTCTTTAGGACAGAATCCGATATCTTTGTAAAATATGTCATGACTAGCACCGAAATATTCGTGCAGATGCTCTCTGGCACCGAAGTCCGAAACTCCAACAGTGCTTGCAGCAGGATACGAATATCCTCGCTGTCTATGGCCGCTTCGAGTTCGCTGCCCTCTTGTTGGTTCTGCATCAGCAGCTCCAGTGTGCTCAGTAGCAAGTGAAATCCCTTGAGTTCACAAAAGGCATCAATGCATTGCGCACGCACTTCGGGAGACCCTGGTACCTTATTCCAGTAACTTCCAATCATTGTCGACGTACGCAAGTCTTTATAGAACGTTTTCTTCTTGCTAAATAGCATCGTTAATACTGGTAGTGCTTGAAAATACTTGCCTGCTTTTAACTGAGCAACCACTAACGGGATTGCTAGTGATAAACACTGTGTCACACATGACTTTTCAAACGATCCAATCTTGCTTGCACTGCATGAACAGACACCAAAAACAAAAACAAAAAAAGACGTTAGTATTCTTTAATCCATCTAGCAATAGAAAAAGAAGATATAACGCCTTCTCAATAGAAGACGACGACGACAACGCACTACTGCTGGTCCAACATGATACTGATAATCTTTGCAAACGCATCATCAAGAAACGCTTGACTCTCTGGTCGTTCTAAATGCTGATAGGCTGAATTCAAGACTTTAACAGCATTTTGCCATCCAACGGTTGATTTTAAGCGTAAATCTTCCTGTACAACGTGAAAAAGCTCCAGTTCTTCGTCTTCCATGGTATTTACTTGACTTTCTGTCCGTTCTTGACTCTTTTTACGACGTTTTTGACTCTCCTTGTCCTGAGCAGGAGCACGATCCATTGAACGCACGTGCAGCTTTTTTTTCTCTTGCTCGCTGCTGCTCGTTAAGAGACTGTAGCTAGGGCTTCTTGGTAGATTCGATATTGTGTAGGCAGCCACAAGGCTACGGATGTTGTTTAAGTTGCGGTAACAAAGTTGTCGGGGGGTCGTAAAGTTGCAGCAAGCTTTGATCTTGCTTTGACTTTTTCCACTGTTTTTCCTTGTCCGACCTTCTTCTTCTTCTTGTGCTTGTTTCGCACTATGACGTCTCGTCTTGACTTTCTCTGTATCTTATACTATACTTGGACTCTTTACTTGATACAAACGTATAAAGTAGCACCAAGAAGAAGAGAAGAAGTAAGAGAAGAGAAAAAAAGCGCTTTTTCCAACAGCTTAAAAAAAACGAGAAGGAGCGTTGAAAGTTTTCTCCCCTCGGTGTTTTGTTTTTTGTTGGAATCTTAAGTGCGGATCACATGCGTTCACTAAGTTCGTTTTCATTCGAGCGTCTTAAGTATTTTTTTGAAAAAACTCGAATAGAAGAAAAAAAAATAACTCCATGTCGATATACCGGTATATTACTACCTCCGAGAGAGCGCAAGCTATGGCCGTTGACATGGATCAAGGTATTTCAATTGATGAGGTACTAGATGAGGAAACATTTCTCACGATGTTGGACGAGATACTGCGACAATCCATGACTCATTTTGATCATGCGTGTCTCATCTTAAGTACGTCTCAAGTGGATGTATTAGCTCGACGTTTACATGATGCATTAGTACCGAAACGAGATCAAGAGACGTGTTTAATCGAGGCATGGACGATACAACCACAAGTTCAAGTAAAGACTAAATCCAGTGCTCATATTCAAGTACTTAAACTATCGACCATCTTGCGACAAGTGGAGAGACTGCGTGTGTACAAGTCATGGAGTTTCGAGAGATGGGAGACGATTCCCATTCAAATGGATATATTTCCATCCCTTTGTGTCATTGAAACACTCCATATGGACATGATGGAGCTTCAATATGTTCATTACTTTGCAAAACAATTGAAAGAACTTCATATTGAACATACTAGTGAAACAATAACATTAAAGCAATTACTAGCTCCAGAGAAAATGACGACACCATGTTGGACAAAGCTTACGAAGCTTCAGATGAATTGTTGTACGCTAAAAGCTGTAGATCAGTCGGTGAGCTTATTGAAAACTATTAGAACGTTGGATCTCGGCTGGAACAAGATTGATACTTTTGACTCGAACGTGACGACGGAATCACTTGAGGTTTTGAATTTATGCCATAATCAATTGAACATTGTACCACCTATTCATGAGCTACGTAGATTAAGGGAGCTGGATTTGTCAGTGAACCAGCTCGTGTCCCTGAAAGGGCTAGAGACACTTGAGACGCTAGAACGTCTGGACATTTCTCACAATTTGATCGACGATATCGAGGAAGTAGAGTTGTTGACTAGACTGCAGAAGCTCAGGTATTTGAAGATGGAGTTCAACCCGATTGCACGTCGACCAGACTATAGACGGGAAGTGTTATTTTACTTGGGTGAGCTGATTGAGCTAGACGGCCACTGCTGGAGCGAACCTGAGATAAGCAGTATGAAAAATCGGCGTATGTTGATGATATTGGATGGCGTGAACCTGCGTAATACCGTCGAGAGGAGTCTTTGGGAGCAGTTTGATGGTGCCCCAGTGTATCCTAGGGCTCATGTCCCGAGTGGCATTGTTATGAAGAACCCAAAGATGGTACTTAGGTACCCTTGCCTTCCTCGGTCCCAAACTGTTCCTGCTCAATTTGTAGAAATACAAAACCCGCTGTCAACGTATCCAATAAAGAGCAATCAGTCTCGGCATGATGGTGATACACAAAACAGAGACAGCACCTCAAGGACATTTGATAACATTCAAAGCTCGCATGGTGTGCGACCGTCTATTCAAACTGTTGACGATTACTTTAGCACGCAGCGAAATGTCACAGTATCAACGATGAGTCAAGTCAGCCAGGAATGTGACGAGCAAGCTGCGATGACTGGTACGTGCTTTATGTGGTTACTTGTCTTGATTGCCGACTACCTGACGGGGTTTTCATACCTTAGACGAAGAAAACACTGATGCTTCTACCACAAAACAAACTCAAGTGCTCAGTCGCAAACTTTCGACACCTATTTTCACACGAGACGTTGAAGAAGAAGATTCAATGTTTGTGCGAGGAAGCAATGATAATGATAGTGCAGATATACACGTTACGCGATCTACACCACAAACGCAGACCTCAGCTTATCAGGTGCGGGAATTTATCTCGCATACTATATCATTTGTCAAAGTATCCTTATGCAATGTTTAATACACTTTGTAGCAACTTGGACGAAGTTTCAGCGTTCGAGTGCTTTTAAGTGCAAAAGAGGCTGCAGAGCTTGACTTACATTTTAGAATAGATGGTGTCCCAGCGAATGTAGAAATTAAGGTACGTGATGTCGTCGCTACTGAACCCTTTTGTTTCATACTTGTAAGTAACTGATGAATTTGGTTTATGTTTGACAGCATCAAAAATTGATTGAAAAGTTTACTATCAGCAATGGCAAAGACCCAATAGCTATCACGCGGTGGCTGCCAGATGTCATCGCCGTCGGTACATCAATGCACTCGAATCGCGCAAAGATTATCACGATGAAGTTGCAGTCACGTGGATTATCAAACACAATGGATGCTGCCTATCAGTTTGACTCAGTTGCGCCATTGGAGACTTTGCTTTTGTCACTGATAACTCGTCTCTTCCAGCAGTACAAGAGCCATATTGTGAATTGCAATTGTGCAAATTGTGGAGCTATTTCTCTGCTCACGCCCAGATACCCTGAACGGACAGAAGCTAACGATCCCTTAACTGTTTATTTGTGCTTGCTGTGTTCGAGCTGCAACGTGCGAGAGATTTCTTTCAAGAAGCTTGTTGCGCTTTGTGCTAACGAAGGAATTGCCATTCCAAGCAGCATTTCGCTAGCACCGTCACCGCGAGAAGCAATTACTGAAGGGTTTTATATCGAGGAGCCATCAGCCACTGATGCAGCTATGGACTCGAGCATGCATGAGTGTATCATGGTTTCGTGCAATAGTATTCGCGAAGTTACAGCTTTTTCGAAGAAATTGGGTAGAGATGAAGTGCAGAATGACGAGTGGAACGATGCTATTGTGCACGCTATGACTACTTCAATGCGGTGAGAGCAAGAAAATCAATGAATTGAGATTTCCATTCTCTGCAAAACAACATCAATCAGGCTTTATGTCTATCGTTCATGACGACAACGTGTCTCCTCTTAGTCTCTGTGGCTTGATTGAGTATGCTCTGAAAATGGAGTATACAGTAGAATCAGCAGAAACTCAGCAACCAACAAGACCACACCATCGAAGATAAATTTGGGTGCAAAGATAGCCCACACCATTAAATGCCTTCGTTGAAGCGCGACAAACACCATTGATACCAGCGCATTAAGAGAGAAGTAGGCTGAAAAAGCAAGCACTACTGTGGCTCCATCCGTATGTCGCTTCAAGCTTAACCAAGGCAGTGTCAATATTGCCAGCGCAAAGCATCCAAACGTGTTGAGACCGAGAAGAGCCCCTGCAACGTAAAAGTTGAAGACGTCAAAGCCTATAAATCCAGCGGCGTTTTGTAAACTCGTAAATGTGTTTGCATGGCCCGTTGTGAAGAACGCTTGGTATGAGCAAGAAGCCAAGAGCAGTATCCACGGTGTTATGTCTCCACATGGTTTTGAAGCAGTGATCTGATGACAAGAGACAATGAATGACAAGCTCAGACACTGCACAACCTGACATAAGACTGTAAGCGGGGATGTCGGCCCCAGCACTAGCATAAATACTGGGACGAGTTGCCAAACCAACAGCAAGTGGTCATGTGTCGGTTGCCCAGTTCGTTCGCTGGAATTTCTCATGGTTTGCGGTACTACGCGCGTGAGTAGGCAAAAGAGCGCTCCCAAGAAGATTAAAAAAACGAACCGCGGCAGCCACAGTCTCCAGATAGTAATATGGATAGGTGAAGTAGCCCAATAGATTGCGCACGCGCAGTAGCTCATTAATGATGATGTGAGCATCATTCGACTCGTGAGGGACAGCGTCTGCCCGGTGTATTTTGTCACCTGCACGGAGGATGCAACAGCAAGAACAGCTATACCAATCACTGGAGCAAACGTTCGTCCCATTGTCACCGATGATTTAATAATATTGGGCGGCTCCAGTGCGCTGCTCAATCGTGTTGCACAGACGAAAGCTAGCGCAGAACCCGTAGCGACGTTCCGGTTGGTATCGAAGCGTTGGGTATACGCGAGCAAGAAAAATCCTGTGGTTGCTGACAAGTATTGCATAACTTTGTCTTCCGCTACGATATAGCTGTTGGAGAGAAGTGCTAGCGCATGAAGCATTACAATTACTGCAGACACCACCCACACCGCTACAATCGAAGACAGCAGTTTTCTTAGGTTTGCTCCGGTTATGGACGCTTTGCATGATCGTCGAAACACACAATGCGAGGTCATGCTTGCTAGGCCAGTGCAAGAAGCAGCAATCAGTCCTCGTGAAAGTTGGGCTGCTGGGAGAAGTGGAAAGTTCATACTTGCGGGACAAACGAAGAGCAGACTGCCCATTCCGACTACAACACCTAGTGGGGGACTCCACGACTCGCTCAATGAATGAGCGTAAGCAGCTCGCGTAGATATAGCGCCAATGATGAAGGCCCACAAAAGAAGCATTATTCCCCAGCTCATGCTGCATAGATCAAACTGCGTCCAAATGGAACGCCCTAACGATAAGGCTTCGCGCAAGTACTTCTGTTGCAGCTTTGACAAATCTTCGTGAAGACGTAGTAGCAACGGAAGATCTGCTTTTGAGTACGTGGGGGCGTTATTGCTTCCATGCACTTGTGCAAGTTGATTTTCAAGACGTCGTGTCTCTTCAAAGAGTTTTTCTAGCTGATCATACGCACGCCTAGGCAATTTGGATACAGACGAGTACCTGAAGAGATAACGCCGCACTTGGTCAAGATTTAATCGCAAAGCGCGATTCAGGGTCTGGAATGCAGACAGCGCGCTGTTGTCGCTTTTGTCGGATGAAGACGAGGGCATGAAAAACAGCGACGGGATCACGCTACCAAGGTTACCAAACGGGATTGGTAAGCCAGTCAGCAATGCTAGCGTGGGAACAAGGTCGACTTGTGGCACTTCTCGCGAACCGTCTAGTAATTTCTTGGCATACCTTTGGAGCTCATTTGCATGTGCTGTCTCGCTGTCGCCTGCCGTAGCAACAAGCGGTGCTTTGCTATAAAGAAACAGTGCAGCACCTGTCTCTTCGTCACTAGCCCCACCATGATTTCCATCAGCTGACATGCCATGATCTCCTAGAACAGCTAGCAGCACATCATCGCCATCTGGCATCTCCTTCAATTCCTGTAACAAGCTTGTCAAAATTCCATTCATCTCATCTAGTTTTTCAGCCATAAAGACAGAACTTGGTCCATGTGTATGTCCAACATGGTCGACTCCTAAAAAATGCGCGATGAGGAAATCCCAATCCGGCATGTAAAGTTCTGTAAACAAATGTGTCGTGACGCCACGATCGACCGAGTGAAGATCTTTTACATTGAACGAGTCAAACGCAAATGTTCTCGTAAACTCGTTCTTATAGAGCGTATTCCACGTATCATCTCCCATAAAGACGACTCCACGTTGTTGTGCTCGTAGCTGACGTAATAAATTATCTTCAGCAATCTGACTGCTAGTGGCCATATTATCCTTAATATCTAGAAACGTTGGTAACGATCCAGTCGTCAGTCCTTTAAGACGTTGCATAGTCATCGTAGGTGGATCAGCCACAAACTTGAACAAAAGAGCATGACGTGGTTCACGAGTGAAAGTCTCCTTGAAAACACTTAGTCGATCACTATAGAAACTCGAATGGTGAGAACTTGATCCCGAAACGACAAAATCAAAACGTAATGCATCAATCACTACAAATACAATACGACGAAAGCGACGAGGCATCCAACAATCTTTCGGAGTCGAAGCATTTGTAGCGGATTTGAACATGTCGCCGCATGTTCCACGAAGATGTGGTATGACAGGGTCATGATTTAATGGTAAGACGTGGCAATTGCTGACATCGGGCACTTCAAAACGAGTGAGAAAGAACCCTGTCGTAAATAAATACAGTGCCGCAGCATGTAGTGCGAACAACGTTGCAAACACGGCATATCCCATGACGTAGTCAATACTTTCAAATGTATTCACTACTCTAAGTGTGGGGCAACTATGTATCAACATGATACCCAATGAGGGATCAACAAATGCACATGTTACATACAGATACAGAAAAAAAGGGCTACGTATATGTAGATGCAAAAGAGTTATCAAACCATTTACTTGAATAAAACGTTTTAAGCATCAGCCCAACCCTCGGCATTGTGAAGTCTCACATCGGCGTCCATATTCGGTGAGTTCTGAATCGCGTACAGTAATTTCGTCCGCAATATCTCTTTGCTTGTGTAAGCTGGTAGCCGCAGTGCGAAAAAACACGTCTGGGCATGAGGCAGATATTGGTCAGGGTGACCGACAGCACCAGGATCATGTGCTGCTTGTAGCTTAAAGTTCATGGGAAAATCCTTGGCGCTGTTGGGCATGCGACTTCGCGCCCACACGAACCGCAGAAAAGAGGTTCTCTCCTCGCTTGTCATTTCACGCAACACCTCCCAAAAGTGTTGCACATGTGTCATCGTCTCATCAGCTCCCTCACTGTACTCCGTGCATTGCTGCAGCAGATCCACGTCAACTTCGCGTCGTCCACAAATCAACACTTCGAGTTCACGCGGCGTAAACAACGGCGCTAGCTCCATTGGAAGAACAGATGACAATCCATCCTTGAGTGCTGCGAGTTGTTGGCTACTTTCTGTAAGCCGCGTCTTCTCCACAAGCTGCACATATAGCTCACGATTTGCCAGGGTTACCGGCATCTTTTCGCCCTTGGGAACCAATGGAACCTCAACCCCGTCGCTCAATGTGGTCGATAAGGTCAAGTAGCCAAGCACCTCTTCTCCATCCTCAGTACCAGATCCGAGCTCCTCCACGCGATTCAAGTTGTTAGCTGCAGCAACATCAACACTTTCGAGGTGTACTCGACTGACCTCAAGTCTAGCCAATGGACGCCAAACGAGTGACGGTAAATCTAGCCCCATCTGCAAACCGTGACGTACTGCTGTACCGATTAGTTTTCCCAGGAAACGGTGAAGATCCAGTGCCATCGGCCCGTTTGCTAACAAAGCGGTGCCACAGGACGGGTTCAGCAAAAATTTATCCTGGTTGCTACCTGTGGCGCTTCGGCGGTTTGGGCACGGTATCAGCAGTGGCAGCAAGCCCTGCTCGCCTTGCGCTAACTCAACATTGTCCATCTGCAGCTCGTCGACAATCTGTTCAAAAACCGCACGATAAGGTCCACCGTAGTCATTCACACCCTCACCTAGAAACTTGACCTTGAAAGCACGCCGCTGGCCACCGTGGCCCTTACCGCAGTAAGCGCGGCGGAAGAAGCTGTCGCTCCAGGCGCGCATTTCTCGGTAAAGTTGACCAAATACTGAACGACGCAATCGATCACCAGGTTGTGCAAGCAAACTCAGTTTTGACGCTTGCGCGTGAATTCGGTTGATCCGAATAACGCGTATCTCACGTGGATCTTCATACTCGTCCGAAGGAAGCGGCGTACTTGTTGTCGTTGCCCGCAGGACGTCGTCCCAGAAGGCTCGTTTAGTGCTTGTGAACACTAATCGTCGAAGCAAACGTAATTTCAGACTCATTGACAGGACTAAACGCTTCGTGGAAATGCTGCCTCTCGTACTGCCTGCGACTTCAATCGGTTGAGTGCAGCTTCCATCGTCAGGCTGGATCGCAATAACCGGAAGCACGCGAAGGATTTTATTGTTCAGCACCCTCAGTACTGCAGTGCGTGCACGCAACTCGGGACCAGTCATATTCTTCAGCGCCGGAGATGTAAAATAGTCATCAACGACCAGCGAATGTGTCCGAGAACGTCCACGCGCCGCACTTGTACAGCTGTCGTCTTCTTCCATCTCTCCTGGGGTTACAACATCCATGATATTGAGATTCGTCACGTCCAGCCCAATCGCTGCGCAGTAGGCATTCAGTCGCTCTACCAACTGCATGTCCGATGTCGTTGAATGCGCTCGCGTAGCTAGCTCTACAAATGCATCAAAATTTGTCCTTGCGCACTCTTCTAGCGTCGAACGAGGTTTAAACGGACTGTGCTCTGGTGCGCTTTCATGATCCGACAAATCCATTGCACTGTTCTGGATTAAAGTCATATCCTTACCACCCCGACGAATCAAAAGAAGCTCTGGCAGTTCATTTGGAGACCAATACCAAGCCCAAGACCGGCCTTCGTCGGCACCTTCGTTTCCTTGAGTTTCGGTACGGTACCAAAGGAAACCGCGGTAGACACCTAGTACGACAGCTTCTTCAGGTTGATTCAGCTCTTGTCCGCACTTAGAGCACATCCGAACGCGATCACCGGCCAACAATGGAGCGCCTAGGCCAGCAGCATTGCTGACACGGATGCAGGTAGCCGGCGACGCATCGAAATCAACGGAGATCCCTCGTGGCCGCACATGACACCGCTGCCAGTGTTTGTCACTCCAACGCTTCCACTCCAACCAGCTCTCTCGAAGCAGTTTTGTCGGTAACTCCACACGAGTCTCCACTGGCACGTGTGCTGAGGCTCCAGCTTGCGATCTGAATATGGCCGCAGCTTTCTCTTGCTGAATTGCAACATACCAGGAGTGCAGTGCCTTACTCACATCAACAGCGTCCGAAAGGATTTGTCGCGGAGACACCCCTGGCATCGAGACCCACTTTTGGTTAAGTGTGACGCGATCGCCTCCCTTTCGCATACCAATGCACGGGTACAATGTGCACGAATTACGCTCGCCCTTCATGTTTTCAAATGCGACGCCCAAATCAGATACGATATGCTCGCCAAACTTTATTCCGTCCATGAAAAATGACAACTTGCCTTGCTCCATATTGAGCCGAACACCGATAGTATCACTTGCGTTAAAATGGTCACCGTAGATCCGCTCTGTACTGTTGTGATATGTTGCACGAAAGTTGACAAAGCCCCAGCCGTGCCATCTGTTTAAGCGGCTAGCTAGCGCCGCCTGGGAGCCTGGCGGGCCTGCCTTTTCGCACACGCCAATGAACACACTACCAAACTCTGCCTGCTCAACGTGAACCTCCCAATAGTGAATACCCGTAGTAAACCCTACTGTTCCAAGCGCCAGATTCCGCGACTCTCCACTATTACACGTCACTGATAGCCCATCGGACGAAATTCCAATCGTTGAAAAATGATTGTAGTGGTCCATCGTGAACAAATACTTTGTCGATACCTGCAGCTCTCCACGAATTTCGACAAGTTCACCATCTTTTACCCCCGAGTGCACGTAATCACCATAAAGCGTATCTACCTGAGATGCTTCCTTGCAAGCTGTCTCAGACGAGTCGCACGTCTTAAGCGGGCGCAACGTGTACTTCGTACCAGGTTGCCATTTTTCCGTTCCAAAGCGAAGCGTCCATCCCATGTCAGGGTTGCCACGCGTTAGCTGCAACTCTTGAACGCACAACGAACCATCCGTGTATCTCCACCCAACGACGCGAACAGCAGCCCCGTAGTCTGGCCACTCCATTAATCCAACCAATTTCACAGCCTCGGCGTCGGCAGTCGACATAGCGTCTTCATCAACGGAGAGATACAGCAGCACACCAAGATGAAGCTCGGATCCAAACAACCCCTCTTCCTCTTGTTTTGCTTTTGGAGAAGCATACTGGTGCGTGATGTTGCCGTCTTCGTCCACTTCTACATGTATTAGGTCGAAATTGCCATCTGCTCCCCAGCGGTACGTGTACAAGGAATCGTTTGGCCAACGCACTGACATGCCCTCACCATCCACGCCACTCCATGGTGACACACCCTCAACTGTGCCCACGCTACCTTCACCGCCATCTTGGTCGCGCCATTTCCAATTGGGTCCGCGAATAACCTTGCACCCAACCTTCAGCTCAGGTTGATTGCTCTCCTCTTGCCTTTGCCGTAGCCTGAATTGCGTTAGCGTACCACTCCAAAGCTGCGTGTGTGCATCAGCAAGAACTCCTACGTCATTGCCATGTTTCCATCCTCTCAACTCTTCACCCATAATGCCACGTTTTGCAGCCTCCAACATGTCTATTTCCGGCGTGTTCAGCAAAGATGTATCGAAGACAGGACTTTTATCCGGTAAACGGAACTCAAACGTCGTATCAGCCTTTTCCTGAAGTAACACAGGCATGGCAAGTTTTGTTCGTCGCCCTGGCCCCTTGCTACCTAGACGATTGCCAGAGACTGCAGCAATAGCAGCGGTTGCTGCCATTACATCACTATCTTCACTTACCATGTTGGCAATCGCGGATAGCGTAATGTCTGGAGCCTCTTCGGAGTCACTGTTATCGACTTCCATGTTGGTAGCACCGCTGCTCCTTCGAGCAACACTTTCTTCGTCAACACTTTCGGTGGCATCGCCGACGTCGAGGGTTCCGTTCGACTCATCCAAATTTGAGGATGAATCTCTATCAACTCCTGCTTCCACAGCCGCTGCGCGCTCTGCAGCAAGTTTCTCCTGTTTCACGACTTCTTCGGCAGTCTGTTGTGCCTGCATAAGCTTCTTCTCAGCCATCATTTCCTCATATTCCTTCTGATCAATCGGCTCTAAGTCGGCTTCAATTCGCTTACAGGCCTGCAACTGCTTGGATGAGCTGCTTTCGAATAGCTTATCGGTAGATTGCCCTACTGCACTCATGGCCAAACCAGCAGCAGAAACAAGCTCTACGATGCTTTGGACGTATTTGGAACACACTGGCACGTTGGAATACTCGCGAAAAATTCGCTCATGGGAGAGGTCGACAAGCCGTCGTAACGGTAGCACGTCTAATGCCATTTTCAATCGCGTCTTGGACTGATTATCAATAGCATCGATTTCATCTGAATTAGCAACCCCACTTGACTTCGGTAGGATATCTTGTAGAATGCCCCCAAGGACGGTTGCTCCACGTTCTTTAACGCACATACTAGGAGACTTTAGCGAAGTAACCCAAGCCAGCAGCAATTGTTGCCGGATTTGATCGCGTGAAGGTGATATAAGCTCCTCCTTGCGCTTTTCTAAAGACTCCAGCAACAAACCACTGATCCACTCGGCAAGGAATAGGTTGGGATGGATCAGCACCTCTTTATCAGACCACGTCTGGCCTGCTTCAGCTGTAATCTGCAAAAGTGCTGCAATGATCGAAGCTTCTGACGAATTCCATGGAACTCTAGCGTACTGGCGTTGGGACGCTTTCTTCACTTCTGAAAAGATACAGGAGAGTATTGTATCTACTAAGGGATTGCGATCGCACACCCCTGACGCAACTGTTGAGAGAGCGTCGTCCAGTGCCGATTTCACTACCTCAGAAAGCAAGCCTAGAGCAAATCGACCGGTGGCACCACAATCAAGTAGGTGAAGAGCATCACCGTCAGGTAGCATCAGCGACGGATTCGGTAGCGCATTGGACACATGAAGCGCATTCAAGCTCGCAATGAGCTTTATAAAGTCGATAAATCTCGACGTATGCTCACTATCACTGCTGATATGTAACGCGACATCGCTGGACAAGAACGCTGCGATAGTGAATGGCCCAACCGCTGCTGCAGGCCATTGAGCAAGCAAAGTCAGCAGAGCCCGCCGCGCCTGTAAGATTGCAAGCGAGCGCGTAACTACCAACAACTCGACATACACCCGATTATCGGGAAGTGCTTTGATATCAGCCAAGGCGTCCGCCCTCGTTATGCCGAAGCTAGATGCGAAACCACTACTGCGGCTATGGCCTGAACTCCGAAGCATCGATGGATGCATGTCTCGCACGAAGTATCTGGTGTCGTTCGAGTAATTCTCTTCACCCGCACTTTCTTCAAGGCAATCCTCGCGGGAGCCAATTACATCAAACCCCTTGGGCACAGAACTAAGGTCATTGGTATCACTTAGCGCATTCAGAATAGGCTGGAAACCGGGTGGAGGTTGGTACTTAAACGGAGATCCGCCAAGATTAAATTGCAATCGCTCTCTTCGATTAAAGCTTGCACAGGGGTAAACCCCGCGGGCGAAGTGAATAGCCCTGAAAGCAACACCCATGTTTGCGGACCGCATCTTGCCATTTAAACTAAAAATGACAGTGCCTGCGTCCGCATCGATTCCGCAACCGATGATGTCACCCTGTTTCCACTTAGAACCCCACGACGACGAACGGCCATGCCATCGCTGTTGTCTCCAGCCGTCGTACGCCCATGAATGTGCACCATCCCCAACGCCATCTCCACGATCAGCTGCGCCACAAAACGCCACATCAGCCCATCCAATTTGAATGCAGCCGTTTGTGTGAAGAACAGCTTCGTAGTACCATCGTCCGCTTGAAACAAGGCAGTCAGGTGCGCCAACGCTAGCAAATCCACCACCTACTAGGCCCTCTACCATTAAATCATGCTCTCCGATGCATGCTTGACCACTTACCGCTCGAAGAGGGTTTGGCATGAGCACATTGTTTTCACATTCTGGGATTATACTTGTAACATTTCCATCTGTTGTGTCCTCACAAGAAGCGCGAAGCTTTGCATCTTCATCGCGTCGATCTTCCGCTTCCAAAGCCTCACCATTGGATAAGATCCATGTCAAAGCAGCATCCACATTATTCCTGTTTGCAGCAAGAGCCTTTTTACACCAATTGGAAGGGAACCCCATCTCCGATAACTGTTCCAATAATGGACTGATGACTTCAAAGTCGTCTTTTCGCGTCATTTTCAAGCTGCCCTCTCCACCAGAACCCCGGCTGGACCAGTACTCCGCAACAAGACGCTCCATGTCGCTGCTATGCTCGAAGCAGAAATTAATTGCAGCTTCAACATTCTGAGAGCAACGAGCCAAAGCAACATCACACCATTCCTTTGGAAATCCCATCTCCACCATCTGTTGGACCATCGGGCCCGGCGAGTTATCAGCTTCTTCTGCGCTGCTTGTTTTGCTTTTACCTTCTTTGATATGTGTCGGCGGTGATGGTGCTGCATGAGCACTTCTAATCGAATACCAACGGGACCACAGCAAGAGCCAGCTCTCCTCAAGCGAGGAAATGTCTCCGACTCCTGCCGTTGTAGGTGTCTCGGAAATGGCAACTGTCAGCAAGTCCTTCAAGCCAGCAGACCCAACACCACGAATGAAGGTTGCAGCGCAGTAGTCATTCTTCAGCAATGTAGCAGCAGCACGAAGGCCATGTTGGCACAACAGCATTCGATGAAGTCGCGACTCCTTCTCCATCTCGGCCATAACGTCAGTAGGTTCTGCGGGCAAAGTGGATTCGTCGCCACTTTTTTCGTGACTAGGGGACACATTCGCATCAGGATCCGTTTTGTCAACACCAGTTCCACTGGGCATTTCACTATCCATTGCTGATGGCGACGATGAACCATCATCATTCGACATATCATCGTCATCTTCACTATCTCCATCATTCTCGTTGAGACCATCAACGACACTCATCTCAAAAAAGCTTTTCTTGACTTCCGCCAAAAAGTACGGGAACCGTTCGACGAGTAAGCTTTTCAGTACTGTATCCGAAAATGCATTGTTTGGTAGCTCGACCTCTGGTACTGCTAACAGATCATCAATAGGCACACGAACTGGGCGTGTCTGTACACAACGAATTTGAGCAAGATCAATACCGATGAATGCCGTGTTAACTCTATTTCTACTTACCGGTATGGAGCGACTTGGAAGCAAAGATTGTTGCTTAGCAGTGGGCTCATCTGCGCGGCTTCCACGCAACAGCACTTCAGCTGCTGACTTCTCCGGCTCATAGGCAACAATCACACCTCTTGCCCCTCGAAAAGCTATTTCTTGTAAGGACGACCCAGATCGAGGCATAATTTTTACTGATCCGCCAACATGGAGGGCCTCAATATGGCCATCGAGAATACATAGCGCAGACAAGGCCTTGACATAACGTGCTGTCTGTGTAGTCCAGCTATTCAGCGACGGTGTTTCCTTTGACATGTCTTCCATTTCCACATCGGAATCAGCTGTTTCGACAACGGCTCTTTCTTGCTCTGTGACACACGTAAGAGGAATTGATGCCAGTGCGTCGGCAATGGCACGATTTAAATATTCAGCCCACTTATCCGACTCGTACATCGAGCGAAGAAGTAGCACCACTTCTGCAGCGAGACCTCTAGCGTTAAATCCAGAATTCAGAACATGATTCGTCGGGCCTTCTCCCCTGGACGCTGAGTTCCGCCAAAGCATTGCTTCGGTAACACTTGGAGGATTGTTTATTCCAACAATTCCTACAAAGAAATTTATCAAAGTACTTGCATGATCCGACTCATCCTGGCCGTCAGCGTCGTACTCGTCATCACTATCCATGTCAAAGCTTCCAAACTCGTCGTATCGAACTCTAATAGAGGACGGGTCGAGGAACGGAAGGAGACGACGAAGCAATTTTAGGATGCGCCGCTGTATCTGCGGCGAGTTCGCGTCGACAAGAGCTAGTAACAAGCAAAGCCATCGAGAGGATGAAAGGTGCGACCTGCAAACAGGTGAGTTGCTCACCGAGTACAGCAGTGAGCATATTTGATAGCAATACTCTTGAGCATCGTCCAGACCTTCTTGAAAGCTGGCTTCTGTCCCAGACGCACTTGGATCGCTGGACTGTGTCGGGTCAGTTACAAACGCGGTCGGTGAAGGTTCTACAGTCACATTTACCCGATTACGACGCATGCCTTCTAAAGAGTTCTTCAACTCTGTGTACAACATGTGGAACACAGACTTCCCGAGCGTTTCGGGGCCTGACGGTTTGCGAAGCAGCGGAATAGAGCCCAAACTAAGACCTGGAGTAGACGGTAGATCTGAGGCACTTAATAGGCCATCTGTTGCGTCACTGGCATGCGCAACTTGCGCAGCTAGAAGGTGTACCACTTTCAATGCAGCTTGAACAACATTCTTTTTGTTCTCTGCAACCAATATTGCATCATTTGACGAGCTTTGAGATAAATCAGGTGGAGTTTCTGTCAAGCTCATTCCACTGGATCCACGAGCCTGGTCTAGTACAGTTTGCAGCACTCGAAAAATGCCGACGCGTGACAAGAACGAATGATCATCTGGTTGAATGATGATCCCCCACGCTAACAGAATGACAAGTTGTAGATCAGCATCATGAGCCCATGTCGCCGTGGATAAGGATGCGCTCAGGTAGCCATACAGTGATTCAAAGGAGCCCCTGAGATCATTCTTGAGATGCTTCCCGCAGCCACCCAGACCGCTCAGGTAGTAAGATGACTCTGTAGTGGCGTGAGTTGAAGTTGCAGATGCAGGAACTACACTAGCATTAAAGTCCCCAAAGTCTTTGCCTAGCGATGAGCCACGACAACCGTTAGATTTGTAATTAGCTACAGTCGGGGACAGCCACTGTAGCGCACTAGTGAGTGCAAACGAAGATTGAATGACTTGGTGACGATCGGTAGCTGAAACACCACGGTGACTGCTCCCTAAGTCGCCAACGAAATGTCTGAAGGACAGCATGCCGATTGTTCGAAAGAATGCTGCGGTGCAGTTTCCTAGCATTCTTGACTGCAGCGACGACACGCGAATAGGAGCTTCCACAAATCGTGCAACCTGCACTAGAACATCGCTGTAGATGCGTTCAGCGCACTCATACACTGCTGACTTGGCTGCTATCCTTTGAACACCACTGTCTACTGTCGTCAGCGCAAAAACAGCTTCGGCTGCTGCCAAAGCTTTAGCGCTGGGTTCAATCTCGAGCAAAAATTGAGCTTTACGAATTACCAGGCCAGCCACGACGGTATAGGAAGATCCCATCGAGTTTTTTGCTCGGATCGCCCACCCGATAACTCGCTGAGCAGCTCGCCAGATGTGCATCAAATTATCATGTGGTCGAACATCACTTTCCGTAAAATTGCCATGCAAATTGTCAACGTAACTTTTGATTGAGCTCAAAAACCCACTGTGCCATATCATAGCAGCACAAACAGTACGTCGCGTAGCCTTCATTGACTCCCTCCTAGTCGCACGAACGGCGATTCGCCGACGTGCTGCGATACCCACCTATCCAATGCAGCTGCCTCGCCACGATTTTCAATAAGGTCTTTCAAAAAGGCATTGCCGACACGGGCCCCACCAACAGGCATGCTGTCGACGTCAGGAAGAGGAGCTGAAATCGTCTTAGGCAACACAAACTCCATCCAGGTTTTAGTAGCTTTGGTGAGGGTAGGCAATGATCTCGCAGTCACGGGAGTTCCAAAACATGTAATTTCTGAGCACCTATTCAGCACACTCTTCAAGTGCGCTTGTACGCTATGCAAAGGTAGTCCTCCTTCCAGCAAGTTACTGCTAACCCATTCGTCGTAGTCATCAATCGAGCATTCTGAGGATGACATCTTATACACGTCGTCACTATTGCCGTCGTCAATCTTGTCAGCATCATTCGAATTAAAAGTACTTGTAGTCGCGTCGTCAATAAGCAGATCGTCGTTTTCCAAACTAGTCAATGCATGACTAAAATACCCCACCAGGTTTGCAACAACCATTTCAGCGATAACAAGCTGATTGCTCACCCATTGTCGATCGTCACTGTCCTTTTTTTTTAAGTCTTGCGATGTTTTATTTCCGACTATACAGCCGCTTGTGTGGCTCTTTGTATCTTCATAGCTGCCTGTGAATACAGTTCCGTCAGCGCGAAGACGCCCCTCGACTAAACAGGTACCTCCTTGGCGCCAAGTTTCCACAAAAGATACCTTCGTACCCCGAACGACACCATTTAACGTCACCGTTGTAAATGGGCCGCTGCTGCGTCCATGCATCAAACCATCATTATCTTGTGAAAGGGTGAGGTGATATTGCTGAGCTGGAATATTTCCAGCTGCCATACTCTTCAATTCCCACTCTCCAGCAACAGAAAGCACAAGGTTACCGGGAGAAACATCGTCTTTGTCTTGATCAGACGACGCTTGAGCGCGAAGAGCTTGATTTACACGATCAATGCACTGCATCGTACGAATACACCAGGGTACAAATGTCATAGCTAGCCCCGAAGTCAAACCGCGATAGTTTTGGATAAGACTCAAAGAACTGATTAGCGGGGTCACCATTGAAAACAGAAGTGGATACGAAGACACCAAGCGCTCGTAGTCACGAATACGCTTGGCTTCAGACCCTGCACCGGGAGTTTTTGGCTGATCCGATGCCATGTCGAAGTCGCCTAGCACTGCGCTCGACAAAAATGTGCAACAAGCCTCCAACAAAGCTCCTGCGTGGTGTAAGAAAGGCTTGAGAACAGCCGGAATCACAATACCCTTTGGCTCTAATGCTTTGCCTCTTGGTGATGCGCCAATAGAACATTCTACGGTCGGTTGTACTGGCAAAATTGTAACTTGATCATCTCGTTGATACAAGCCAATTGCTGGATATAAGGTGCCATGTTGCGTCAGACCGTCGAAAGCAATACCCCATTCGCTATCACCAACTCCAAAGGACAGAGCCCCGCTATCCGTATTCAATCGAACTCGAACAACGCTTCCCGTGGTAAAACCGTCACCATAATCGCCACGAACTTTGCTTCGAGCATGCCAAAGCGCTCGGGTTCCAATAAGGCCCCATCCCTGACGGTCACCACCAACATAGGTTGCTACAGATGCATCTCGAGTGCACACACCAAGGAAAATGTGTCCTTTCTCGCAACGATCGAGACGAACGCCCCATTCATGAATGCCAGTGTTTGGGGGGCATCCCGTGGTAGCCATCACCATCCCCCATTGCTTTGCCGTATACTGCTTTGCAGTGCGATTTCCATCCGAAAGCGTCATAGTTTCAGCACATCGCGAAGAATCAAACTCTAAAGCAGGCGGCTCATCACCACGAGAGCCACCTAATCGTTGAATCATCAAGTCTTGAAATGATCGGAGCAGGACAATCCGAGCATTCAGGTTTAGCCGTCGCGATGAGTCATCTGCGTTTTCAAGAAGTGGTATCAATGGGGCGTGCGCCAATTCGTAGCTGTCATTAAACAAAAAGTTGTGCCAGCCTGCAGACAAAATGCTTTCGCGCAACAAATCAATCAGACTGGGCAGACAACTAATGCATTCCAAAGCCTCAGCTTGTTGCTTCCGACCCATATCCCACATCTCCTCGTATGCGCTCGCCAAAGTGTCAGCATTCATCGCATCATCACTTAAGACTCCACCAGGGATTTCCATTATCGCATCCAAAAGACCAGGAGGTCCGTGACCCAAAATGTAGTCGTAGAGACAACGCGCACTCAGAGATCCAGAGTCAAGTGAAGCACGAATGGCGACTGGGCTCCACTTTGCTTTAATCTTTCCTGTCTTCGACGCAGCAATTTGGAGAGCACCATCGTCGATTGGCTTTACAGAGCCACTTTCACTTTGATTCTTTTGTTCAAGATCAGCTCTGGTGTCAGGCTCGACAATATCTACACAGCTGGGCACAAAATGCTGAGACATATCTGGCAATGCCAACCGAGCGCATAATAGGTCTAGCTGATGAAACTTCCACTCAACATTTTGCTCACCACTTCGGACTAGCTTATGACACTCGGCCAGCTTTGTTGCTAGCATTATATGCCGCTCCTTCTGCTCATTGTAGAAAATACCAAACGCTCGTATCCAGGTCGCCATCGCTTGCTCACGAATGCGTGCACAGTAATACGCTGCGACTTTCTGAACATCATCCGGAAGGCAAGCCGCAGGGCTTAAAAAAATGATTTGACCAATGATGTCCTGATCAGCGTCAGTTGGAGAAGGACTTTCAGCGCCAATGTAGTGGACGACTAGTGACTTCAGACTCTCTAACAGTGGATTGCCTATTTCACTTTCACCGTCATCTTGCTGGAAGTTTAGTCGGGGAATATGCCCAAGACCGACAGAAGCTGGAGCAATCCCCATCACTTCCACGTGAAAAAAGTGTACCTCTAGTACTCGAAACAATGAAAGCATCGAGCACGAGAAGAACAAGCGCCATTTAGCAACCCAACTCAAATTATCAGGCCCCTGAGAATGGGCAGTAGTTGATGTGTGCAAATCCCTCAGTAAGGAGTTGAGGAGCATGAACGTCAGTGGATGCGGCTGAACAGATGATTTGTTCGGGAGCTCTCCCTGCTGGCAGGATTTGAGATACTCCAAGCATATTTTCGTCATCTGCGCTATCAACGTCATTACGACAGTAACTCCATCGACTTCAGCAATCGATGCACCAGTAAGTGCAAAAGGGCCAAGCTCCATCAGCTCCTCAGCCGAAAACTTTGAAGGGCGCGCTTTTACTACAGGGGAATCAATTTTCTCTTCTGCGCCATTTGGCTTGTTCTCATTGCTAGGTGTCGAAGACGTGTCATTTTGGTCCCGCAAATTTACCTCAGGAGACAGTGACAAAGCAATGGCGCGGGCCATCAGCGCATCTTCATCCACGCCTTCTCCACCAAGACTGTCTTCGCCTTCCCCACGTTTGTAATCCTCTTCTTCGCCTTCATGTCCATCCTCTCTATCATCACCAAAACGACTTAATCGAGCACGTAACTTAGCAATTGAGCCACTATCCGAGTCCAAATCCATTTCAGTAGAAGATGTAGCTTCCAACACAACACTTTGCAAATCGGACTCAAAATTCCCCTCGGCACTTTCGAGAGTACTCGTATCAAAGCTAGGCTGATCTGTTTTCGTCAATGTCGTGTCTTCCTTTTTTGTCGTTGTCGCCGTAACACTTGTCTTCTTCACCTTGTACTCCGGCGCCTTCTCTCCGCGTAGCACACGAAGATGCGACGCAAGCGGGAATGTCAATGACGATGTGTCGCTTGTCTGCTTCTGGTGGTCCAAAAACGATAGTACTAATTTCGCTGCAAGCATTAATCCCTGCAATGATCCTTCGGCAATACTCTTGGCTACAAACCGACTAATATTCAGCTTCATCTCTTCGTCTGACAAGGGCTCGGCTGTCAAATCAGGCGTTAGCATGCCCGTGGCAGTATTGATTTGTGATGACGATTGTTTCTCTTTGCGTTCTCTGTCCTTGCGTTTCTTTTTCTTCTTCTTCTCTTTCTTTGGATCGACACCCGTAACAAGTGGATGGCATAGAATTGCACCATAGAGCGCTGGATCCTGTTCTCGAATCTGGCTTAGCATCACATTATAGACACGATTATCCAGCTTATCTCTCAATAATTTCGTGTGGTTCCTCACAAATTCTTTCTCAGGGTCCACCACCACATCGTCTTTCTCCTCATCTTCCTCTACTGCCTCGTCTCGCTCCTCGTCTTCCGTTTCTTTGTCTTTTTCTTTTGCTTCAACAAGATCTCGACCGCCTCCTAATGCAAATTCAATGTCGGATTTCGCCTCCATAAAGAACCGTGTGAGTTCTTCAACACGTTGTCTCCGTGCAGTGTCAGCACTAAGTAAATCGTCCGGTTTAGTTGTTGAGTTCGTCTTTTGCTGCGTCTCCGAACGTTCCGGTAAACGCTCAAGCTTTACAGGCTCTGGACGTCCATAGGAAGCAAAGAACTGCAGTGACTCCGTCGTAATAACGTTGCTACGGTCGCCACATAGGGATGCTAATTCCATCATAAGACGCGCGTAGCGATCGTCTAATGAGTCTTTTCCCTGTGTTGTTTCCTCTAATTCATGTAAGACACTAGTCTGTCGCAATAGTCGCGTCTGTTTGCTCCGCGTACTGCTCATGGACCTCGTGGATTGACTCCTTACTTTGATTCAGTATACAAGAGTGATGGTCGTCTTCTCTTCTAGAGTGATGGTCGTCTCCTCTTCTAGTAATATCGGATATTGTCGGGTTCTCGCTGTCTCCCAGGATCTTTTTTGAACATGTACCGTATAGACGGATACTAAGTACGACCCATACGATGATTGGATAAAAAAAAATAAAGCTTTCAGTCACAAGCCACAACGTCGCGTAGATGAGCGAATTATCGTCACTGTAAGATTTATTATTGAGTATGAGAGAAGAACAAAGTGTTGACAAGTTTAACGCTTTATACAAGACAACTGCTTGCTTCTTTCTTTATTTGGATGCAAAGATTCTGGAACAGGAAACAGTACTATTGAATGCCGTCTCATCACAAACTCTAAAAAGCAGTATACGACCCAACGGTTATTTGTCACATTCGCACGTAGCTCTCCAAAATGGTGAAACTAGGTTTTGTCACATTCTCGATCTGAGCCATGTTCGAGTCTGGCATATGCCACATATCGACTTTATACAGGTTCAAAGCAAATCGAGAGCAGCAGAATAAGCAGTGGTCCTGCTACATCTTACACAGCAAGCTGTCGCTATTGCAATTAGTGACTGAAACATTTTTATCGAAAACAAGCTACGTACGTGTCGAGTAAGCGGCATTAGACGATATTCCATTAAATGTAATTCAAGCAATTCATCTTACTTACTTGTCTGCTGCACGCAGCGTCCTTACCATCGATTGCACCAGTGCTTTTTCTGGCCTAGTCCAAGACCCAACGTTTGCACAGCGTCCTATAAAAGACGGAGTGAATGGTTTACTCATTGAATGGCATCTTCGGCAGATATCGGTACTTTTATCGGTAAAACAAAACACGAGTTATATCGATAGGAGCGATGCAGTGTTACTTGAATGTCATCCTACCTTGAATCGTTTTGGTAAGAATTGATGATAGTCGAGCTGAACCGGTTTTACGCGTGCTCATGGGCTCAAACCCATTCGGTTCCATGAAACATTTGTACCCGGCCTGTAGAATGAGTGGTGCACGCTATTTATCATTTTCGATTGTAGCAGTGGATAATACTGAAGCGTGCATTTCTAGCTTATAGCAAACAAAGACACTCGTTATGCTTATGGTTTCTAAGGATGAAAAAACACACTAGTTGTCAAGACATCCTCGGGGATGCCGATGTGGCGCTATAAACTCTAATTTTTTCCTGAAGAACGCAATGACTTTGGTCTGCGTATTGCATGTAGTAGCCTTGTGGGGGGGGGAGTTCTTATGAGGATAGAGGTACCACCACACTGATCGATACGATGAGAAACATTCCATAGAAATCAATTTTTATCTGAGGAACCCCATCTCAAACAGAATCCGTGACTTGATCTCGGTGACGACAGTGTTTACATGTTTTAACTAGATATATCCTAAACCTGCTTGTCATGGCAGCAATGTGAGCAAAATGCTAACTAGACGAATTGGCTTACAATATCCACCGTCCATGAAGGTCTCTATTGGCTGTACGTAACCGGCCTTATATGCTAGCTACGACACACCGCTACGTCATCATTGAGCATGCGAAAAGAACAAAGTATGTGAAGCTAAGTGCACCCTAGCATATTAAATCTCATTTTCAAGCATACTCCTCAGTTTCAAAAAAACTGCGCTATTGAAATAGCACAACATGTTATACGCGTGCGGAGACACAATGGACTGCATACGCTTTGCAATTGAGTATTCGTTGCGACTAACGTGCTCTTTTTTGCTAATACCATACCAGCACTGGTATGGATGCAGAGGAAAAGACGCGTCCTTCTCCCTGTTTACGAAGTTGGAGCGCAACTATGTTGATAAAGTGCGCAAATGGACATTACAACATGCACGGGTTGGCCAACTTGCTGCAGTCGCAGCCTGCTGCTGTTGTGACTGCGCGCGAGGAGTTGATCATCCCATTCCGTGCTGTTGCAAATAACAAAGGCGTCGGATAGTTCATTGTCAGCTCGAGTCGTGGAGAAATGTGCAACGTAGCGATGCAGTTCAGTAACAACGCCGTCGTCATGAAAAAGGCTTGCCAGGACATTTCAAATCGAGTGTAAGTGTGTGGATATTGTCATTATGTCTCCCAACTAAAGCGTACTGCTGCTGCTTCTTACACGGAACCAACTGAAACGCTGGGGGTGACGAAGCGTTTGCAGTTGCATGCGGACGCAGAACAAGGTTTGTAAGACTTTCAATGCGAAGCGTCGATTGTAAACACAACAGTGAACAACGCACCACTTGACTCCGGTCCAATTCCACGAGCCAAGCTTGGCTGTGGATGATGATGGACAGAACAGCTTACCGTCGTTATTGCTAATAAATCTAGACTGACTCATCATCCACATCTGCACAGAATTCTCTCTAATTGCGTCATCCGGGACTAAATGCGGTCGGTACCTGTATGCAATAGCAAGAGATGATCATTAACTAGCTCCCAACAACAGCAAAGAAAAACAATTTCGGCTCTATCGTAACTGATTCCTCGTCGTACAGAACCAGTTGTTGCATATACGCAGCACACTGAGTTTCCTCCTGGTCGTATGACTTGCGGACCAGCAACGATATCTGCCCCTTCGTCTTCATTCGCTGTCGTTTTACCATCATCGTTCTTTATTCGGCATGCGCAGACTTGATGCCTATAACTTCCGGATCATGTCCCACCCATCCTTTCAATCAGTCCAGTTGCCCCAGAAAACCAGAATGAATGGAGATGCATTGGCGAGCTTGTTGCACGGCGTCATACGCCTCTAGCAGTATTTGACCTCGTGTAGCCATCAGATACGCTATAGGAGCACTGCGTGATTGGCCATGACGCAATGCACAACCACTGTCAACCCATTGTCCAAGTGTTTGTCGAAAATTGCATGCACTCTTCAAAGCAAGGCAAGAGTAGCTCGCCTACATTTGCAAACGTTGACAGACAGATTACTGATGCAATAACTACTTGAATGTCGTTCGCCTCGAGAAATACTGCGCCTTGTGCGGTTATGAGTGTTAGAGTTAGTGCAGAGTCAGAATTAGTCAGTCGTAAGCTGTACTATGCGCGCAGGTGCGCAGTATTTGCGCCGGCTGCTTCGCCGAGAAACAAAGACAATTTTCAAATACGTGCAAGCTGTCGGAATCTTTCCAGCTATTGGTGGCAATTTAGTGATGCAAGAGCAGACGAGCTAAAGACAGTTCCTCTCAGGGGCGTGTTCGTACATGGGCTACACGAGATCAGTTAGTAGATGACTGTAAGGATGATGAGAATCAGGCAAGACATAAATGGTGGATCTAGTTCTATATTTTGGGTCGTATGATTTAGAAGCTGCAAGCATTATACAATGGGGTCATGATGCACGCATTGTGCAGAACTCGGCAAAGCAGTCGAGATCCAGAAATAGTGAAGCTGCACTTTTATCATGCGCCGCGGGACTGGCAATGTACTCAAGAGTGGCGTCAGGCAAAGGGTCTGCGTAGAAGTTCAACCACATACTGCAGCAAGCGCCCGATAGCCAAACTGGGCAGGAAGCCAAAGTAAGCGGCAGGTTAATCGTAATAGAATTTCAAATCATTAGATGTAGACCAAAGTGTATAAATACTTCTACGAACATTTTCCGGATGACGTTGATACGAAAATGCTCACACTCTTTGAAACGCCTCTAGATCAAATGCAGATGTACAATTTGCTAGTTACGAGGCTAGACATTAAAGAGTCGAAAGCTATTGCTAGTCGTCTTCTTGATGTCAAGCTCGCACAGGATTTCGAGAAGGAAGGTGGGATGTCCTTCATTCCAAGGCACTTGGAGTGAGCAAAACTGGCAGCACTTCATGGAGTTAGCTCAAACGGTGACTGGTGGAACTTGACTGAGCGGGAATGGTACCGTGAGTTTTGGCTTACTACATCATAACACATATACAGAAATTCCTAATTGTTCAGAAGACGATATACTGTTGGCTTATGTAAAAATTTGATAGCGTAATTCCACTAGTTCTCGACAATTACCAGCACCACATAGTGCAGCTGACGATACGGCATGTGGTGGCTGCAGTCGTACTTAGGTACTCGTTAAAACGACATGTTTTAACTTTTTAGATTGAAGTCAATAAAAACGTTAAAATACGTTAAAACAGCTAAAACTCCTATTTAACGTTACTTCAACTTGCGACAGATCCTACGTCCACTCTAATATAAAGCCTTCCCTCTTATTTATATATCTATATCATTCTCAGTCTTAAATAAGATTTCTTCCTATTCGATCAAAATGATCCTAAATAGCTCACGTCGCTTCCACGTCTTTGTCTTGACACTATCTGTTGTAATCTACAGCGCCTTTTGCTCGTCGCTGCCTGATGCTGCAAACATTACGCTGACCATGAACGCTGTGGACCAGGATTTCTGTGACTCAACAAAGCAGCTAAGTGGTTACTTCAAGATCACGGGCTCCAAGTCAAAGAATTACTTTTACTGGTTCTTCGAGTCACGAGGATCCCCTTCCACTGATCCTTTGATCATCTGGCTCACTGGTGGCCCTGGTTGCAGCTCTATCTTGGCGTTACTTCAGGAGAACGGTCCATGTTCGGTCAACGATGACTTGTCGCTCAAGCGGAACCCTTTTTCGTGGACAGAGCGTGCTAATGTCATGTGGATTGATCAGCCAGTGGGTGTGGGGTTTAGCTATGGAGACGTGAGTGAATACGATACGACGGAAAAGGAAGTGGGTGACGACATGTTTTACTTTTTACAGGAATTCTTCAAAGCCAAACCGGAGTACAAGGACCTGCCCTTCTATGTCTTTGGAGAGAGCTATGCTGGTCACTATGTGCCTGCTATTGCCCATCGGATCTTTACGGGCAACAACAACCACGAGGGATTCGTGCACATTAATTTACAAGGCTTTGGCATTGGTAATGGTCTTACGGACCCAGAGGTGCAGTACAAGTACTATCCGGACATGGCGTACAATAATACGTATGGAATCAAGGCAGTGTCGTATCCCGTCTATCTGGCGATGAAAGCGGCCGTGTCACCATGTGTAGCTATGATCTCTAGCTGCCAGTCGACCAAAGTAGCGTGTCTGGCGGCGCAGACATTCTGTAATGCTGCGCTAGTGACGCCGTACACAGCGTCGGGCTTGAATGTGTATGACATTCGAGCCAAGTGTGAGCATTTTCCTATGTGTTACGACTTCAGTCACGTGGAAAAGTTTTTGAGGCTTGAAAACACGTTGGAGAAGCTACATGTGAGTCCGAAGAGCTCCAAGTGGCAGAGCTGCAACATGGCAGTCCACGCGGGCTTTTCATTCGACTGGATGAAGAATTTTCAGCAGCTTGTGCCACCAATGCTTGAGGCAGGCATTCGAGGGTTGGTCTATGCAGGCGACGCTGATTTCATCGTAAACTGGATGGGCTGCAAGGCGTGGACGCTGCAGCTGCCATGGAGCAAGCACAACGAGTTTCTGGCTGCTGAAGATAAGGACTGGTACGTGGATGGCAAGAAGGCTGGCAGGATTCGTCAAATTGGGCCATTTGGTTTTCAGCAAGTGTATGAGGCTGGGCACATGGTTCCTCTTGACCAACCCAAGAACGCGCTGGCAATGCTTAAGGCCTTTACGTTGCCTAAGGAGCAAAATGGTGAAAACGAATATCTTGTGGATAATGCAGAGCAACAGTCGTTGGACAAGGAGGTGCTGACTAAGGACGAAAGCGTCATGAGCATCATGTAACTCACGGTGTAGGCGGATGTGTTAGTGTGGCTATTGTTCTGGCGTGGGTGAGCGCGCGAGAAGTAGCAAGTAAGCAACAGCCAAACTGAATTCAATTTAAAGCGGCTTACGTACGATTAGCGTGTAGCCTCCAACGTTTCCATCTCGAAAAAGCTGTGCCACCCGCGTGTAAAAGTGATCAAGACCACAAGCTGCTGCCTTACCGTCGCGGGCAATATGTGTCTCGAGTGCAGCGTGATATTGCTCTGCACGATCCGACACGTATGGCTGCCATTTGGTCGTCGCATCGTGAAACTCAGGCTCCTTAAAGCCGCAAGTCCTTAACACAGTCAATATTTGATCTTGACGCAGCAGGTCAGTGCAGTACACATCTTGCTTGAGCGTGAGTTGATCCTCATCCGACAACTTGTCACCACGGAGGAAAAAGTCGTCCGCGTATAGTACACCACCAGGTTTGAGACTGTCAAAACAGCGTTGAAAAAGATGACGCCAATTGCCAATGTGCAGGAAGCACAAGAGTCCTACCACAGCGTCGTACTCGTTGTGCCGTACCGATAGCTCCAAAAAGTCGCCATCCAAGTGTGTCACTTGGTTGTCTAATCCACAACGTCGGGTGAGCTTTCGACCTGCGTCACTAAGATCAGGCTGTAGCTCTAGAGCATCCACCTTGCAGCCACTGCGATGAGCCAACAATCGAGCTGTACCACCAAAGCCCGTGCCAATATCTAGCACTTTTTTCTCGCTAGGACATGCACCTAACAGATCGACAATGTGGCAGATGGGTTCATCACCGAAAAAATGTAGCGAGTCGAGCGTTCCCAGCTGTTCTGGATCGACACGGGTATCCTTATTAGTATAGCCCAATTCTTTTAGCCGATGCTCAATCCGGTCTAAATGATGGTAAAGTTTCATCGTCTTAATCTCTTCGTGCTTGGTCATGATACTTCTTGGTACGTTTTAGACTAAGAGATTTGTTTCAATTGGAAAAAATACTGTCGATATGAAACTTTGGCTTTATTTGAAGAGTCAACGGTTTCAACGATTTCGTAATCTTTTCTTATGAGTTTAAGGGCGTTTTGGATACCTGTTCGATTTCTATACTAGATATAACGCAGTCAAGTGATGGCATGATGGAAAGATCTTTCTTGACGTTGTAATTAAGCACACGACTTGACTGGTCACTATCTTTTGGTAAATTTGTAAGCCTGTATAAATTAATGACATCGTCTAGCAATGAATTGCACGACTGCATCATGTTACTTCATGACCATTATAGAACTCATAGCTACTAAGTAATAAAATGAAAACATCCTGTCAACTCCGACGTGACGTACAGTTACATACTCACATATAATAATGTTACGAACAGGAAAAGTCCATGACTATGCTGTGATGCGTACCGTGCATATGATCTTTCAAATCTAAAAGGCCACGGAATTAATTCGATGAGTATCAGCATGAAAATAAATACACAATGCTTTCTCGCTTATCCAAACGCACTGACGGACACAACATTGTCACCGCGGACAAATAGCTGCTTCACGTACTCGTGTTGTGTACCTCCAGCACTTCCAAGTATGTGTCGGTTCCGGTGTCGGTCTGCTGCTGAGAACACAACATCACTAGCAGCACGTTTACCTTCCCGCACTTCTTGCTGAAGTCGTTCATGCGTCCTAAGCGAGATAAATTCTTGCGTGACGTCCAGCAAGACAAGATTCATGTGCTTATCAAACGCCTTCAAGAACCCTAAACATGTGCCACGTACACTATTGACACGACGAATAACAACAACAACTCGCATTCGTTCAAAGAAGCATCGACGAAGTACGCAAAATGGTCCATCCAAATAAGTGTCTAACGTAACAATATCACCAGATCAAAAACTATAACAACACAATCAAGCAAGTAAGCAAAAAACACAAAGTCTGAATACCTGCAAGCTGTTCAAACAAGGATGGAAAGGCAGTTGCAATTCTTGCTTTTTTGACAAGAGCCGTTGCATTGACTTCAGCTACTGATGAAATTGCTTTCTTGGGTCGAATAGCAAGATGCTGGCGGTTTGGATCCGAATCTGGTAGCTAGACAATGTTTTTTCAATAAATAATCCAAAGATTCCATAAAATAGCATCAAGAATAGTGCAGGAGGTGGACGTACTAAATGACGACACTTTTGAATATTATCCAGTGGATAAGCCGTTGTCACGGGCAGCTTGAGCAACTTTTCAGAGGATTGAAGAGCTTGAATAGCATCAAAGTTCGTCGATCGGAGATCCAGAAAGCTATCCGTGGGTGTAGGCATCACGTATGGCTTAAAACCTCTTTGATACTCGACCTTTGCGACCAATCCTGCATTCTCTGTCGTTGTGACCTCAATTTGGTCATTGCTACCTTCCATTGACATAAGATCTGGTGCCTCTCCATACTTTCTGAAGAGTTTTGCGCACAGTATGTGCTCTCGACCCGTAAATTTACGCACAATCTCGGCACTATCATGTCAAATGGTGAGAAACATTTTGTCAGACGTTAAACAGCTATAGCGTTGAGCAACATGACACTGTACAGCAACAAAACATCATGTTATTGATTTGTAGCTATATCTAACGCCATGAGCGTACATATTCTGATCGTTTCCTGGATTGTGCTTGGCGTAAAACGCGTGCAGCCGTGCCTTCATTACAGAGGTGTTCATTGCCGTTAAGACCTTCACTCTGTAAAAAAATGGTGTGGTGGACATTACTAATATAGTGTTTGTCACACTATTCGACAGTATCACACGTCACAGACAGTTCCAATGTCGCTGTCGAATGTGCAGAAAATGAAGCTGCAGCTATATCACCGTCTACAACGGCGTCATCGCAATGTGTGGAAGCAATACTGGAGCTCATTTCAGCTATTTTTAATGGCTAAGATATCTTTGGAAGAATTCCATGCATTAGCTGAGGACTTCCTTGGACCTGATAAGCGTGCGTTCTCGTCATGAATTTAATTTGTATATGGAACTAATGAGCTTTGATAACTCTAATAAAACAAGTGATATGATGGTCTAGATATGCACAATAAGTTTGTGATTTCTCTCCTTAGTACTACAGGTGACCAGGAAAATACAGATTTGTATACGAATCAACAGCCGCCTCCAGCTCTGGAAATGCCGGATTACAAGGGAAAAGAGGAAATAAATGATATTGTAATTAATAGAAGAACCAAGACAGTCAGTAGGAAAGATATGTTACTGCAGAATAGCAAGAAAAACTGCATGAGATATGGTATGTAGGCACAAAATCGAAAGAGGAGGGGGAAAAGGTCATCTTGGCTGAATTTTGTAACTTGATGGGTATAGATGATGATGATGACCAACGACAGAAAGAACCGCTTGGAGGTAAACGATCACATAGCAGCATTGTATCTATTGATACCAACGTAGAGGAGACGGGTAAGTACAAAACGGCATTGTTACGAAGATTATTACCAGTCAGGTTGTTTTCATGGATGCTAATTGATTTATGCTTAGTTGTAAAAAAGCTCATGCACCTTCATCAGGATCAATCGCACAATCGTGTCCATCCAGACCACCAATCGGCACAGCTACTGATGGAACTTGGAAAATTTGGGAGGACAAGTAGCCCGTCATCCATCGTCATCGCGCCTGTATCGACACCTTCCAACAACAGCAAAGGTTTGGAGTGACACATATCAACAGAAGGGAGGTGGGAGTAGAAAGGGATGGATTCAGTTAGCGATAGCTTACATTGGTGAGCAACTCATTGTCCCAACCCATCCGGCTTGTTCGCAACCTCCCACTTTATCTATATGAGCAGAAGCTACCAGCCAGACCATTTTAATATTGCACCGCTCAAATCAATCCGTACAGTTGCTTTCTGGTTGGCCTAAAGTATCTGTGAGGCAATGAGTGTTTCGTTCAAGTCGTTATCTCGACCCGGAACAGCACCACGTCGAGCTGGAAACACTGGGTACTCTTCATCAACTCCACTTCATAGCTGCGCAATTACAATCAATAGCAGAACAGAAACATGCTACCTGCTCTGCTTTCGCTTGTCATTTTGTGTCAACTGCGCGACTTTTGGTGCCACTTGGTGTGATCCGGCAGACCGAGTCAAGAAAGTTTGGTAGCTCAGAGCCGATGCCAAACAAGCACAGTGCGTTGTCTACTAGATCGACGAAAAAAACCCTGCACCTCTTTACTGGCAATAGCAACCATAAGTGGAAGCAGTCAGCGATCACCAAGTGCTGACACACGTGATTTGGCAGTAAGGACAGCGTCCTTGATAAGGTTTGAGTAACAGACACTCCAAAATATGTATGTTTGAAGACCAGTTCTGTTTGAAGGCCAATGGAATCTTGATGGCAGAGCAATTGGTAGCAATTGTTTCTAGCGACTGATGATAGTAGCAGCTGGTCGCGGTAGGTCTCACACTGCTTGCTCTCAAGTTGTGGTCGCAAAAACATAAAGAAACACGTCCAAGCATCCGCGCGCAACAACGACTACGAGGTTGTCTCGCTTTGGACCAACACCACAAGTGGCGCGATGTATCCTGTCAGATCGACGAAGGAGTCATTGCTCGGCGCAAACCTCTCCAACAACCACGTGGGGGTGCAAATGCAGCGCCAGAGAGCACAAAGGGAACGCGCCGTTAATAATCACACACTGCTTGTCAGACGGCAAGCACAAGGATCCCAAAACCACGACGAGAGACGCAGCTATAGTATTTCAATCGTACCTTCGACTAAGTTGGTGTCGTTTTTTGCGGTCAATGCCATCCCAGTCGGCACAGAAATAGCTGACAACATCCCTGCAGAATACCTTTGAAAACCCACAATACGAAGCAGAATCCTCATCACAGATTCAATCTTGAAGAAAGAGACCGATGAAACTAGACCTGCAAAAGTCTACATAAGCTCAACTCAACTCGACTAGCCCTCCTCTCTCTCTCTCTTCCTCTTAGATCTACGTCTTGTCCTTATCCGTCAACTCGTGTTCAGCTAGAATTTGTTTGGGTACCTTTGAGTGGCTGGCATACGACAAGTATGCGTTCCAAAACAGTCCCATTACATTGGAAAAAAGCACCTGCATTGAGCCCGGCACAAAGCGAAAATTGACAAGCTGTGCAGGTACCCAAACGATCCAGTTGGTTTTAGTAATGGGCCACCAATCAGCCTGCAGTTTATCTGGAATAAATTGTGCACGTCCTTCAAGCGTCATAACGGAAGACAGAAAGATGGGCAAAAATAGTGGTGCGAAGCCCAATTGATCCATTGCTAGGCGCTTGGCAATGGCTGTAGCAGAAACACCTGGTAGGCTTGTATTCAATATTCGATACCAGACATGAAGGATGGGCGAGATGACACCCCCTCCCAAAAAAGTAAAAATAGCTGCACGTTTGACATTAAATTGGTGCTCGCCTTCCAGTGCGAGTTGACAAACTATGTCGCCCAGCCCTGCAATGACACCACCTGTCACAATCTTGACACTTAATGGGTGTGTCTCCAATAGTAAAGCGTACGAGGTCCATATGCGACGAGCAGTTGAAGCAGAAGATGAAGATGACGCTACAAGATATTTAGGTTGTAATTTGAACGTTGAGCGATGGAGCATTAGTCGTGTCCGAGAACGAAGTACCGATAGCATTGACATCAACTACCACAGATACACACAGAATACAGATACAAATCGAAAAATGACACAATGGATACATTTTTGTTATTTTCCAAATGTGGTATTTCTAAGAAACTAACAAGTATAAGATATTCAAAATATTGTCAAATAGAAATAGAATGAAGAAAGTATTGTCAAATAGAAATTCAGAATTGTCAGATAGAAATTTATTTGGGTTGATAAAAAGAAAAGTGTTTTGACCAATCAAAAATGACAAATGGATCCTTTCTACCATTATGTTCGTTGACAAAAAGACAGACGAAACAATCAGAAAAATATGAGTACGCAGGACGACGTGCCGGAGATCGTAGCAGAGTTTCCAGCGCCTCCAAACTACTTTGTACTATATACGGAAGGTGTAGAGTACGGTCCTGAACCACCACAACCTATGAAACCAATGTATCATATGTTTGGATCGCCCTACAGTACACAGGACGTAGTACCCGACTTGCTACAGCCAGGAAAGAAATTGTACGCGTCGGAGGGTAATAATGAGAACGTGTCGGTAGATTATAAAGCACAAATGAAGAAGTATTGTGAACGTATTGTTATGTTTGGGACAGTGATGTGCGACTAGTATTGATTACTAATCTTTGCACGAATATCGTTTAGGATCAATCACTCGCTACTCGCCAATTTTGTAGAGCTCGTGGATATTCTCATTAAGAAGCCGTCCATGTTCAAGTAAGTGCGCAAGTAGTTGGACAAAAAATGTCAATTTTTATATGCTGAATACGATTTGTACCATATAGTGAAAAACTGGATGAGGTAGAGCAGCTGTTCCTTAACATGCACAACCTCATTAACGCCTTTCGGCCGCACCAAGCGCGCGAGACTGTGATCCAGATGCTCAAGACACAGATACAGGAACGGAGAAATGCTGTGCGCGATATTCGCCGCACAATTGATGAGTCGAGGCAAGCAGTAGAGCGCGTGCATGGCGAGCTGCACGAATCAACGGATGACGCAGCTGCCACGGACCGAGTCTCTGCTGCTGCTGGAATTGATGACGACGTCAAGATGAAAAGTGTTGACAGATTGGCTATCGCAGGAAACAGAGGAGATCGTATAAACGCATGTGGGACCGTTGGTGCAGCGACGTCCACACCTTTACAACAGGAGCAGACAATTGTGCGACGGTATTGTTGTATAAGTGGTCGTCACTGACTCAACTAACATAAGATGTTTTGTTTTGGATTAACAGAATACTTGCAAGGCACGAAAAATGCAAGAGCAGTTCTTTTCAGCGCTAGAAGCTGCGATGAACTAACTGCAAGCTGAGCAGTTAGAAAGAAGCTGCGCCAAAGATGATGCAAGTTGTTGTCTTAGTATAAACAGCGAACGAGTGGAAGCCCAACTCACTACTGTTATTGGAAGCAAAGCACACTAGTAATATGAAAACGCTGAACTTAAGAGCGAGATGATGTTGAATGGGTAATCTGTTAGGCATCAACAGTGAATAAAGCCCCCCCCCCCCGACATGTACTCTGCGCTTACAATTTAACGGGAGCGTTGTTTAAAAATGAGCTATTCATAGGAGCTGACATCATGTCTGCTCTTGACGCAGTAGGCTGGCACTCGTGGCTCGGTACTGAGGAGCTGCGTACAACACAGTTGGCACCATTTGCTGGACTAACGTAGGGCCACAGCACAATTGTCAGGAAGGCACAAAGTAAGCAAAAACACATTGACAGACCTTTCCATCGCTGCACGAATAGCGTTATACAATGGCGCAGCAGCTATAGGTGGTGGCTCAACACCTCCAAGTAGATCGGATACGGGCATTGTCTTGCCGTAAAATGAACGGTTGATATCTGGTCTGGACAGAATCACCGAGCCCTCGAGCGAAATGCCTGCATAGAGACCCTTTGAGTGCGAGTATGAATAGCATGGTGCAACGTCCATCGATGCACTTGCCTCCAGCGCTCCAGAGGCCACACGGCCGACAGGCCCGGCAGAAATACCCAGCTCCGCGCCTAGATTGACTTGGCCGGATGTACAGAATGCCTCAACAGCACGTTGGGTGTTGAGAATAATTACACAGTCCGTGATCTCTCCTCCTATCTGCAGACCCCACCCTACCCCAGCCGTACCGATGGCTGAAGGCGCCGACCACCTTCCGTCAGGCAGTCTCGCGACCACAAGTCCCGTTCCCATGCGTCCCGTAAAAACAAATCCCACCTTGATGACCGTCAAAAACTACAGCAAACGGCAAGAAGACAAATCCGTACAAAGGCTTCGCTTAGCGCATGCAAACCCACGTTCTCAACATGTAGCCCTTTGCGTACTGCGATGCCCATGGCATGAGTGAGCAGCGGTAATGGGATGGACTGGTGGTACGTAAAGTTTTTGACACTGTATGTGGCCTTGCAAATCTCCTCCTTTAGCGTAAACGAGTAGGGACTGTTGAAAAATTGCTCGAGTCCGGGGTCCTTCACCTCCGTATGTTGCACAGCGTGACTCATTGTCCGGCCTAATCAAAGAAAACAAACAATTCTTATCATCAGCTATTTAGCTCTACCCTTGATTACTAGCAACTATCCTGAATGACGTACGCAGTTCCGCCTGCTGCGGTTCAAGACGCGCGTAGCAGTCGTCACATACGCGATGTGGGTTGTGCACGTTCACCTCTAGGTATTTGTGCTCTGGATCAATCAAAATCTGGTCTTTTTGGATCAGACTATGTTGCGTTGTGCAAAGCGCACAGAATACATGGCCGCAATAGCTGCAGACAGCAGGTTACACAGTATCAATAGGCAGATCGACAGCAAAAAAACTGAGAAAGAGAGAGAGAACAACAGTCAGCATTCGCACCGGCAGTGGTGTTTGCGTCGTACCCAGTCAAAGCGAAGCTGACAGCTAAAACATACGCTCGCTTCGGTATCCGGGGTCCAGCGTACGGTAGTGCTCAGAGGCAGTTGGCTCATACTTGACAGCTAACTGTGCTCTTTAGAAAATAAGTGTAGCCATTCATACTACCGGTATTACTAGTTTCATCTTATTAGTCATTAGTAAGATTGATAGATTGACAAACTATTACTAACAGTAAAACTTGTCTTAACTGATACTTGCTTACTATGTAGCTCGTCCCCGATATTGGTAGACCTCATAAATCTCCATCTACAATCTGATATTTTCTGTCTTAAACACGAGGCAGAATTCAGGCAAGCATAGGAAAAAACTGCAAGCTTTGTGACGTTAATATAGAAGACGATACAGGCACATTTTGGATCACCTTTGGGTCGATCTACTAGCTACAGAGAATAGTTGTGCTCGACTAATTGTGGTTTGATACCATGATCCAATCTTGTCCATGTACCTCTTGATTATTCCCTTGTATTTCTTCAGGAACTCGTTCAGCAGGAGCCTTTACCGCTGAGCCCCCGAGAACATAGATGTATTGCGCGGTGTGACGGTGAACCGCTCGGCTGGCGCTTGACCATTCATCCTCCACATGACCCACACCCTTGTTTGGGTCCTCTCTACGTAATTACCTTGCAGTGCGTGCTTCTGCCGCTGCACTTTTTCTGCCACCGTGTTGGAGACGAAGTCGACCCTACCTGGACGTCGTGGTGTATAGAACAACCGTGGGTTGACCTTGTGACGAAGGGGTTCCGCCCTAGTGGAATTGTTGTGAAAGAACTGCTTGTAAATAAGCTGTATTTGTCGAATGGCCCAAGGCGGGATCGCGAAGACTGCCACTGTGAACAGTACCGATAACAACACAATGGTATTCAAAATAATAACCTGATCGCGACATTCGTTGCTGTTAGGACGCGATGTCGCACATTACGCATTTGAAGTGCAATTTGCGTTAGCCATCTCCCTGGTGTCTTCAGCAGGACAGAATATACTCGTATTTTTCTAGCGGGAGCAACGTAATCCGAAAGTAGCTAACGACGATAGGCTATTTGTCACGAAAAACGTCCGGGGATTTCGTAGACAAGTACGTCTCAAATAGTTGTCGGCTTGGCGCGGAATGCCTACGCGTGATCGACCGGAGGCGTTGTATATTTAGAAAAGACATGTCTCAACGTTCGAGGAAGCGGCAGATCTGGAGCAAAACTGACGACGACTATGAGGCAATGCCGCAGCAGCGACAACGGGGCCGATGTCGTTCTGGACCGTGGGGACCATCTCGGCAAGGGGGGGGATGTCGCCATTCTGCTCACACCTCAGTCGGCAAAGGATGGTCAGTTGTGCGATGGAAAATCTTGCTCCAGCCGGCCCATCGCATTATAAAATAGTCGCGGCGAGGTGTTGTTCAATGTCTATGCGCCAAACGTGCGCTTGTCCGGGTCATGGCGTAATATGCGTTAGTGGATGCGGTAGATCTAATGGTGTATGCGTTAAATATGTCACTGTCTGATCCACGGGACCAGTTTACATTCTGATAAGGCGAGACAGCTACCCGCATCGATCGTTTTGCATTTTGACAGCATGAAGGGATCAGGTTCAATGGGTGTGGGCTTCCCTGCCGTCAGAGGGTTCAAACAAACAACAGGTAGCTGTCCATTTATCTTTTTGGGATCGGTCGACCAAGCCTTCAAGTGTTCCCACGGTAGCTTAGCCGATTTGGTCCAACAACCAGGATCCGATGGTATCCGAGCTTGTAATAGCTCCCCACACTGCACAGATTGGCAAGGGAGTGGCTGCGCATACTTGGGATGACCACGTTGAGCGCAGTGTATGGGTCATTTTTCACGTCGCGAGGAGGTCGAAACAACGAAGCTGGCGGTACGTACGGAAGCTAAAAGCTCGAGAACGGTGCGATTTGGCAACCCGGAGAAAGGGGTGGAGAACGCGCGGGAGGACCATCGTATTCATCATCTTATGCGTCTAGATTCTAGGTTGAAGCGGACTGCGGAAGCGTTACAAGGGCTTTCAAACGGGTATCAAACTGGAAAAGAGACAAGACCATATTGAACATGCAGATGATACGCGGGCGGCCATTTCCACCGGGAGGTAGCATAGCTGATAATTTTGCCAGTGAGTGGCGGCCTATCCTCGGCACAAGCCAACGATCGGTTCCTCAGGCAGCTTTGGCACGGGAATTTCTGAATGTTGCTACGATTTTGGATGCATGCAGAGTGACGGGGCTGCAAAACGCGCGGCTCATGTCACAATCGACGAGACAGAAGTATTTGCAGCGGTAACGGTCATTAACCGGCACAAGCGCCGGGGACGGATGGCCTTCACAATGACTTTTACAAGTATACGATGTCCATCATCGTGCCTGCTCTCACGGCGGTCCCTACAACATATATGGAAGGAGAGTACCCTCATGCCTCTTTTCTAGAAGCTCTTATCATCCCTCTTCGGTAAAACCGTGACTTGGATGACGCACGTCCTATTTCATTGTTGCAAACTTCGTACAATGTGTTTGCGAAGGTGGTCGCCACGCGCATGCAGCTTCATCTTCCACGTGTTACTGAAAAACATAACAAGGCTTTGTTCGGGGGCGTCAGATGCAAAAGTCTGTCGTAATGATGCTTGCCCAGGTCAGGACGGCCACAGAGGACACAGACTCCAGCAGGGTCATTCTTCTTCTAAACTTCAAGAAGGCTTACGAACTTTTTTGTTGAAGACGGTTCGTTAATTTGGATTCTCAGCTCAATTCATTCAGTTAGTAGATAAATTACATTAGAGACTACAGCACGCTTTCAAGTGAATGGTGTAGCCGAGCTACTGTAGCTACGCTACTTATGCACTATGTGCAGAAGAAGTAGTCAGACTACTGTAGCAAAGCTACGTATGCACTATGTGCAGAGGAAGACAAACTCAGAGAGCTTCTACGTCTTAGGATGTTTAAACCTCCTAGGCTAGCTCGTAAGCTTGTACCTATGGTATTAACCGAGTCTCAGAGAGACTGGTTTCTTGTAAAGGAATCGAACGCTCAAGCTGTAAGACTTACAGAGCATTGAAATTGATTTATATCTATGTTTATCTTCTAACACTAAATATAAGACGCATCTACTCTATACTTAGTTCTAGTCGCTATTACTGGCTCTATAGCCTGCCATTATTATTATACATGCATAGTCATTATACTTTAAATAATTGTAGTGACCACGTGGCTCTCTGCCACGATGCGACCCTTCGTACTTCAGGTACGGTCACACTTTTGTACCCAAGGTACAGCCACACCACATTGGTGTCGCAGGTGTGTATGTACAATACACACCTTCGTGTAACTTCGTTACAAAAAAAAATGGGGACCTATCCGCCCTTATGCCCAGTAAATTCAGGATTCTACAGGGCTGCCTGTTAGTCCCTCTTCGATTCCTCCTCGCGGCAGATGTCAGGTCTAGCTGTCCGTCATAGTCGGTCTTCCGATACCTGGTCAGTCGGACACTACTCACGAATCCTCGGCCTTCGTAGATGATTCCTCTTTCGTTTTGCGCCACTCACGTCAACCCAGGCCAGTCAAGGATTTGGTCATCCAATTTGGCAACCTTGCGGGGTTGCAAGTGCTAGAGTTAACTCCTATTCTTCAACACGGCGGTCATCCACACCCATACGCTGGAGTGCGCGTCGTCGGTACCAGCGAGACGACACGAAATTTAGGATATCACGTCATCTTTTAAACGATTCCGATGATTGTTAGCTAGATCCGAGGTATGACTAGCTTTGAGCTGCCCTTAGCACCGAGATTCCCCCGCCTTTTCCGCGGCGGTGAAGGCAGCAAAAATAACTGCCTACCACGGTCCAGGCGAATTGACGTGATAAGTGAGTGACCAATAAGGAGATTTGACACGAATAAGCTGAAGGTGACGCGTTAATCGCACAAATGAGGTTGGGTTGTCATCGAATTCTCCCAACAGCGCCCGAGTTTCCGTTTCGAATACCATCGCGCACATCATATGACGACTGAAAGTGCTGCGAGACCGGGCGTAGTAGCTGTTTGCCATAAAATTAATTTAACTCTTGCAGACGAGCCTACTTATCCGCGTTACCATTACTATCCCCGTCGACTCCGGTCCGCTCTCTGTCAATACAATCTTGTCATGCTTTCGTGGTGGACTCTGTTGTATCCCGGTAATACGAACATTATTTCTTACGTAAACACTACAGACACCAGAGGCTAGTCCATTTTGCGCCATGACGGAATATGCTAAGCACTCGAGCAATTCCCCCGGGTACCGAAAGGGTTGGAATTGCGCTGAAAAGGGCTGCCGCTTCTTGCTTGACCGCTCTTATCTATTCGGCCAAAAAACAGTTAGCTTCGGGACAAGGGACTGTTTCTTGGGAGGTCACTTCCCCCGCAGAATACCCTATCTCGCTTTCTATTCGTCCAGGGAGGGTCAAACACGATCTATCGGCTTCAAAATTTTCTGATCCGCGAGACCCCCAAACTGGTACGACGGGGTTCGAACCTTCGACGTCGGCCTTGTGCTCGCCTGAAATGGTGTCAGATACCCACAGACGATTGCACCGCCCTCCCCCGCCTGCGATTGTTTTCTGTGCTGTTGTTGTGAGCTAGTTAATGATCATCTCTTGCTATTGCACACAGGTACCGCATTTAGACCCGGATGACGCAATTAGAGAAAATTCTGTGCCGGATTGTTTACTGAGCCGATGTCGTGGATGATGAGTCAGTCTAGATTTATTAGCAATAACGACGGTAAGCTGTTCTGTCCATCATCATCCACAGCCAAGCTTGGCTCGTGGAATTGGACCGGAGTCAAGTGGTGCGTTGTTCACTGTTGTGTTTGCGATCAACGCTTCGCATTGAAAGTCTTACAAACCTTGTTCTGCGTACGCATGTAACTGCAAACGCTTCGTCACCCCCAGCGTTTCAGTTGGTTCCGTGTAAGAAGCAGCAGCAGTACGCTTTAGTTGGGAGACATAATGACAATATCCACACTTACACTCGATTTGAAATGTCCTGGCAAGCCTTTTTCCTGACGACGGCGTTGTTACTGAACTGCATCGCTACGTTGCACATTTCTCCACGACTCGAGCTGACAATGAACTATCCGACGCCCTTGTTATATGTAACAACACGCACGTAATGTAATGCCCATTTTGCGCAGTTTAGCAACAAAGTCCATGCGTCACAAATGCGGGACAGTGACAGAAAGCACGTCAGTGACGAAGAATACATAATTGCAGTCTACGAGTTTCAGAAGAGCAAGAGTATGCAGTCTACCGTTGCCTTGGTCTCGTAAACAACGTGTTGCGCTATTCAGTTTTCGAGGTCAAAGAAGACAGAAGTATCACCTCCATAACGATCCTGCTAGAAGACATTGTTTCTTACAGGTCATGAAGGCTCGGAATGAAGACTGCAAGAACTAGGACAGCTGTTAACAGGTCGGACCAAGGCATACGGACGTCATATGAGACCAGGGACACATGATGATGGGCACTCTAGATGTGTGCCAGGTGTACCTTGACTAGGTCAAGTTGCAGTGCTGGTCATCAAACTGCATATGGTAAAGTTAACAACGAAGGGTAGTTAACACTCAATGCATTTGACTCTTACTTCCTACTTCTACTGCACAAGTGCAACTACGTCTAACAGGTTATAAGCCCAAGTACACTTGTTGATGGTGCGGCTAAACCAGCGGCACCTAACGCAGCGGTAGATGGCAAGGTTAAGGCCAACGATCACTACCTAGAAGAAAAGTCGGCAGCACCTGCAGAGGCGATTGAGAAAATGCTGGCCATGCTTAGGGCCCTGTCTGAAAGGATGAATCGGATGGAAGTCTTTTAGAGAGGACAAAACATCAGGCTGAGTACGGCCTCACCAGAGTTACATGCTGACAACCGGAAAGGGGAGGTCGAGGCAGGGATTAACATTAAGGCCTTTGAACGAAATTCTCCCACGGTATCACCATACGTGTCGCCAGCGACCTACTTTTGTATACGGCGACAACAAAACCAGGCAGGTGCTGAAGGGGCCTACGAGATATTCAGACCCGGACGTCGACATGGGTCAGGGACCCGACCCCAGGATATACGGGGTGGGCATGCCCGCGGTATATCATCCCGGTAGGGCTGTCTCTAACCGAGGATATGTACACACTGGACATCCGAGGACCGACATGCCGGATGCGCAACAACGAAAGCTTGCGTTGCAACCTTTCGATGAGAAGTAACTCTAACACGCCTCGGTTGCGGTTTCAGGGAGTTGGGCAAGGAATTTGTCCGCCAAGTCAGGTTCGCAGAGCGTGCATGTGGTTTCGTGTGGCTGGAAAATATCAAGGTTGATGTTCTAGGTCAACACCTAGCCGGTAAGGCACAGACATAGTACCGTCGGTAAGTTGAGGCGAAGTGGCCTGGAAGTCAAACCTTAGAGCACGCGATGCAAAGATTGTTGAAGACTTTTACCACGAAGATTTCTCCGGCACAAAGCACGAAGTATTTCACAGCACCCAAGGCACCTCACCGAACTGGACGGATTATGTCTTATATTTTACGGCCGTCAGCGATGCATGTGGAGGTGTAGACAGCCTTGCTCGGACCAAGGAGTACCGTGGTTCCTTTTGAGGTTGTAGGTGATGAGGGTCCCCCAGACGTGGAAGACCCTCACTCGATCTCTAGCTCCTCTGCTGTGGTGGACTACGTGGGGACGGTCACCTATGTCTCGCCCGTTGTTCCGTCGAGTGCTCCTCCCGATACGATGGGTGGTCCCGTAGACATGCCACAGGTGCTGCGCGACCTACAAGACCGTCTAGACGCGTATAGCCGAAGACTTGGGGCATGCGAAGGCCGATCTACCGATTTCCTCGCCCCCGACGCCTACTGGACCACCCGGTGTGAGGTCCTCGAAAGAGAGCTGCAAGGCACCAAACGTGTTTCAGTTGCATGAGAAAGTTCAGCAAGAGAGATCGCTGACGGAGCATTTGTGGTGGAGGATGGACTACCGCCAGAGCCACTACGCTTTCATGATGGCGGAGTTGGAGCACGAAGATTGCAGCACGAATCTGTTCAAGGACCTTCCGTGACTGCTCCCGCCTTACCTCTTACACGGGTGACGGGTAAGCGACCTCGGCGCTCACCGGCCAAGACGACCGCTAAGGTCCAAGTCAAGCACCCCAGCACTCCCGCTTCGTCGTCGTCCAAGTCGGGGATCCCCCAGAGACTACCTTTGGTACCCTCTCCGGACCCTGATGATGAAACCGCAAGTGAAGACACCGAGGTGGCCCGGACG